ATTCTTATCTCATTACTCTGAATTTTTTTTAGAAATTAAAAAATGGACATATGTGCATACCATGATGAGGGTTGATGTTGAGCTGTTGCCAATTGTTTATCAAGAAATGTATCTTTTAAAGATGATCAGAAAAAATATTTTAAAACTATTTTTTTATCATTTATTTATAAGTCAAATGCTTATAGAAATAAAATACATCTGAATAAATGTGACTTTGTATCTTTCTTATTTAATAAATACTTCAATGTTACATGATCAATATAAATAATAATTTTAATTCTTAAAATATATTATCTGATTTAAAAAAAAAACTAAAGCTAGTAACTCTTTTTTAGTCATAGTTTAATTAAATTGAGCATCATATATAATTTTGCTAGCATATAAAATTACTATGGGTTTTGACTCTTTTATTTGTCTTAACACAATCTTACTGTATAATTTGAAGCATCATACTCTTTCAAATAAAAGAGATCAATCAAGAGATTATAAAATGAGTGCCTCAATAAGTAATCTTTTAATTTCAAAAAAAGATTCAAAATATTTCCCATCAAAATTAAAAGACACATCTTTAGATAATAACATGGTAAGAGGTCTAAAAGTTTTTAAAAAATCTTGAATAAATTTTCTATAATAATCTACATGACCCAAAAAAACTCTCATCGACATTGTCATTTGTTTCACCATTGTGATATGGTCTCTGGGAGGGATCATCATCACGTTCACCACAACTTATATCAATGATTCTTGAATCTATGAGTGCACATGAACCTCACAAAGAGAGAGAAATTAGTGTATTATTGGTCACCCAAAATAAGAGACTGCATGGGAGAATCACACAACATCTGAAGGTCATGTGTCGAGATATGCATTGCATTACCCCTCCTATGGACCCGAGAAGGAACGTGGTGAGGAGCCTAGGTTTGGCAATCGTTGGAACAGCTCCTCCTCTAGAGGGGTAGAGGGAGAGAACAAAGAGGGCCACAACCACTGTGAAGGTGAGGTAAACAAAGGCTGAGTACAGCTCAAAGAGGAGGTTGCTTGTGCCCCCCTGCGCTTGTTATTGAGTGTCTGTCATTGTGAAGTAGATTGCAAGCAGTGCTAACGAGAACTGTTGTTGCCTTGACTGATTCTCCACCTCGGTAGAAAGTGAGGATGTTGCAGATGGCAGGGTTGCAAGATATGGCCCTTAAATCCCATATCGACTATTTTCACAGCTCTGGAGTTTATATAAAGAGAAATCTCTAAACTAAGTGCTGAAAGGATAAACTTGGGAGAGAAATAGGCTTTGGGATAAATGGATGACTATCATAAAGATCGAAGCTGGTTTTATTGATGAGCGTAAGCGACTGATCTAAATCCAAGCATGTAACTGACTAATGCTTAAAAGTTTGTCTCCATCTTGTGAATCCAAATGTGCCAAGTTTGAAATCTCAAAGAAGGAAAACTTACTTTATATGGCAACCTTCACTCATGTCCACTTTATGTCTTTCACTACTTCAACCAACTAAATAAGTATATTAGTTATTGAAAATTTACCATGACTTGTTCCATATGTTGGACATATCTAAATCCAAGCAAGTAACCATGTTTTCAAATGCACCAAGTTTGAAAACTCAAAGATGGAAAAGTTACTTTATATTGCGGCCTTCACTATCATGTCCACTTTATATGTCTTTAACTAATTCAAACAACTTAAGAAATATATTAGTTATTGAAAATTGACTGCGGCTCATTCCTTATGTACTTTGCATCTCATTTAGTTTTGAGTCTCATTTGGGTCTTCTCATCTTCACAATCTATTTTTGAACAACTATTCCTTTCCATTTTGGTTTTTTATTATTATTATGTGTGTCATGCTACATTAAGTAGGTGAGACAATTATGAAGGGGACTAGTGCCACATTAAGAGGATCCATAAGTCAAATGTATGATGTAGTGCCCAATTGCAAGCAAGATGAAACACTCCTACATGCTTAGAATTGCAAGTCTAGGAATGATTTAATAAACTCTAATTTACCACTACTTTTATTCTCACTTATGACTTTTTTAATTGTCAAATTGTCTAGTAACTATAATTATAGACACTACATGAATCATTCATTTAACATATCAATAGAGAATCATTAAATATAATTTTTCAATATTCTTATTTACACATCAGTATATCCATCACTATGTTGGCAATGGACAATTATATTTCAATTTACTATCATTCAAAGAAATAAGTATCACCAATACTATTAGTAAAGTCATTCACAGAATCATTGATGTATCAAGTTAAGTCATACAACCTCATAATTTATTTGATTAAAATTTTAACTTATCATTTCTTTTGAATGGATGAGATAAGGGAAAATATAAATATATTTTAAAGTCTGTCAACCTCAATTGAAATGGCAAACTTTCATCATGGTTTTGGTATACAACATATTTCATGTTATATATTAGCCCATAGATGATTATCATTGGGAAGAGGTTGAAGGAACTCCAATGGACATGGAACATCATCATTTCAGATCAACTTGATTCATTATTTAAGATGTAAGAGTAATAATTTTATTTATAATACAAAAATAAATTTTCTATTGACACCATTAGATTAAGCCATTTTTTCGTCCATTATGATAATTTGATTTGAATTTCTAGATATTTTGAATATTTAGCCTTAAAATAACTCCAATAACATTGATCTCCTCAATAAGGCATCAAAAAAGTTTTACATATCTTATATTTATAATATATAATAAATCCAATCAATCAACACCATGTATGTTTGTCTAAGATTGTCAATTTATTCTTCCATTGGAAATTGAAGTTTCTTTGGTCAAGTTTTAATCTCAAATTTTTTACACAACTAGTGTGGTATTTGTCTTTGTATTTCAATGATCACTAATATCTTTGATATGCTTTAAGAAGTGAAAGAAAACTCCTGTTTCATGCATTTTAATTTGAGGTTTTGACAAGTCAAAGGTCTTCCCTCATACATGAAGAGCACAGTAGCTCACAAAATATACATTCTAGTTTAAATGGAGGAGAAAAATCTTGAAGAGCTAAAACTTGACATTTTGTTATAGCTTCTTTCAATACTTGAAAGTTAACTCAAGAATTTCATTCCAAGATATCAATCCTTTTTTAGAAGACTATTTGATGCAACATCAATCAAACCATCCAAACTATGAACTGTCAATGGCAATTCGTGAAGCCTTTAAAAACTTTTTATTGATTTTTGGATTGTAAGGATTGACTGATTATGCATGAAATTATTTTTTTCACATCATCCTGCACTCTTTTTATGGTTGATTATATCCCCTATTTAGCCTATATTGATAGAACCGAACTAATATTTATACATTATCATCTTTATTTTATTCTCTATTAAGACATGAGAAAACTAAGCTACATGTTCTAACATACTTTCCAAGTGTTAGCTATGCCAACACAATTTTCCACTTGTAAATATGAAATGAAAGTTCATTGATACCTGAAATGTAGGTGTAATAGTTGGTCTAAAATGGCATCACAAGATCCCAACATAACTTTAATCATGTCTAATCTATAAATCTATACACATAATGATGGGTATGTTATGTCCCAAATAATTTGAACACAATCAACAACAATAACTCTTCTTTAGTAGTTTAATTTTGTATCTCGACCTCTACAACACATCAATGAAGTGAACTAGTATTTTCTTGAGTAACTATTAAACATGATGGTCTTGAAGCTAGAGGAATGAGAAACTTGTAGTGAAATCTCATGATGGTTTTCTTCATAAAATTAAGAATTTTCGGTGTCTACTACATCATCTTCTCCACAATCTTCTGCATCAAGAAGTTTGCAACTAAAATCAGAATATTTTTTCATAAACATGATGACACTTTTACATGTCTTCATTCTTTTTTCTCTCTCTTTTTTGTTTTCTCCAATTTCTAAAGTTTCCTTCTTTGGTACTCGCATATTTAAACATGACCCTTGCGAATGCTTTTGTTCAGACTTTAGCTTTGGGCTTAATAATCAAATGCGAGAGGCTGTTCACTCACGAATAACTTCATGTCCACATTATTGTCAGATGTACCGTTAAGTGGCATTCTGAAGATGCAAGGCAGCGGCAAAAGCTTTTCTTCCCCCTGTCGCACGCTTCCTTGTCGAGGGGTAGAGCGAAGGGGTGGAGGGTGGGATAGAGAGAGGAATATATTGCTTGAATAATTAATTAGCTGTAATTTTAAATTCTGAAGTCCACAGATCTACCTTTCTTTTCAGGTCCTGTCCCTTCGCGAGGCGGAAGGACGTCGATTGGGGGGAGCAGCTCTTCAAGATCTTTCTTCCTACTTGCGACGCCAAGTTGAGGTTTCATGTGGTGGCGGTAGGAACATCCACCCTCGTTCTTAATATGGAGGCGATATTTCTAGATTTCGTTTGAGTGGTCAACCTCCGCCTCCTCTGGCAGTCTCTCTGTCGCTTTCTCTCTCTGTCTGTAAAGGGCTACTATAGAAAAGCTTCCATCTTTTTCCATCCTCCTCCCTCCGTCTTGGGATCAGAGAGAAGCCCAGCTCTTGAGCTTCGCGGCAGCCCTCTTGAACTCTCGTTCTGATTGCTGGCTATCCTCAGCACCCTTTCAAAACTGAGTGCTAGGAAGCCAGAGAGAGAGAGAGAGAGAGAGAGAGAGAGTATTGCTTGCTGGAGGTGATCTTAAAGGCTTTACAACCCAAAAAAACTAGAACCCTTTCTCCTCTGTGGCGGAACGCTGAGCTAAGGCTCCATCTTCCGAGACAAAGAAGGGGGCAAAAAAAGGGAAGATGGAACTGATCAGCTTTAAGGACGTGGCGATGAATCCCCGCACGTCCCTCCACCTCCCATTGCCTTCACAAACCACCTTACTGCATCTTCTTCTTCTACATCTTCATCATCATCATTCTCATTATCGTCTTCTCCTTCTTGTCGGTGTATATCTACACGCAGACAGCACTGGACAGCCAGGAGCCCCGCGATCGACGGCAGATATCACCGCTGTACCATTCTCGGGCCCATGTACTTGGCTCCGACGACGGAGAACTCTTCCGGTTTCTCCGTCTCTTCCAGCCACGCAAGGCCCTCCTCTTCCGGCTGACCTGCCACAGAGTCATCTGCACTAACCCGTAAATCTGAGGAGGAGGAAGTAGAAGACGAAGGAGAGGAAGAGGAGTAATTGGTACCAGAGAAATCCGAGAAGGGGAAGGCGTTGTAGTATGTACAGTGCCTGCCTTCGTCGTCGTCGTATGGGGGGCCGAGGACATCTAGTACGGCGCAGGCCGTCACCGCCGTGAAGCAGTGGAGGTTCCCTCCGGTCGTCGGAAAGAGAATGGACGTCTCGCATGGAGCCGTGAACGTCGCGTCCGTCTGCACCTTTGCCAGCCGCACACCCGGTGGAGCTCCGACTGTTTCAACATAGGTCAGAGAGAGAGAGAGAGAGAGAGAGAGAGAGAGAGAGAGAGAGATAAGGGGGTCAATACCACGGGGAGTGCTGCCATGATCGACCCAGTCGTAAGATTTAATGTGCATCGATCCGGAGAGGAGCTTGCTGAAGACGGTCATGCCGGGATGGTTGTGAAGCGGGATGACGGCTGACGGAGGCAGGCAGAAGATGCCCATCTGTGGAACAAAATCAAAACCATCAAATTCGACGGAAGGTTAACACACAGAGATCGCGAGAAATCAGGAAGAATAATGCTCCAAGAAGGGAGTCGATGCGTTTACTGAGAATCTATCGGACTCGTAGATATGTAGGTAGGTCACCGGCGGCCTCCCTGGGTTCCCGATGTTCCTAAAATACGGCATCTTCTGAGTTAAGCCGACGTCCTCCGGCCTCATAAGATCTGCGTAAGACCGATCCCATGAACATACAGAGAATACAAGATCTTCTAAAGCCAAATTTCTCGGGGAATTACTCACTTGTGAGATCAAACAATCAATCAGAATCCCGGATGATCCAGAGGAGAGAGAGGGAGAGCAACGGACGTACCGAGAACAGACTTCACGCGGGCCACACCGTCGGGGGACGGGACGACGCCTGTGGCGGCATCGGAGAAGACCTCCCGGCACGAGTCGAATAGCTTCTGGATCAGCCCCCGGGGCATCGGCGGCGAGCGCTTCTGCTGCCTCCTGTTCCTCTTCTCTCCCCTCGCCCAGTCCGCCGATGTCAGTCCCTTCAGCTCTGAAAACCTCCCTTCCACCCTCATCAAGAACCAGCCCCCCCGATCCTCCGAGGATTCCGAAGGTCGGAAGGCACAGACTTCTCCTCTCTCCAGATGTTTATCCTCTCGTCTCCTCCCCCTCCTCCCCCTCCTCCCCCTCCTCCCCCTCCTCCTCCTTTCCGCGACGGGAAGGAGATGCTTTGGCTGGAGAAGGGTCGGAGAAGAGGGTCGGCTGCGGCACGAGATACCTTCATTCCTCTGAAGAGAAAACCAAAACCAGGGGCCATGGAAGTAAGGAGACTCCGGTTTCCTGTGGGCTCCCCTAAAACTGCCCCGACTTTTATGAACCCCCACACCAACTCTCTCTCTCTCTCTCTCTCTCCAGAATATTATATATATATATATATTAATTTTTTATAATTATTGTAATAGGTAAAATAAATAAAAAATGTGAAAAATGCGCATGTGGTGTAATAAATGCTCTTCCCACGTGCGAGGCTGTCGATGGGGATTACCTCGGCCCATAAGTGGGTTATTGGGTCGGCCCATAAGCGGGGCTTCACTGTGGGGGGATGAGAAGAGGAAGAGGAAGAGGAAGAGGAAGAGAACTGGTGATGTGTTTCTGGAGGAAGAAGCCCTAGCCGGCGGCCATGGGGATCTCTCCGGCCCTCTCCCTGTCGTCCAACGGCGGAACCCTAATTTGGCTGCTCTTTGTGGCCGCATCGTTCTCCGTCATCCTGGCGCCGAGCGCCGCTTCGCCGGTACTCGGGCTTGAGAGTTTCCTCTCTGATCGGTCCCGGTTGGACCCGCAGGCGACCAACGACACACTCCTCATCCTCCCCTCCTCGATCAAGAAGTCCATCTCCGTCGCCCCAGCGTCACTGGATGCAGCTTCCCTGGTCCAGTACCTCCATGATTTGAAGCTCTCCGTCCCCGTCCATGTCAAGCTCGTAGGTGCTTCGTTCTCCCCCGCCGCCCACGACATACTCCGACAATTCGTGTCGGCAGCTGTCTCCGGGGGGAAGTTCCAGACCATTGGATACAGGCCACACCATATCGCGGTCTCCCACGAGCTCCGCCTCGATGCCTCCACCGCTGCTCCGCACATTGCTTCCGAGATCTCCGGCGCCGTACGCTCCCACATCGATTCTTCCACTGCGCCGCTCCATCGTTCGGCCCTCCAGCCGGTCCCCTACTCTGTGGTCGATGCGATCGTCCAGAAGGATTTCCAGAAGGATTCTAATTCTGCCCCCGCCTTCTACATATATTTGTTGGATCTTGGTATCCAGTCGAGGCCGTATGCGTACTCCTACGATCCGAAGGACTCGTCACCGGGATTCTCCAAGTGCTTGGGCAGCGTATGGACAGGGAAGGACAGGTATGTGTGGATCGATCTTGCCGCGGGTCCTGTGGACTACGGCCCCGCCTTGTCAGGCGAGGGCGTGCTTCCAAGGGGCGAGTTCCATCCGCTTGCCTCGCTGCACGGCAGACCGAAATCAGACAAAGCCCTGCTCGCGGATCTTGCATCTCTCGTTTTCAGTGCCTACAAGGCCCTTTTAGTGCCTTCACTGAGGATCCCCATCTTCTTTGAGGCCGAGCTATCAGTCCGGTTTATCCACGTCTACGGTTCCGATGCTCCGGATTCTTCCGGTCTTGATTGGAAGGCTATCGAAAAGACAATTACTGAAGGTGGCACGCTCCTGGCCGGTCAGTCTCTGAAATTTGAGACTTACAGAGTGAAGTTCTCCGATTGCCCTATCTGTTCCTTTGCCGTCACCCGCTCCACAAACTTCTATACTTCAAGATTCTTGTTTGAGAACTACACCTTGATTGTGAGCGAGTACCTTGATTCTAAACGTCTTCATCAGGTGCTGGTTGATTCAGCGGACGATATACGGAGTTCAGCAAGGATAGCTGATGAAGAGATTGGAAGGGTACTTCCTGTGTATGTCTTTGATCTGGACTACGACAAACTGCTCCTTCTTGACAGGTACCATCAGGCTGTTGCATTTAGAGACATGGTCATTGCTGTGAGGACAAGGAGTGCGCAGACAGTGAGCGATTACACCTGCAATGGTCGGCATATGATCACTCAAACGCGTAACCTAGAGCGCCCAGTCGTGGGCTCTGTTCTCCAGAGCATGTGGGGAGTCTCACCAACTCACTTATCTTGGAGCCCACAGCACAACCACACTGTTGTAGATTATACATGGAGTATCGGGCAGACTCCATTTGGACCCTTCTCTGATTCTCTGTCTCTATCATTTGTTCAGAAAGATGCAGCTCGGAGGAATGTGCTCCTGACATCTCTGAATTATACAATTATGAGCGCCACTGATGTGCTACAATCTATGGCTGCACATGGAGGAGACAAGAAGCTTCTCAAGCAAAACAGGCATATGGAGTTTGTGCAGAGGTGGAATTTGCTCAAGTACAAGCTTGACAAAACAGTTTCAGCTATGTCCCATTTGGATTACGACAAGGCGTTATACTATTTGAGATCTTCTGATCATGATCTTTATGCCATACACTCTTTGGTCTACCAGGCTTCGCAGGAGTTGGAAGCTTCCTTAGTTTGCTTCAAAGATCCGCCCTTTCCCTGGGGTACAGTTTTAACGAGTGGGTTGATTATGTTTGCTTTCTTTTACGCCTATTCGAAAAGGGACAATCTATTTACTAGCAAAAGGAAGCAGTTTTGATGATAGGTTTAGATTATGGTTGCTTTGCCTTTATGATCGGTTATAATTTCTGACTTCCTGGCAGAGACTGAAACTGTAAGTGCTTGAGAAAAGGAAAATGGGAATCTGATATGCAGGATTATTTCTGCCCAATCATATTAAAAGGTTTTGTGCTATAGTGGGCTACCCTGCATGCTTGGAAAGAAAAAAAAATCTATTCACCGGCATGTATATTCTTTGTCATCTTTGGTCCATGCCTTTCCCACTCTATGCACATTGGTGATTCTCATCATTGAAAGATATTCTCAAGCTCATTGTTAGTGGAACACTACTGTTTTTTTCAGATTCTCTTCGCTGATGCCGGATCTTTACTTAGCAACATGCGCCCCATTTCTTGTCAGTTGCATGCACGTGTTTCTAATGCTAACTTAGCTGTTGTTTCATCACCATCAGCAGAAGTTGTTGGCCCATCAATCCTTGGTGGGCTTTTTCTTGTCTGTGCTTTCAGTGATCATAAAGGCATCCCTAGGGTAGGGTCGAGGATCATTTCTTCTATTTGCCTCATGCAGTATGTCAAGTATTTGGGTTTGCTTAAGCCTTTCCTCACCCTTCTCCCTTTACGATATCAGTTTCTTAGAAGCTGTTTTCTGGCTCCAAGTGGTTTGAATCTAACACTTAGCCCACTCTTTATTGCTTTTGCTTCTTTGGTATTTCTTTGAATGGATATCAAGAGCAGAGGAATCTGGTTGCCTGGATGTGGCATAACCAGTGTTCTGCCTCACTTTATTTTATTATGAACCCAAGCTTTTTTATTCAATGATTAATTAGTCAATTTTCTTCTGGTTGCACTATTTGCGGCCGCTGTCACAATCAACCAAGGGATATATTTTTTTTTAATTCTCCTTCAATTTTTTCTTGAATAAAGCCTTCTATATTTTTTGCCATCTATCCCCTTCACTGTCGTAATGGGGAAAGACACTCATTTGACCAACGACTTATCTGTGGCTTCATTCCACTCAGTCCTGGGCTACTGCAGTTCTTTTTGCACATTTCAGCGGCTTTTTGACTCCCCAATCGGGAACTTTTTGGCTCCCCATCGTTGACTCCTGCAACATCAGCAACAGATGATTGATATATAGATAATTTTAGGAAGAATTCTTTATCTAGGGAACCATCGGTAATTTGTCTCTTATTAGTCATTTCCTAGCTAGCCACCTTCCCCGGAGTCTGCGAGATTGTTTCCTTGCTTTCTTTCTGCACTCTTGCTCGCCTTGTTATTAGTTGGGCCGTCAATATTTGGGCCCTTGCCATCTTCCGAGATTTCCCCCCCCTTCCTAAGTCTTTTCCACAGGCTAAATATCTAAATCCAAATCCTTGATTGGACGCCACTGTCTGTTGACCGCCGGCGATGTGTCGGACCTGGAGAACGCTTCGATATGTGCGAGAGAGAGAGAGAGAGAGAGAGAGAGTACCGCTTTGATTTTATACGACGGGGACAGCTTTCCTCCGTGGATCCATCTAGCAATTCGATGTCATCTCGGGAGCGAAATTGGTCTGCCGGTTGAGTCCTCATGTGGGCTCAGATTTCAGATTTCGAACCTTTAAATTCTTAATCGGGGAGGACTATCATCTGGGTCTTCAGGATTTTGCCTACGTAAGAGAGAGAGAGAGAAGGCTGCCCCTTTCGATCTCCACTGGAAGTCAACCTGTCAAACCTGTAGCCATCGCCGGAAGCTTCTCCTCGCTCTCCCCGTCTTGCCCCAATCCGCAGGATAATCCGTGGTGTTGACGTTGGTCATCCGCTGCTTTAGATTTCTCTCTCTCTTTCTTCAAGATAACAATATTCTACGTCCGAGATCACCTTGCTTACCGCCGCTCTGACCACAGCTGCTTTGTGGGGCTCTCTCCTAGCATGAAAGGCGCAGTCGTGGAGAGCTGACCCGAAGCGGAAAGAGAGTGCGCCACTAGTTCATCAGCACCGTTTCACGGGAAAAGGCATCATCTTGGGTGAGAAAGGAAACGGCTTTGACGGGCCAGGGGGGCTCCGTGTCGGCTGGTCTTGACTGGGGAATCGAAGAACTTCGGCGGCAAGCGGTAGCGGCTCTGCCAATTGAAATCCCCTTCACTTTTTCGTCCTTGGCTGACTATCGGGACGTCTCCGGCGTCTCTCGGAGGCTGTAGAGGGTAGAGGGCCTGTCTCTGGAAGGTGAAAGCTTACTGCCGGGAGAGTGATCGGCGGACGGGGGCCTGGAGAGCAATTCGTTCAAGTTTTCCAGTTTCCGCGGGCGCGGTCTTTCGTTCGTCCGTCCAGAGGTGATCCATCTCTCTACGCCTCCATACAAATCGTTTCTTGAACTTGCTCAACTAGAGGCTCTTGAAATTGACTGTACTAGGGTTTTTATATTTCTTTCCTCTACAGCAGTTACAATTTCTGGTTTTCTCTTTAGCTGTTCGCTATTTCGAAATCTGTGGATATATTTCTGTGAACTACAGCGAAGATTTCCAAAAAAATTACCCTTTCATAGGAGAACAATTTAGCATGTCAATAACCAACGATGAAAGTTGATCTCTTTTGTCGCATTTTTATTATGCCCACTTATTAGTTTAGCAAAAATGGAGGATAATGTAGAACAACAGAACTATCGGACTATTGGAGTTGGATTCAAATTATTCCTCGTGGCAGACATGATCTTCAAATCGACAGGTATGCTTTATCGTAGCCAAGAAACATCTGCAATAATGCCAAGTTTGTAGGTAAAGCCTGCTGATCGGAGCTGTAGCAGTCATTGGGAAGTTAACTTGTGAAATTAACATGATATATTTCCCCAACAGCCTAAATGAACCGTCTCCTGTACCTTCACTTTTATATCTTATAGCGTTATGATCTAGTAGAAGGTTAACCTTTTGGTATAACCGTTCTAATAGATGTGTATGAGTCATCATTATGGGTCTACTCTGACCTGTTCCATTAAAAGCTTTAATCTGAACCAAGGCGAGACTCCAGTGAGATTATCAGGATCTTGATATGGGTTACTTTCGAGCTACACTGTGTGTAGGATCAGAGATCTTATCCCATGTCCTATCGTTTCATGGCAGGTTGGTCCTGAAATTATACATCTGCGTTGTTTCTCGTGCTTCATTTTATGTGTTTTCCTCTCAGTGGCACGTGATTCGGTGCGGGAGTTGTGTTTTAGAAAAATATGAAGGATGCGGTGTAGAATCTGCTAAAAAATGTTGAAATAGGTGAATTTTCTGCAGGGTAGCAAGAGTAATATTCCGTTGCCATGGTTGACCATTAGAGAAGTTTCTTTTTTGTTAGAAAAAGGTCTTGGTTCCGGGGCTATTCTCAGAAAACGTGTCAACACCGTGAACTGGCTGATTGAAGAGGATAGTCTCGGATTTTTCTTTCATTGAGGGTTGTTGTTGTGGGGTACTGAAGGTCTAAAAAGTGAAATGAGTAGTGAAGTGGTGATACTTAATGAGGAGGGGCTTTAGTGTTGACAGGATGTTTGTGTCTTGTGGCGATCATCTTTCTCCACAATTTTCGTAATTTCCAGTTCACATTTTGTTTGGCCGCTTGATATATTTGAGGATTGGTGGCCTCATCCATTTCCTTTTGATAAGGGGTTTATGCTACCTTGATCTATTGGAGATTTAAATAGATTCTGATCCGCTGGAGTTCACACATGCTGTGCTTGGGATCCACTGACCAATTGTGCTTTGATGGCTTGGTATGCTATTCAGTATTTATTCTCCTTTTGTCGATATGGTCTGCAAAATTGGTCTGTTTGGATTTGAACTGCAGACCGAATTGGGAGTGTGGGTGAGCGTCTCCTGATTCTGATTCAAGGAATTACATGTTATTGAGTCTTGCCATTTAGAAGCAACTAATTCATTCTCATTTCTGTGGTACTGTATATTAAAGGTTTAATAAAGTAATTTTCTCTATGGTAGGAATGAGCTTCAGGCACTGGTTTCAATAGCCGTGGCTAATTAGCACTAAAGAATTCCGAAGGGGATGTTGTTCAAGTTGTCCTTTGCTCTTGCTTGTTTGCTCAAGTTTGTTGCATCTGATTACCAAGGTACAATGTTTTCTTCAACTATGAAAATCATATTTAGGCGACTTTTTTTGTCTAATATCCAATTTTTTATTTTTTTAACCTGTAAGTTTTGTCCATTTTTTCGCTTCATGCATATGTTAATGTCCCTCGACACCCTTTTTTTCTGTGTTGAAGCTCCTAAGAATCTCTCGTTTCCTCCCTTTTAGGCTTCCCTTTTTTCTCTTTCCTGCTTCGTTTTGATTGCAGAGGTACCTGGTACATGTGGTTCACCTAGCATCGAGATCCCCATAGATCTCTTGCTAACAGTTAGTTTTTTCTCTTCGAGGATCTCTATTTTATTTCTCATATGTTTTACAAAACCTACTATGTAGCATGTCTATCTTCTAATGATTTGAATTTTCTTCATTCCAATTTTCATATTTAATGTCATATATTTTGTTTTCTCATCACAATCAGCTTGAGATAGCTTCATTTATTTCTCTGACCGACTATTGTCACATTATATGCCTCAATTTGTTCTAGCATTATTAGCAGATAGTTTTTGCGTTAATGAGTACGGTTCTTATATCTGTTTGTAGCTCTGACGCAGATAAGTATGATGCACATGCTAATAAAACGAACGTTCAGTTATGGGATCTTCGGGAATTGATTAGGAATGCTCGTATTAAAGTATTTAGTGGAATCTTCACTGGATTAATTTCATTCTTTTGTTTTATGGGGTGTATGAAAAGCCCCAAGAGCATATGTGCGCATGTAAAACTTTCTCCACTCAGTTTTCATATGCATTACTCTTTATTTGCCATAATGGCCAATTGAACTTGTAATGGAGTTCTTGGTTCTCAATTTCATTACATCTAATTTACCAAGGGCATGCTCAGCAAGGCTGAAGCGTTAATAAGCATGGGAATTTGTTTGCAGGGGATGCACTAGATGATTTGAGGAAGCGCTTAAATGCCTCTGATAACCAGCTCAAAGACTGGAACACAAATATGGTCAATCCATGTACTTGGAACTCCGTTATCTGCGATGATCAAGGCAATGTCATTCAAGTGTAAGTTGTTCATAGTATGGTAGCACCTGATCTCCAAAAAGTACTATAACTTAATGTTCTCGGTGATCGAGAAATCATTATTTTCAGCATTTTGCTCGAATCCATTCCTAGAAGAATGGCTTTGATGACCTTATACATGATCCATGATAATGCTGAAAAATTTTCGCAGCACATTACCTTCCATGGGATTTACTGGAACTTTGTCGCCAAAAATAGGAGCTCTAAAGTTTCTGTCTGTTCTGTAAGTATTAGTCAATTTGTACTCCTATTTTCATTTTTTGTGGACTAGTGATGTGCTAAACTCTTATCCTGTTAACTAAGGTTTCACTTCAATTTGAATATTCAAATCTTAGTATCTCTCTAATTTAGTTAGCTTTATAATCACACTGGTACCTATTTGAAAATTTCAATTCATTTAATTCTTGCACATTATCTTAGTGAATATATATGAGATCAGAACATGGTTGCTCGTTCTTTAGATGCCTTTTTTTCATGGGTTTTGTTGAAGAGATATTTTAGGCAGATTTAACTTCTTGTGAATACCATCCATAAGTTTATTTAAAGTATGACATTAATTTATGTCTTAATTAAACTTGCTGGGGCTCTATTTCCTGTTTCTTGGTTTAAGTTTTACCATTCAACTATTGATCCCATGTACCAGCTTAAGTCACTGGACTATTAATGCCTGGTATGTTGTCCTGTCACCAAAACTGGCCAATATATGATGAATCCTATTACTTGGAGCGTTAATTCTCTTTGGGATCAAATTTTCTGCTGGATATAAAGATCAAGTTCAAGGGCAACGAAAGCCTTACTCCAAACTTTGCGAAAGAGCTGCCTGGTGATCCCTAGGTTGCAGCACGTCCACTCCCGACTCATTTTCTTTTTGTGAAGAATGAAGAGAGCCCTCTGGTCTCAAGGAAGACACTTACATTTTTCCAGGAAAATTCGACAACCAGGCAGCCACATGAATAAGCAGACTTCAACTAGTGAGGACAGTTTAGGGGCATCCAACTTGATTGCCAAAGTAAATGTACAGTGGCCATGATGCAGAAAAGAGTAAAAGAGAAGGTGGTAGCTAGGTACAAGAGGAAGCCCCAATTTAAACTTATATATGTCTACTGCGGAAGAAATTGAATATATAATGAAAAATGTTATCTTGAAAGCCGTACTCATCTTAGAAAACAAACAGATTGCCAGAATGACTACAAGATTGGCGTTGTAAGGAAAGGAACAATTCTTTTTTGAAATTGAGCTGGTTCAGAGATACACTATTTTTTTATTAACCTCCAATGCAGTGCATTGTTTCAAGTAATGTGTATGCCATTTACCTGAATATTTCTCTCTGTTACTCACGCTTCCTGTCTCAGAAGCTTATAACACCATGCTGAGATATAACATTAGATGCTTTAATGTGTTTTTAAATCAGATCACTACCTGGTAACAAGATAACAGGCCAGATACCAATAGAATTTGGAAATCTGTCAAATTTGACGAGCTTGAACTTGGAAAATAATCATTTAAGTGGGGAAATACCAGATGCTCTCGGCAACCTTCCCAAGCTTCAGATTTTGTGGGTAGCATATTTCCTGATTTCGAATTAGTGAGGCTTCTCTATGAAATGATTTCACCGTTCTTATGTCTGAATCGTCATTTGTTGCAATGTGCGCAGGGTTTTGAGTCAGAACAATCTTAGCGGAAAAATTCCTGAGAACTTTTCAAACCTGTCAAGTTTAAGTGATATGTAAGTAAATTGGCCGTGACAGTGACTTACCTTCGCTTGGAGATCTAGTTGGGGCTGTATTCATATCTAGACATTCGATTCTGGTTTATTTGCAATGCATTTTCCGTATCCTCCTGAATTAACAGCGTGGTTTTATTTTTCAGTTAATGTTACGCTCACTCGCTAAATAGATGAAAATGGTTGCATTGGATGTAGCTCTAATTCCGGATGGAATAGCTGTTCTTTATTTTTTGTATCCATGAGGTTTCATAAAATATTGGACCAGACAATAGGTGTTGGCAGGATGCACTAATTGCATGTTCTTTGTTAATAAATAGTGAGCTTTTCCCGTTCCCCAGTTATACCCCGAGAACCAAGAGTAAAAAAAATTTTCCATTGTAACACTATTCTGCAGAAGGCTCCAGTTTTTATCTGTACAGTGAAAGGTGCTCAAGTTTTTTTCATAACTCCAATTATTGATTTATCGGTACTGATTTTTTGTCTGCAGTCAGATAGCCTTCAATAACCTGAGTGGTACAATACCTGACCGCCTTTTTGAAGTGGGGAGATACAAGTAAGAATAATTTCTTTATGATATTATAAGAATAAAGTATAAAATCTTTCATTATGTTTTGTGGTTTCAAAGATTCTTAAATGGTTTCTTTTCTCACAATTTTTTTGTTGAGCAGTTTTACCGGAAACAACTTAAACTGTGGTCCGAATTTTCCCCATGTTTGTGTATCCAGCATTGCTGAGAATGGTATGCAGTCCTTTGTTGTAAACTGAAGAATTGTACATTTGAAGAAGTGGAAGATTTAGTTTAATATTTTTGTGGGTATAACTTGTGTATCATTTGGCTCCACAGGGGGATCACAAAAACCAAATATTGGGCTTGTGCTTGGAATTGCTATACCAGTAATACTCCTTGTTTCTGTGGTAATATTTTTTGTGTTGAAGGGGAGGAGGAAAGGTTACCATCGTGAAGTCTTTGTAGATGTTGCAGGTATGGGTTTGTTTTGGGTTGACGAATCAGTTAATATTTGGTGTCTTGGATTCTAGATTCAAATATGCAACGACAGGATAGTTATCCCTATTACTATCTATGTAGCTTTTCATATAAATTTCGCAGATGATGAACATTATGTTAACACCAAGCATTCTTTGAACTCGGTATCTTTGTAAAAAAAATGGTAACTACCATCTAATCATTAAATAATGAATGAAACGGGGAAGGATGTAGGTCCTCCATGAAACTCTCAAAACTCAGTTAGCTATGTACAGCAGAAAGGCAGTGTTGGTCATATTTGCTAAACCAAAATGGCAACATGACAAATTTATGCCTTTCTTTGTTAGAAAAAATCGCACCACCTCTTTGATCTTGTTACATGATTGAGTACCCTAGCATCCGAAAGGCTTTCCTTTTGAAAAATTCAGTTGTTTATCCAAAGTCTGCATGGTCAATAAGCCACCTGGTCTTGAAATCCCCTTTCTCTGTCTAATGCTGGGGCCACCTTAAGAAAGGCGACCATATGCCTTGGTTGTTTCTGATTTATTCTTCATGTGTGACCTGGTAAATCTCATGGGAGGACCATCCAAGGAACAGATGCTGCAAAGATTCTGATTCATATCTACTAAAGCTTCGTGCAGTGTGAATGCTACCTAAAAACAGAGCTAGTCTATCACAAATAGTAGTTTCCCGCACTAGAAAGTTCACATTGATGTATTACTGTTGGTCTCTCTTATCCTAATGATGCAACAGAACCTAACTGAAATCTCCAATCATCTTTCTTAAAACATTACTTTGAAAACTTTTTAGTTCTTTTTTTTATTTGAACGTCACATATCATGCCAAGTGAAGTTTATTGAGCCGCTGAGACTTAGAGACTTATTAGTTTTCCTTGATTATATGCATTGAAAACCGTTGAAAATATTACCCATTTCTACAGAATCGCTGATTATGATCTCTTCCTAGGTGTGAAACCGTAAAAAGGGCATTTAATAGCAGTTATTCTGACAAAATAATAGGAATTTTCTCGGATGCTGCAATTGGGCATGCATCTGGTATTAACAGACATCCAAGAGAGATGATTCTAGGCTGAAGGTTTGAAGACTAGAATGCCAAGTGGTAAAGGGAACTCATTGCTTTCTTTCCTTGATGGGATAATGTATGTTGATCCTGCAAATCGTCAAGGAATGCACACTGGTGGATAATATGAGAATACAAGTATAACACGCAAATGAAACCTACAGACGAATCTAGTGCAACTCTGCACATAGCTAAAGGTTTTTAAATTCCCTGAGAATGCACTGCCCATCACTAGCAGATTTGTCTCTAAGAAATGTAGACTAACAATGGCCCCTGGAGAGAGGTTAAATTAGGCAAACATATTTTTAGAGAGATCTACTTCTTACGTGCTAAAGAAAATGTGTCGTTCCCAGTTATTGTGTTTTCCTTATAGCGTCAGTGCTCTATTTCTGTTGTACCTTAGACGCTTTAGAGACTGGAGTCGAAATAGCGTAGAAGATCACTCCAGTGGTAATTTACATTTTTGATGTTGTCGGTTAAGTACACTGATTCTCTGCTAGATTGATTGACCGGGTTGCCTTCATCCTGGTTCGCAGGTGAAGATGACCGCAGGATTGCATTTGGGCAATTGAAAAGATTTTCATGGCGAGAGCTTCAACTGGCTACCGATGGTTTCAGTGAAAAGAATGTTCTTGGACAGGGAGGTTTTGGGAAAGTGTACAAAGGAGTTCTCTCAGACAATACAAAGATTGCTGTTAAACGATTGACAGATTATGAAAGTGCTGCTGGGGAATCTGCCTTCATGCGCGAAATAGAATTGATTAGTGTAGCTGTACATAGAAATCTGCTGAAACTAATTGGATTCTGTACCACACCTTCCGAGAGACTCCTGGTTTATCCTTTTATGCAAAATTTAAGTGTGGCATATCGACTACGAGGTATTTCTTTCTTATCCTCTGCTCACCCCCATTCTTTAGGTTTGTTACGTTGAAAAGTTTTTAGAGAGGCCTAAGCCATTTTTTCCTACAATCATAAGATTACCCTATCAAGCTATGAATATCTGATTCACCCACGTTGGCCAAGGGTGAATTGGTCTGCTCCATCTCCCTAACCCTTGCATTTTTCATGTAATTATTCTTCATTTTATGATTCCCTTGATGGATTACCACAGTTACATCAAGTTATTGCAATATCTCTTGAGCGTTAATTATCATGTTTTCATCCATTTATTTTCCTATGTCTAGATACACATCTTTTCCTATGTTTAGAGAGGTCTTGCCATTTTCTAGTACAATCATAAGCATACCCTATCAAGATATGAATATCTGATTCATCTACGTTGGCCAAGGGTGAATTGATCCGTTCCATCTCCCTAACCCTTGCATTTTTCACGTAATTATTCTTCATTTTATGCTCCCCCTGATGTACTACCATTGTTCCCGTTGCACCAAGCTATTGCAATATCTCTTCAATGTTCTATGTCATGTTTTCATCCATTTATTTTCCTATGTCTAGATACACATTTTTAATTGACCATGTTTATCATGGAGAACTTTGAGATCAGCATCATATATATCTATTTGTCTTGCCACTTGAGGCAGAGATTAAACCTGGAGAAGCTGTGCTAGACTGGCCTACCAGAAAGCGGGTAGCTCTGGGCGCAGCTCGAGGTCTAGAATACCTCCATGAGCATTGCGACCCAAAGATTATCCATCGCGATGTCAAAGCTGCAAATGTTCTGCTTGATGAGGGCTTCGAAGCCGTTGTTGGGGACTTCGGCTTGGCGAAACTAGTCGATGTGAGGAAGACTTCCGTAACGACCCAAGTCCGTGGAACCATGGGTCACATTGCACCTGAATACTTATCCACTGGGAAGTCATCTGAGAAGACCGACGTCTTTGGTTATGGGATCATGCTTCTCGAACTGGTCACAGGACAGCGGGCAATAGACTTCTCTCGCCTGGAGGAAGAAGATGATGTGCTCCTACTCGACCATGTAAGTTTGCCCTGCAATTTCTTTCCTGGGTGATCTTGATGATTAGCAGATTGCCCACAAATTTTCGGTTTCAATATCTTATGGTAGATGATATTTATGTCAAGTGGGCATGTGCCCAGATTAATCTAAGTCCTGAAAAAAAACAAAAAGACTCCGTTTGGTTGGGTCAATTAACATGTTCGCTGATTACCATGCAGGTGAAGAAGCTGGAGCGGGAGAAGAGATTGGATGCCATTGTAGACCGCAACCTGAAGAGGAATTATGACGGGCAAGAGGTGGAAATGATGATCCAAGTCGCTCTGCTCTGCACTCAGCCGTCGCCTGAGGATCGCCCGTCGATGTCGGAGGTCGTCCGGATGCTCGAAGGGGAGGGGCTGGCCGAGAGGTGGGAGGAGTGGCAGCAGGTGGAAGTCACCCGGAGGCAGGAGTATGAGAGGCTGCAGGGGAGGTTCAACTGGGTAGAAGACTCGATGTACAATCAGGACGCAATCGAGTTATCTGGAGGGAGATGAGATCACGGAGAGCAAAGCTCATCTGAAGAACCCTAATTATAATTACACTGGTTTTGACTATATATTGTGAAAGAGAGTAACATGATCCAAGCTGAGTTCTTCTGTGTTGATTGGGGCCCCATTTTAGCTATCTGCAGTATCATCATACTGATTTCTCTCTCAATTCTTCGCTATGAATGGGGGGATCAAAAGATTTAATTCCATCTCATGGGCAACAACAGCATCAACCATAAAGAATGGGTGGCGGCAAAATTTACAATAACATGCTTCCCAAGAAGCAGAATTGAAGGGGCAGAGCCACTGGAGACCCATAAACAGACTCATTTCTCTCTCTACTTTCCTATAGAAAGGTGTCTCCGATCTTCAGGTTTGTTTAGGAAGGCAGGAAATCTCATGCTTCGCAGCTGAAGCCAAGGTTGGAGCTTTAGATCTTACCTTCAATGGGCAACCTATGAATGGGAAGATTGCTGCTGATAACATCCTTCTCGCTCTCTTGGGTCTTCTGTTTTCGAGCAGCAGATCTCATCTGCTCCATTCGAGCTCGGCATCTGAACGATGGTTATTATTCAAGCGGGCAGAGTCCTCTGGTCTGATGGAATTTCCAAAAGTATGCCATCCCAAGAGGTATGGTATGATAAACTGAAAATAACAGAGCAAGTGGGTGGATCGATTTAGTCTTCCCATGATCGTCGTTGGAAAGGTCAAAGACGAAAGTGGGCAGTGAAGACTATAAAACGAACATAAACTAACAAATTATACTGCCGCAGAGGGTGTCAGCATAGAAGGTTTAATTATAATACAACGAGAAAATAGCCGGTCATCCATCAGAAAATCATACAACGAGAAGCTAAAATTCCATATTCAATGCAAAGAAAATAACTAGCATGTGTAACTTACAGTGGGTAATTGATTTCCTGAAACCAATAAATCCTAAATCAATAATAAATTTAGAACTAGTGCTTTTAACGTAAAAAAATCCCAAGAAAATATCTAATATAATGCTTCAGAATATTTTTGGCCTATATTTACTACATTTTACTAATTTGTCGGATATTAAACTGGATTTTTTTTCCAGAGTCCTAGAGCAAATCTTCAATGAAGGTAAAGCTGACACCGCCAACAGTTAACTAGTCTTTTATATCCTTGGTTTATTTACTTTAACAATGGCATGTCGACCACAAGCACTAAAAGAATGAACAAGAGAAAGCAGTCCTCACGTTGAAAGCTGACTTAAGAACAGCAAACTCTGCTTTTGTTATAGGGATGTACACACTGTCATCCACATTCAATATACGATTTTGAACACCTGAAAGGAAATAATAAATGAGTTATTACATTGTCAACATTATTTATAGGACAGAATATGAAAAAATGCACGATTGACTGTATAGATCATCCTGGAAAAATTATTTCCGATTTATTTTCTCTTTTCCCCTCAAAATGCGCTGTACCATCAACAATAGTCCTTCAGAAAAAAAAATTACTATCATTCAAGTACAAGTCTTTGATAATCATTTTACTTAAGAAGGTACTTTTAATTATTCTAATAAATATTTCGAAGATTGGTAACTGTTCACAATTAATTTTCAAAAAAGGAAACCTGAAAATTAATATGTCAACAGAAACGTAACCATAGCAACTCATATTCAAGATAGAACATTACTAAGGTTAAGGAAATGGCCGCTGCCGTCAGGAAGAGGCTCTGCCTTTAGGAGCTTCCTGATCTTCCCTTCGTCACTGCAAACAAGAAGAGCATTCCATGTAACCTTCAGAGTGTTTAAAAGGACTTCAAGATCCACTAACCACCATCATTGATATGCAATGAGACATAATTTGACCGAAGATAAACAAAATGGAGTGTAGACAATTTTACACGTGAAGAACAGCCGTCTACTAGCAAAAAGATGACTTACAGAAGCCCCCTCAGAGCTGCACATACTCATTACACTTTCACCTGGAGAGAGAAATTTGTTTTAAACCCCATTTTAACTCATTACACTTTCCCAACTAGGGACTTTTAAGTCAAACTTTCGAGAGGTACAAAATTCTGCCGGAACAGCTCTTTTTTAAGAATTGTCACGTTCAAATAGCCCTACACTGCCGACTAATGTTCCTCCCGACCCAAATGAATTGCAGCTCCAACACAACGTCAAAATTCGTCAAAGAAGGCATCAAAGTAATAACCGATTTGAAGTCAGCAAATAGCCACATTTCAGATACAACTGAATAACTCAACTGCATTTTTATGACACAATATATTAGCGTGCAACTATTTATCTAATTAATCTCATCTTACCAACGCCAATGGAAGGAAACCTTGATTTATTGTCGTTGAAAAGGCAAATTATTGATAGGAGATTATCGCGAAAATGAAGGTTCAGGGCCCCTTGCTCTAAAAATATTCCAGTTTAGGAAGAAGTGAATCTGGCATTCAGGCATTGGATAATTGACAGAATTGAAGTACAAACGATGAAATTTAAGATTCATATCTAAGACCTGAATGTTTTAACATAGAGTGCGTAAAGAATGGCTGCTTGATAAATACAAAAAGGATGCTTTAGAATATATTTACGTATATTATCCTCACATTATTTGAAATAAATTAAAAAATAATAACAGTAGCTGGGGATAACAAGTGGCCGGAATGGTAATTGGAAGCACAACAAACATGAGTGAAATTGGTGGTAGGTGAGGTACTACTGAATAGCAATGTAATCGTCACAATAGTGGAAGATAGAGTTGATCGGTTGCAAAAGAAAAGATCTAGGAAAGTTTCTGAATAATTTTTCAAATTATGAGTTTGGAGCCTGGAGGTGTGATTTTTAAATATTGAAGAGAGGATTGGACTTCCCACCGTGCGTCATCTCGTCTATCCACTATCTCACCAAAGAAGAAAAAAAGACAGATGAGTTAAAGCTGATAAGACAGAATCAGATTAGAATAGGCCAATTCGAGTCCCATGGTGCGAACTCCCATTGCAGGGCCCCAAAACCACATCACGTACATATCCTCCTCCATCAATATGTGCAACGTTTCTCATTGAATTACCTATGCCCGACTCAGCTGCACTATTCTCAACTAATAGCCTTGTCCACAGTTAGCAACTAAGGCAAGGTTTTTTATAGTCAGCTTGACATCATGAGAACTTACAAGTCTGTGTTGAGGCCTGCTGCTACCCCTTGACAAATTTAGAATTTCTCATAGTCAGCTTGACTCTCACCATGATTCATTTTCAAGGCCATACGCACAGCTTGAAACACATACATGAAAAGAAATTTACAATATTTTCTCTGTATGTTTATTACTACTACATAGTTTACCTATCTCCCATGATTTGATTTCGATTAATGATAACTTGTAATTCATATATATATCTTTTGTAACAGTATCTATTTATAGATATATATATATATATATCTCCTTGCTCCTCTACAAGGTAACAGTAATAATAATAATAATAATAATAATGATAAATTAATAACAGTTTTGGCAATAACAATATCAAATAAAAATAGTGAAGTCAATCCCTTTAGCTAGAACAAATATTTTTTCGTGCCATGGCCCTGCATTTCTTATCGCTTATATATATATATATATATATATATATTAATTATCTGGACTGAATACTGCAAAGTCCAAGACCATGCAAAATGAGTACAACACGCAATTCCAGGTTCAGATCTATACAAGTTACAATCCAAAAATAATTCAACCTCAATGTTAGGAAAAATAATTTCCATGTGAGAAGCCAAAGATTACCTTCTTCCTTTAAATGGATCATGAAAAAATTCGCATGAATCCTTCTCACCAAGGCTTAACAGCATTCCAATTTCTGGAACAGATAATGAGAACACCTGATAAGAAGTTAACAAAAGAATATTCAACGTGCGGCTACTGTCTATTGCCATAAAAACTGCGGCGTATCATCTACCAATTAAACAGTATCATCAACGTCATCATCATCACCATCAGTGACACATTTTTTCAGCTAGTAATATCATCGGAAACACTACCTTTCCAAAGCACATAATAGCACTTGATAATAGCACATAATAATACCAATTATTTTATAAAATAATGAGTTATCATCGAAAGAGTAGAGAGTTCAGCATACATGCACTTGAGGGAAAAAGTATGTCATAAAGAAACAGAAATAGATATGGTAGTGTTGAAGGTGTGCAACCACCGCCCTCTCTCTAGGGAGCATTGGATCCGAGTTAGCCACTTAAAACTCATGGGACGACTGTGTACATGTCACAATAACAGCCAATGGTACATAGCCAAATCACCCATTCCCTCTGTTGGTAACGCTATCACTCCTTCACTACAATCTTTAGGGAATAATCTTGGATTATCAGAGATACGTCTCCCCTCCTATCATGTCTAGAATTTTACTCCACAGAAGCTCCAATAGAAGGTTTACTCCAAGCGGGGCATTGTCTCTGGGTCACACACCTCTTTCAATCTCCTTCGAGCTCAATTACAAAATTGGAACAATGGAAATGGATTTTTGTGCTACTTTTTAACCATCTAACTCAACAGAATGCTATTTTCTTTTCTTTCCATTAAAATTATGTGATGCATGTTCTAGCCTGTTTTTATGTTTCCTAACAGAATATGATGATTATTTCTTCTCGTCTGTTGACTACAATAACACTTGACGCATGCTAAGTTCCTCTAATACTCACACCCATTTCTACATGTTCACCTTTGGTCCTCTATTTCTTTTTAGGGCATATAAAATCCTTTGTTCTTCTAGAGACAAAGAAACATCTGCCTAAAACATTGTAAAACGGTCCAAACACAAAGCGTGAGGGTATATTAAATGAAGAAAGCTGTATTAAAAAATTGAACCCTTTGTTCTTCTAGAGACAAAGAAACATCTGCTCAAAGTTCCCCCGCATTAGCAGCAAAAAGCCCGTTTTCTGTAGCATGTTAGGCTCATCATAAGCCCTAACTTGCAGTAACTACGTCCACCAAAATACTCACTCTTAGAGATGTGCAGTTAACTCATCCAGATTGGCAAAAAGATATAATAGCTGAGACATAAAATCATTCAATCTTAGATATGTACATATCGGAGAAAATTGTAGCAGTTAAATACCAAATGAGTTTGGAACCTTTATTGCGAAAAATTAACAAAACAAACTCAGGTACATGGCACTAGTATGAGGTTTGCTAAAAATATCCAATCCCCAAGCCTTTTTTCTCTTGAATCTGAAATAGCCATCTTACTGGGAAACATAACTTATCTTTAAATAAAAATATATTCCTTAATCAATGGAGAAGTCAACGACAGATCGATATTATTGGCATTAAACCATTAATTGTCTACAAGGAGAAAGAATGTTTGCAGCAGATGCTGTATATCCGGATGTCATAGCCGAGCACGAAAAACGGTTGGAAGTCACTGGTTAAGGAGCGCGGAATACAGGTAGTCACACAACTAATGGTGTATTTACTGCGCCATGTCACCGTCAAAAGAGCTCTGCAGAACTGTATGATGCACCCCAAGTAGATTAAACAGCCATCCAAAAAGAACCCAGGAAGATAAAAAATCAGAATCAGCCCTAAACTTACCTGCTTCCTATTCCAATCGTACTGACGTGCCGCCACCGCTGGGGCAAACTGGAGCAAAATGAAGCCCTCCTTCGAAACTTTGTAAGCTCCTGACTGTGTACAGAGTGTGTGATCTGCATCAGATACAAGAGAACCAACGAGAAGGAGAATCCGACGGGAAGTAACGTCACGTAAGTTTACATCTAAAGAGATGAACTCCGGAGCCCTCGGCTCCACAGTGAGTGCTGCCTTCCCCTTGTATATAGAGTGTCCAACGAAAACCCTTACCGGCTGACCTGAAAGGGAAGTACCCAAAACAGGACGTCAAAACAGGTCCCAATTGCGAAGACCAGCGATTCTTATATGCACGTTGCCGGGAGAAGAACGGTAGAACGAGATGTCGGACCTTCTGGAGACCTGAAAGAAGAAGCTCCTTCATGCGGCTCCGGTGCCCCCTGCTGGTGCAGGCCGCTGGGGCTGGCCCGACGGCATTTCACGGATAACGCCTTCTTCCTGGAGATAAATCCGTGGGCACGAGAGAAGCAAAAGCTTTCGGCGGAGGAGGGATTACAGTACGGGAGGGCCAAGGGAGATGAGAGGAGGTGCATCTCCAGACGGAGAACGAGAGAGGAGACGAGGCAGAGGGCGACGGGGGAGGAGAGAAGACGAGCGACGACCGATGGAGGGAAAGTGGAAGCAACTTCGGTTTTTCTATCTTCTCAGCGAACGTGTGGGCGCTGGTTTCACGTACCCGCTTACTCGCACGGATCAGTAGACACAAACTTCAGGCATGCTCCAATGGGCCTCATCTACTAATCTGGCCCAATCCAATCATCTCTAAAAGGCCCATACAAGCCGAAATTTCATATGCTCGATGAACCTTTTGCATACGTAGTTTCTTCTGGTATCATGTACCTAGTTACACCCATTTATTGGCCACCGTATGAAGAAAAGATCTATCCGGGGTTCGGTTTATTGACCCAGAATTTAAAAAAAAAAAAAATCTAGAAAATAAAAGACGAACGAACCATGCATGAGATCCCATCTAGCATAGAAAAAATGGGTGAATAAAATAAAGCGGAAAATGGTGAGAAAAATCAGACGTGGGCCAATCACTTTCTGGATCTCCATGGCGAGCCACCTGTAGGAAGAAGTTTCATATGCTGTGAAACTTCCATAAATGGAAACTCTCTAGAGAGAGGAGGCAGGTTATATATTAATCTCCGCACCTTAGCTTCTGTTCTTCCTGGCAGCTGCGATGTCATCCTCTATGCGCTTGACTTCATATTTCAGCTCTTGGAGAGTAGCCTTCTGTGGGCCTTTCCTATCGCCGGAGTAGTCCTCCAGTACGCTCATGAGACTCCTCAAGCAGGACAGATACTCTCCCTCAACATCTGGATACTTCAGCAAGCTCCGAATCGCCGGCTGCATAAGATCTTTCCCATTTAAGGACTTTAAGTGATCCATATTTGGCATGAAGTAATAAATGCACTGCAATCTACTCTTCTTGGAAGGGAAACCTGACAAGGGTTTTCAAGCAGCAAAGGAGGAGGGTTCTAGTCCCAGAGGCAGCCAGATGGATGGATCCAGCAGATGCATCAAAGCTTTTATTTAGATATCATACCTCTCTGTAAATGGAAATGCACTCACAAAGTGCATGCTCAGACTCGGTTGCGGCGTGAGCCATTGGTTGCATCTAGAACAACATATTACACAGTTTAGGAGATTAAAAAATTGGGACGGGAATTGGAGAGCGATTGGTCAAGATAATGAAGCATTATTATCATAATTTATAGCTTCTATGCCCCAGAATCAGAAGAGAAATCGCGTCAATAACGAGCAATTCACAGAGATTTTTGTGATCATGGGCACACATTAGCCTCCCTTTTTTTTTGCTATTTATACCAGTCAGATCTTTCAAAGATGCTTGCTTATCAAGGTTAATCAGGCATGAAAACAGTTAAATAGGGATTCATGTTGTCTGTGGTGCAACTGATGTTTATCCTCTTAGGAGAGCAATAGAATGATGAAGAAATGAGAGAAAAATAATGCAATGATTTGTGATTGATATTTTAAATAAGAAAAACTGAAAAACGGAAAGCACCCTCTCTAACCTCTGATAAGGAATGCTAACCAAAACACCAAAAGAAATTAGCAATACGTAAAGAAACTATTTCACAATACTTGTTGGTAGGTATAGAGCTTTCTGTGTCAGATAATGGAGTGTCAGCTCACCGTTTGTTCTTGTACTTCATACTTGGAAACTTCCAAAAGACCAACGGCATTGAGAGATTGCAACTGCATGTGGAAGAATCATATTTCAATTGAAGAAACACAATACCGTTGTGTATTTAAGGATTATTTCACTCCCAAATCCTCAAATTTCAGCTATGATCCTTCATAATGCACAAACATGCAACACACAATTCACAAGATCAGAAAAACACATCATAGAAGATAATATTAAACTTTGAGTCATCAAAATGCTCATTTATCTCAACATTAAGATAAATGGGATCTTGGTAGTCTCTGAAAGCATTCTCTCCTAACTGAAGAAATTCATAGATGATCGAGAGCATAAAGCAACATCTGGTAACCCTAGATGTTGAGATAGAAGAGAAAATCGATGGAGCAGAAAAGACATCCATAAATCCTAGGCGCTTGCAGTGGAGACGATTTCTCTCTATCTTGTCCACAGACACCCGCGAGGAAATGCTATAAATGATGCATGCTTAAGGGGTCTATAGGTGCCCCAAGTGAATTCCAGGCCTAACGGGCCTAAACGACTCTAGGTACTTCACAACATTTGTCAATATTGCCCAGAAACTAATGAACTTTCAGATTTTTATGCAATAACCAAGAGACTGATGCCAATCGACAGACAGCCACAACAGCCATTGAACTTTCTAGGATGTGGTCGCCCAAGCCCTAGGCTATTATTCCTGATTATATTAAGTCTTTGTAAAGATAAAAGCAATCATCATGTCAAGCAGTATCATAATAGAAATAGTAAAATGGATTTTTATAGACGTATTGGCATCAACCACAGTACGATCTGAAAAAATATCCAAAAATGTTTTTCCCTAATAAATATCAAGAAGTCAATGCGTTCCTAGTCCAACAAGACAGAAATGTATTTGTCAAAATGCTTAGTCTTTCTAGAATTCCATTGAAGAGTTTCACGGTTATTGACTTTATGGTCGACAAGAGTACTCTGTCAAAAATTTACAGTAGGTTGTTTCGAGATCAGCCTTTCCAAGATTCTGTTTTTCTGTGTGCGTATTGGAAATATCCCCATTCTAGGTCCGAGATCTTTGCCTTTCTCGATTATTTACTAAATCTACAAAAAGAAACTCAGATGTGGACAAAGTATCTTACAAAACTTTCCCCTCTAGCCACCAATAAATTCAAACGGCAAGGGGACGAGGTCCAACAAAATTGTTACTCCGCGACTCGTCACTTCAAGGAGCAAATTTGCTTTTGAATAAACTAGATGCTCCATGATAACATTCATAAATAATGGACGATGGAACATTTCATCATTTTCTATGTACATACAAAAAGTCAAATGTTTCTTTAAAAAATAATTTCAGTCGTCTTAAGAGAAAATACAATCATTTATCGCAAAATCATTTCCAAAATTTTCTCAATAAAAAGCATCTAAAGGGAAGTAAATTCAAAGAAAGGCTTTGAGTTTCTTTTCCAATCAGTGATTTTACATAAAGAGTCAGACAAATAGTAAAACTTTTTGAAACAGTATCTTTTGGAGTAATACGTCTAAAAACGAAAATTCGTCCTTGGTAGTGCACCAAGGCAAACTAACCAGTATTATTAATGCCATATGGTAATCTTTCTCGCTGTCCACTGTGGATCTGATGTTCAAACGATTATTTCCATCTGCTTTTGAAGGATCCAAAGCTGCTTTTGCAATCCTATCAAACAAAAAATAAATTAAATGAAAATACACAAACAGCCTATTAGCACAACAGAGTTCTGAGCCAACTAGATGAGATAATTGCTTAAACTTACAATCAAATTCGTTATCAATACTTTCTTAAGTACCCTCAAAACCAAATCGAATTTATTTTCCAAGTTTCGAAAAATATTTGATATTTAAACATTATACATTTTATATAAAAGAGAAAAGTTTCAGTGACATGATTCTGTAAGGTGCATCTAGAGTTTTATGAAGTTATCAAACATTCGGATTATCCCAAGAAAAGGCAACTTTTCTCACACTAATACTATGATCATGAAACATCATAGTTAAAAACTCATACGGAAAATATTGCCTTGAACTAGGTCATTTTTGACATCATCATTTTTATTATTCGATGTGGTTATTCAGACTCGCATTCGCATTAAATCCTAAGCGTCGACAGCCAGATCAAATAAGGGAAAAAATAAAGAATAGCCAGAAAATAAGCAAATAAAAGGCAGATCTCACTGTGAATTTTTTGTTGATTTTTTGTCAACTAGAGCCATTGACATGAATGGCTATGACTAAATAAAAAAATCAGAGAATTTTTTCCACTGAAGTTTTTCATTGCGTATAATAATGAGACAACATTTTCTTTTTAGTACGATTTCTGTTATTTGATTTTTGGAAATAACCGTTTCATGAAGTATGTGGACTAAACAATCCACAATTCAAGTGAAATCGTCAGCAGTAAGATATGAGAATTTCCATCCACAAAAAGAGTCAATAAAAAAGACAATTCTAAAGAACAAAAACTATAAGTTCCCATTTACAACAATGTTTTACATTTTTCTCCTTATACTCCCAGCAATTATCCATAAAATTGGAGGTGAAGAGTAATGTTCAAGGAACAGTACTCCATAAAATTGGAGGTGAAGAGTAATGTTCTCATAAATTACGTAACCAATTGATATCGACAGTGTGAAAACAATCACTAGAAAACTGCATTTTAGTAGACTACGAAATTCTCCACATCAAAAATATTGCTTGCAGTGGAGATGGGGTTTTCAATAGGCTAGGTATACTCTAGTCTGACTTAACCGAGCATGGTTTCTCCGGATCTGGGTTTCAAAATCCAGACTAGAAAGAATTTTAAATGTACAGATTTTTAAGCTCAGACCGATTTTTTACCTGAACCATAAGACACACTCTCTCCCTCCCCATCACTTTCCTTCCCTCTCCTACCGCATGAGAATTCATCTGATCCTTTTGTCCCATATCTTCCCTTCACCTTGATTTTCTTAATGAATACTCCAGAATCCCGCCTTCGTCTCAACCTCCATCCCCCTTCCCCTCGTAGGACAGCAGATATTGTCACTCTTACCCAGACTTCCAACCCATTCCTGTACTTTGTCTTGTCCTTACCTGATGTAGCGCAGCACAAACAGCAGCAGGAAAAGCCTAAAACTGGAAGGCCAGCCACTCTGGAAATGGGCCGTGAAGGCGATAAGACCCAAACAGGGCCTTAAACTATATTACGCCAAAATAAAGTGCATAAGTAATGAGTCAGAGTCGGTTTTCAGTAACTGACATTTTTACTAGGACGTCTGTATTTATTAGAGACCTAGATAAAGTACACGCTAGGGATTACAATGTGGTGGCACGTTTGTTAGACTGTTTTGATTTTGTTTCAGAATCTGGTCTGATTCTTAGGGGCGTCACATCTGATTTTCGGCCTAACCACATTGTAATCCCTAGAAACAAGTTGAATAATACGAATTTTCTCTTTAAGGGTCTCTCTCTGCTAATAGATTCAAGTTTTTCCTCCTTGTGGATCTAAGGATCACCTCAAGTCAGTTGTGAATTCAAGGATTAGGGATTCCAAGTCTTGTGGATTCAAGGCATGGTTTCACAACTCCAAAGCTCGATATTGTGCCTTGAAGATTTAAAATAGAAATATATCATTTCTAAAACTCTAGTTGCGTCGAGTGAATAAATCTTCACCTTCCGCCATTTGAACTACATTAATGTAAAGATTTACCCATGTAAAGATGTCAAAATGACATGAGATAAAGATTCACGCACTTGACATAACTGGAGTCTCAGAAAATGACATATTTGAGCCTTGAATCCATAGGGTAAGAATCTAAAGCTTCAGAGCTTAGAAACAACATGTTAAATCCACATGACCTGGAATCCTTGATCTTTGAATCCACAAAGATAAACTGAAGGTGATCCTTTTGAATCCACAAGGGGGAAAATTTTGACTCTATAAGTAGAGAGAGACACTCAAAGAGAGAATTTGTATAATTCAAGCTGTTTCAAGAGTTACAATATGATGGCCTTAAATGGGTACTCCTAAAAATCAGAACAGATTATAAAATACAATCAAAACAGTCTAAAAAATGTGTCAATTACTAAAATTGGCTCTAACACTCATTATCAAGGTCTAACAATTCCAGCAGCCTAGAAGACATGTTAGTTAACTGAAACCTAGCTCTAATCATTTTGGCCTAATTTGATTTTCGGCCCTATTTGCGTCTTGTCATCTTCACAATCCATTTCTAGAGTGGCTGGCCCTCTAGTTTTGAGTTTTTCCTGTTGTTAAGTGTGTTGTTCTACATCATTGCCTCACCCACCAATAGGAGTCTTCCATCCTTCCCTTTCATCATTCCAATTGGAGAGTCTCTCTCCCCTCTGCATGCCATTCCCTATTTCGTCCCAAAAAACCTTACCCCACCTAATCATCTCCCCTCTTCTGCATCTTGAGGCAAGATATTTTAGCGAATTCAAGAAAGTAGGTATAACCTCACACTTCAGAGAAGCTGGGACAAAATATGGATATGAGTTAAAACTAAAACCCAATACAATGTACCACAGCATATACGATGAAGCTTGTTCTCTCTCTTCATAAAAAGGCCTCAGACAAAAGCAAGCCAAGCTTGGGATTTGGTAAATGTGATGACCTTAAGCTCAAACAGGGGAATTGTTAATCAGCATTTAAAGCTCAAACCTACAAGAGACCTTGACCAGCACATCAATGCCTTAACCACTTCTAAAGAGAAAACAAACGAGAAAACCGCTCGCTGAGAATAAACATCATACCCGCAATCAAACAGAAGTCGTACTTAGGGGCAAATTATGCAGTTACAAGAAACTAAAAAAGCCAACATGTTTTCAATCTACTTAAAGGTCAAGATTTTGGAAGAGACATCAACTTTGAATCCTGTCAGCACCTAGATATAGAGAGCTGTAAGAACTAATATACTGCTTTGTACGACAAAGAGGAACACTTGTTTGAGAAATAAATTGCATTACATTTGACATTATCTGAATATGAAAATATTCAAAAATTTGTGCGAGAGAAAAAAGGACCGGAACCTTATAGAGTCCTCTAAAAAGAGCTTTGCTTTGTCAAGTGCAGCCCTTGCCTCCGGCAGGTTACTCTTCCTTAGTTGACTAGAACATAGCATTTTTACTCTAGCTAAATGAAGCATGTTAGCCGCCACCTGTACATTTCAAATCAGAAGAATGCGGAGCCTCCGCATTATTTAAAAATCAATGAAAATAATAAACATCAAATCAGATATGAGACACATGATCACATAAGTGTAATTCTCTTTTCATGTCATTGAATGACAATAATATAATTTATGTACATAAAGAAATGATTGTTCTACCGGATTATTTAACACGCTCGTAATGGAAATTGTTGGAAGCTCTAAGTCGTAGACTGGGTAGTTTGGGAAAGTTGTGTAGGGTTCCTCCTAGTATAATGGGTGTTAAAGGTCAATGAATCTTGAGACGGTTTCTGCCATTCCTCCACTCTGTCACAGATGACAGAGTCATTCTCCCTTTGCCAATGCTTTTCGACAGAAATCTTTTAGCAGTTGCATTAATCAATACACTCATATCATGCATACATTGCAAGATAAATTTACACAAACTGACACACAAGCCTACTGAAGCTAACTTATTATTTTGCATGTTTCCCGTACTAAAAACGAAAGATAGCTTTAATGGAAGAACTCTAGGTATTGGATAGAATGTGATAGCATCAACACCAAAAGGGATTTACAATATAGAGAATCGAGAATCAAATAAACCAAGCTTTCAAAAGCATACGAGAAGAAAATGAACCTGGATGTGTTCTTCATGCAAAATGTTCTTTCTAGTGTGTAGACACCTGCGGGATGAATATTTTAGTAACATAAAGTCGGCTCTTACGCAATATATACAGAGAAAAAGTAGAAAGGTGTGATCAAACAGAAAAAAAAAAATCGGCACCGTTCCAGAAGCTCCTGGGCTTCGAGTAAATCCCCAAGGGACTGAAGAGTCAATGCCAACTGCTCTGCAGCAATTACAGTGTCAGGTGACCATCCCTGGTAAAAAGTTACAAATTTGACCGTTAGATATAAAAACAAGATGGAGACTACTCGCTAGCAACCAAAATGAAGCCACAATTTATTTTTACAATCAACCTATTTAACATGCTACACCATGAAATGCTGCATTCGTTAAAATGTGAGGAAATAGTTAACCCTCTTTTGTTTTTTTTTTCCTATCATTGTATTTTTTTTCCGGGAAAATGGTTTCTTCTGTCATTTATTTCTTTAGTGCACTCTTTTCATCATCAGTTACCATTGTCCAAAGAGAGCAATGCAAAAACACTCTGTATTTAGCGAAAGGATCACCCATTAGGCCACTAGCAATACACATATATATCTCCAACTAATATTTGAACCAAATGTGTACAATGTCTGTTCAGAAATCTCCCCCGACAGAAAAGATCGAACAATTTGATATTCTTTCTATATTCACTGCAATATGGCAGGTATAATAATAGCATCCTTCTGTCCAACAAGTATTCCATCGGTTATACAAGTCCATGACAATTAACTCTACTTCCATTGAACTTCAAAGGAAATAAATCCAGCATGGTTGAATCAATTTAAACATAATTCTTTCACGAGTTCAACTTAAACCATTGTCCTCGCCCCAAAAAGAAAACTGCACCTGTAGCTTCTGCCTATTTCTCAGGGAGAATTTGGAAGATGGCGAAGCACCACATTTCACCAAAACGTCAACATATACAGTTTGGAAGCGAAAGAAGCACATGCCCGTAAAATAAGAAAGACGTGAATCTGAACCACAAGGCCCAGAAAGTAAATAGCTCGGACATTCAATCAAACACTCAATCTGCTAGAATAAGTTCCTTAGGGGAGCTGGTAGACAACAAGAACGTGGAAATTAATTTTCAGATAAACTGAATACTCAAGTAGGTAACTGCAGGTAGCAGTTGTCAGTTGCTTACTATCACTCTACCTATGCAACATTTTTTGTCAATCAATATAACATGTATTGAGCCTCCTTTGGCCAAAAAAAGGAACATATATTCACAAAGAGAATCTGGCTGATAGAGCCAACACACAGATATTACAGACTGGAAAAGTTCTTAATAGGACGACAGAAACAAAACAAAAATAAAACCTTTGAAATCTCTAACACATGCAAGATCTTTCTTTGTAGTGCCTCAGCCTCACGTAAAAGACCAGACTTTACCAGCATCTGTCATATAAATTGTACATGATTAGAAAAATCCTGGCAACAAATAGAGATAAATATGCTAATGTAGAGTTAAACATTCACAGGATGGATCATCAAATAAATGTGGTTAAATAACCTGAAGAAATATGGAACACAACCAAATAAAATTAAAAGAAAACTATTGTCTAGCCTTGTGATCAAGAATGCTCATTCGTTGATCATTGTAATCTGCACAATGCATATCCCAGGGAACCAAAACAAATGCCAACAAAAAAAATTATATAAGGTGTCCATGAACGCTACTTTCTAGCAAGAAGCATAGTATATACATATATGTTGTCTTGTTTTCCAATCCCTTAAACACCAAGAGGAAAAACCCTGTGTTTTAATTTAAAACATAAGCCTTCTGGAATATACATCTGTTCAAATTTTTATCCTTCGGTTACAATCGATGTTCCCTAGTACCCCCCACTCATTGTTGGAGATATGTCTGAGCTTCTCACTGTGCCAAACATGGCAGCCGCATGCCCATGACAGCATCCAAGAAATGGGAAGAGCCACCTGCTTTCTCATGTTTATTTTTTCATACGCAAAATTATGGAGTCTGATGTATGATAGATATTCTATATGTATTTCATTTTCAACTACGAGTTAATTATAAGAAAAATATTTACTGTAGTGCTATCTTTGGAAGTGTAACACAATAAAAACCTTTTGATCACTCAATGCATGCATAAGATACACAAAGATACATCTTAAAAATTCCTATATAAATCATTGGTCAGTGTTTTGTGATAATTAATAAGTATAAATAAACAGAGTCTCCAGGTGCTAATTCGTATAAGACATGATTGATCAAAAGCACTAGCCGTGGAAGTAAAGCTTAAGTGATAATGCAATACCTACCTAGCCTTTATTCAGCAAAACCAAGCAAAAAATCTTTAGGATTTCACAATTTAGCAGATCAAATTGCACCATATTAGATGCACAAAATAGCCATCCCGATGAATGAAAATATATTCATATTTCTCAACGCTTAATGCAATCATGAGTTCTCCATAAGAAAGATGGCTCTTCAGACAGATTAAAAAAGCAATGGAATATGTTAGAACCTGGGAAAGATATCGCATCCTCCTAACGAAAATTGCTGACTGACCTAATCCTCCTTCCTAAACAAGAGAAAAGAGAAGTAAAAAGACAGAACGACATCAATAATTCCAACTCTCCGGGGGAAACTTGAGCTTAAGATGGAAGACCTCTAGTATCCTAATAGAATCTCGAATCAGAACCTCTCCATCCTTCTCTTTGCCTTGAAGATACAACACCTGCAAAAAAAAACACACAATTCAAATGCCTTCCTGAAAATTCATCATTTTTTCAATCCTATGATCAACATCTGACATTCAATTGGACATCCTCATTCTTCTCATTTCTGTTCTCTTACATTTTCTATCATTTCACTCAAGATGCTGGAACCAAACGTCTCAACCTTGAACCTTAGTTTAGGGCAAACCAAGGATCAACTACATCCACTACTCAGCAGTATTACAGATTGACTTATTCTAAGAGACTGCATAGTCCTTTCTTGAAGGGATCATTAAGAATCTGCTACCTCATGGTTAACAACCTATTGAAATCATACACCAATCTCCACAGCCAAAGCATGGAAATAGGATCAATCCTAGATTAGATTCCGAAAAACCAGGACTGCTGCCTTATCCTTCTTCTTGGCTTATCAAATGAATTAAAAAATTCCAGCAATATATGAGGTAGGGCGATGACTGAAGATGCAGTAAATTTTACTTGTAGTTTATAACTACAAATTGAATTATTTGAAAGGAAAAACTAGAAAAAACTAGAAGTATATATAAATAAATATTAGAAATGTATATATAAGTAAAAAAAATTGAAATATAGAAATAATATTTTAAAAATATATCAGAGATGGATATAGAATTGCATCCCGAGGTTCCTTCCAGGAGACATCTTGAAAAAGCACTATGCAAATTTTTCAGCACCATATTATGTAACTACAAATGATCTGCAAACTTACATCTGATATAGAAACATTTACATCCGATTAAAAAATTCAAGGCAAATTTAGTGTTAACCAATATTTTTAACGGAAAGCAATAAACCATGGAACAGAATAATGTCAGAACAAAATTTAATAGAACTGAAAACAAACAGGACTTTGCAGTTCAGAAGTGTATTAAGGCACCAACCACATCTTACATTCACAAGAACCAAAAGATTTCCACAGCAGTATTTGAACCTGTGAGATTTGACAGTCCCCCAATCACAACTTATATTTTTTTTCCCGTTAATCATTTCACAGTTTCATTCATCATCTATCACTCCCTTCAACTTGAGATAAGGATGCAAAGAAATCTTCTAGCAAGTTCAAACAACCAGATTTCTCTCAGCAAAAAAAATCAGGAAAAAGTTGAGAATAGGAGCACCTACCCACAACCAAAAAAGAACATTGAAAAGGCAATATTAGTTAGAAATACATCAATTCTGAAAAGCTGATGTTGACAGTAGAAAAAAAACAACCCTCAGCAGAAAAACTGAAATAAGTAATTAATAATCAGTGTCATTCCAATATTTTACCGTCCCCAGATGATACATCGTATCTGCATAGTCGGTATGTCCATAACCTAAAACACGTCCCTTTATCTGTGAAAGGTAATTTCATATCAGCACAACAAGCAAATTATAGAAAGATGGAACGACCAGAAAAAATATTAAGAGATCAGATGGAAGCAACAAGAAAACCGTCAGCAGATGATGCCTGGTGCAGGCTTCAAGTTAAACACTGAATACCACACATAATGTACCTTCAATGCCCGCTGCCACATGAAACAGATAAGAGAAAGAAAACTAACTTAGGGTGAAATGTAAAGGAAAAATCATTCGTCTTTTAAAAGTAAATATAATGCAGTTTCCATACGAAATATTAATAAACAATCGAGAACTCAGGACATAGACTGCTGATAAAGTAAAGAAATAACAACAGCATCCACTTTCAGAAAATGTGTTCATTCAAATTATGTAACTTTTTTTATCTATGAACAAATAACATAGATTGAACCTCCACATGTCAAACCTAAAACATAAAGGCCAACATTGTCTGATTTTTAAAGTATTTGCAGAAAAGCAGATTACACCTCCTTTGTGGCAGTTGAGAGTAACTTGTAAATGTTTATACAAAATTCAAATAAAAAACAATGGATCGTCTTCAAAATACTTTATTTGTCGAAAATCGGCATCTCCAATAGCTGATCCACACTGTGGGTCCAGTCTGAGCCTAACAAGGTTTGCTAACCATTATTGCAGCATAAAAGTGCCAAATATGTTACCCATCTCATATGTCTAAGTTAGGTTCCCATGTTTTCAATGGAAATATAAATAGAGTTAAGTGGAATCAGTTTAGCTTCATAAATGTATAATTGTACCCCATAACATGTTCATGTTTCCTCATCAGTGAACCTCACACCAGGTTGGCTAACCAAGATTGCAAAACAAAAATACCAAAAAAATTAGATATCCCAATTCAAGTAGGTCCCTTACAATCTCCATGCTCTAAAAGGATGATAATTATCTTTAACTGAAGTTTATTCAACTTCATAAATGCATAATTTTACCTCATAACATCTTTGAGCTTCATCAAGGTTTTTTCGTACAAGGTAAAATTGCCCAAGATTGTGAAGAGCAGCTCCTACTCTGTGGCCAAAAAAAGTTGATTAAAAAGTCTTAAGGAAGCTAAAGAAAAATTTTCACAAGTAAAAATGAATGATAAAGCAAATTCAACACCTTGTACCAAGTGTCAACATTTTCGTGTCTAATAGCGCATGTCTAGACTTCAGTAGATAAACACTAGACTGTGACCGTAAAAGCTTCATATCTCTGCAGCCTTATGGGGTGAATCATATATGCAATGAAAAAGTTTAAGACCTTGTCTCTTTAATGCTCTTTAATAAGTATGCCTTTTTTCGACAAGACAAATTAATGGGTTAAACAATCTCAAAGCATCATTGGGATATGACTAAGAGTAACTTACATTGAAATAAGATGAGTAAATTATATACCATGACTTCGAGAAATTAGCAATAAGTCAAACCCAACATTTTAAAGCATCTCTTAGGTGACAAAGATAGCCACATAGAAGGGGCATCCAGCTGCATGGAAACAATCAGCCTGATATGGTATTCACCCAGGTCAACTGAGCGGTTTTAGGCTTGCCTCGGTGTCAATTGCACCTCTTGGTTGCACAGTAAGGTATATTTAACCCCCCCCCCCCCCCCTTGTAGCCCTAGAAGCATTCAATCAATTCTATGAATTTTCTTCCTCTGAGGTTTGGATTCAAGGACAAGATTTCGACTCCAGACATCTCGGACTGCATCATGAAATAAAAACTTTGCATTGATTTAATAATTAGTCAATAACACAGTCGCCAAGATAGTAGTGCGATGTATTACATACTTCCATCTATGATGAAACTGCTTTCAGATATTTATTGGTACCAAGAACATCAACTTTCAAGTAGATATATTGTTATGTTTGACAGCATATTTCTGTAATTCCTACGTTCACATCTTCAAGAAGTTGGAAATGAGCACAATATTTTTTTTTCTTATAATTAAACTATATTTTAACATTCAATAAAGACAGAATATCTCCGGGATCAATGCTCGCAGAACATACCGCACATCCTCTGGCCCAAAAGCCTCCTGTAGAATATTTAAAGCTTCCAAATATAATGGCTCTGCTTTGTGAAATTCCTTCTGTACCCGATAGAGTTCAGCCTGCAGAAATCAAAAAAGAAAAGTATAAGGTAATTGGCACAAGTAGAGTAGCTTGGCAGGTGAAACTGTTTTTGGACTTTTGAGTGTCAATAGCATCTGAGAGTTTCCCCTATTAATATAATGTATTACTGGAAGCATGTGGACCTTCAAAGGTACGAATTGTGTTCCTCATCCCTCTAATCAGATAACGATTACATGACTCTCGAAAGAAAAATATTCCAAGATACCAAGATGAGATATTTCTCTAAGAATTTTATTTTAAAAAAAATTCAAACGTACTCATTGCAAAGTTAACAAAAATTCATTATAGAAAATCAATGGATCCTGAATTATTTATTCAATGATGTTCTTTATGTAATTGACTGCACGTAATTTGCATACATAAACATTTTGAACATGCGTCTCACATTTCCTTAAATTCAACCAAGATATTTTATATGCCGGCCCCCAAAGGTTCCAAAACTCTTAATTATTACACGCGCATACAATTCTTTATGATATGAATTTGTCACATGACACATTGTCAGACTTTGTACATTACTACCACCAGCAAAAAATACCATTGAGGTAACCCTGACAAGACTATGAAGTGTGTTTCAGCAGTGTGGGGAAAGGGCAATATGCATGGGCAAATTAGATTATGCCTTTTATGAAGTTAATACCTACGTTTCAAGCATACGGAACAGGTAACTTTGTTGACAACTCGTCCTTTGACAAAAAGAAAAAAAAGATAAGTCTATTTATAAAGAAAAAAAAAAGATGTACCTCCAATAGCTATTCTTAATTCCTTAACAGTTTGAGTTCAATTCTTTGTTAATTTATTATCCAAATTATGTCATTTATTCACATCTATTCCTAGAAATGCTCGGCTCAGAAGTCCTATTCCCAGGTCGCCCTCTTCTTCTTCGTCAATGGTCCCTGGGATTAAATTACAGAGGGGACAAGGCAGATATACCACGAAAAGAGTAAAGAATGTCGTTGACAATATTGGTCCTATCCAAGAAAGATAAAAGAAAAGCATATCAAAAGAATGATTCTGATAATTAGGACTTTAAAGATTCAGAGAGCTGCGAAAAATGGCATTAAGATCTAAGCAGTTATTACAGTCAGATATACCATTTCATACCATGTTTAATTGTTATAATTCTGATAATTACCGTGACTACTTCATGGTAATACAACTAGAAAATACTTCCATACCACTCTATAAAAGAAGAACGGAACTCAGATCCCTCATTATACGAGATGATTGGAAATAAAACATAATTTTTAGAATAAAAATAAGACTTAGCTACCAAATTATTCAACGAAGATGCCACATGTGGGTCTCTCTCTCCAAAGCCCTCTTTAGCCTCTTTTGAAGCCAATAAGAAGTATTTTTCTGCTTCATCCACCTTTCCCTGTACACAAGAAAAAGGAAACCTTAAAAACCTAATGTAGTGAAACAAAATGAATAGCCAGAACAATGTTGCAGAAAAAATAAAAGCCGGCCTTACTTTCAAAAATAAATCCCTCCCATTGTCCGTAAAAATTCTCCACTTTACTGTGTGTGAATTTGATACAACTGAACCATCTTCAATCCTCCGTAAACCAGTAATCAAAGCATCTCCTGTTGCATCTCTTCCGGAATTGGATTCATTTACAGAAACATCTTCAGCTAAGGCAGGACTACAACTCAGCCCCATAATCAATGCTGTGGACACGAAGAAGAAAATTTGAAACCATACAAGCCACATGGGGTCATAAACTAACTACTTCGAGGCAAACATCAAATTTTGGCCAAGGGAAAAAAATAATGGACTACGAATTGCAACACAGTGCCTTGGTTTGAATGAAACAAAGTCAAATTACCAAGATTCATTAGCATATAAAGAAGAAAAAGCACTTGAAATAAAAGGCTATCTAGATCAAACAAATGAAGAAACCACTGCTATAAAAAAATTATAGACAGAAAATATAAAAAATTAAACCAACCATATCCTACATCAAAAACTGTAAGGCAGATTATCCACATCATATCTACTCTCCAAGCAGATGCCATGTTCTCCATGGAGAAACCAGGGAGTTCACATGTAGTAACGCTTGAATTTAGTGTCTCTACTTCATAAGGATGGAAATAACAACTTGGGAGAATATGTATGAAGCTACCAAAGAATAGTTTAGCTTCTTTATCAGCTTTCTCTCAAGGACGAGGGACAACCTTCGAATCAGGCAAACGCCCTTCATTAATTGCAATTCATAAAAAAAAATTCAAATAATCACCAAATTTCTTCATTTTTCATCACGCAATTTCATATAAACAAGATTGTTCATGAATTTGGTTAATTTTGGAAAAGCCAAAGCCGAGTTAAGCTGTCATGGTTGTGTTAACTAAAAGTTCACTCATTACGTTGCTTCACCATATTCTTAAAAGTGATATGGAAGTTTATAACTATCTGATCATTACGCATCCCCTTGATGTTTAATTGATAAAATTAGCAGGGCCACCTGTATATTCCCCTGAGAGACTCTGAATTTAATATTACAATATTTCTATTTCCTCAATCAACTATTCATTATTAAATTGAAAGAACCCAGCAAAGCTTAATTGAAAAGTCCTCGGATGCTTCACAATGTGAAATATGAGGTCCGATAAGAATTCAGGCTAAAAATCCATGATGATTCAAATAACATTTCAAGCTAATTTATTTCAAAGACCATGCATCAGGTCAAACACATACCCCGTTGTGTGTTGCAATTTTTAGGAACCATTCAATCTTTTATATCTTTTCATGCATTTCAAGCTAATTTTCATGCGTTTATATTCATATCTTTTAAAAAACTAAGAAAGTCAAATTACCCTACTCCAACACAATAAGCACCTCAAAGAAACGACACAATTAAAATAGATTTCGCATCAAGAACATACCCATCTTTTTACAGAGAAAACTACCATGTGGAATACTACATGCAGTCTTGAATACCATGTGGAATACCAATCAATGATGATGCATGAAAATTAGGATGTCCACGTGCAGTCTTGAATTCCACAAAGTCTCACCAAAGAGAAAAGCATTTGAGGGATCTTCAAAAGAATTACATTGTATAACCAAACCCATGCACAATTAGAAGTGAGACATCACTCATTCGTTCGCTTTAGGATGCTTCCAAGTTTCCATCCAGAAGTCTTGTGCACTTTATCAAGCAACAATGATGGAGCATGATATAGAAAAAAATCAGTTCATATATGAAATGAAGCATGGAGATTTGAAACCAAATGGTGACGCACCTGCATCAAACTGACGGAAACATTACAGGGATATATATCTACAGCTGATGCACACAGAACTACATTATTCAATAGAAAAAATACAGTAACAGCAATGCTTTTGCAGTTAAACGAGAGGGCAAGATTCTTTCACAAAGTTTCTTCTCGGATTCCCTAAAAACAGAAGCCTACGAGCAGATGATATTCAAAATTTCCAACTGAAACCCAAAAAATAATCCCATCAAGAAAAAAGTTGGAGTGGCTGCCCACAACTCTTTTAGCCTTCCAGTTGTAACAAAAGGCACTGTCACTTTGCGCCATGAGAGGTTTAATTTCTCAATATCAGAAAAAAGTAAAAGAAACGTTACCTGTTTGTCCAGAAAATATAATTCCCCATTGAATACGCTTATAACTCTTCCTCAAAGCAGACAAATCAAAACTGCGCCGATTGAAGCATCTTTCAGCACCTGGAAAATTTATAGAAGATAGTGCGCTGTTTGCATATGGTAATAAACTAAAAATGCACAAATAAAATCTATCCTTCAACCAGCAAGAGAAAGAAGAAGATCATTCTGGGAACTACTAAAGGAGGAGAAGGATCACATAATTTGGATGTGAAGGAGGTCCTGCCTAAAATCAACCCTCCACTTTGCACGGCAAAGTCTCAGGCATAGACATGAAAGAATCAGTAAGCTTAAACAAAAAAAGCCCAACTGAGGAGAAGAAGCCAGGAAAAAAAAATTATCCAAATACTAAATTAGACAATGAGGAACAAAAGCAACTTTGACAAAGGTATGTAGCATCATAAATTTTAAATAATTGGGAATAAATACGGTTGCAAAGAAATAGATATTATTTCCCCAAAAACGTGAAATGCAAAAACATTGAACATTGCTTCTCAATAGTTTTTATCCTTGAAGAGGAAAGTGATAAATAACAAACAATCACCTGATGTAAATAGGACATGAAAACGGTCCTAGACATAACATGCATTTCCCTCCATGAAAAGAGCAGTGGGAAACGAGTGCCCCACCCTGTTTATCACTTGATTTCGAATCTCAAAAGGACAATATTCCATTAACAAATTCTGAACTATCCCAGTCAAAGAAGTGATCAAAACCAACCATCAGTAGAGAAAATATCTAACCTCCCTTCTTTTTTAGGAAGAATAGCTTCTCAATTGGGCCATATCAACGTTATTGGATAGTGGACTATAAGGACCTCATGGAAATATCGGATAACTTTAAGAAACTCCGTCGTCTATTTTCAGGTCCACTTTTGTAAATGGGAGATAAAGAGGAAAAAATTACAAGAATACCAGTTTGTTGAATGGCACGCACAAAATTATTAAAGTCAAACAAATAGTTTCCAAAAAAAATGCTAAAATCAGAAGTCGAAAATTGAGAGAAAAGTTACCTAGGAGATGCGACGAGACAGAAGAGTTGGAGTTCTTGCAAGTGCCCTTGATGGATACAAGCGGAAGAAAAACGGATCTTCTGAGAAGAGCAAAACCTTGTCGAAAAGACATCCCGGGTATCCTCTGAAATGATTTGCTAAGGGTATGAGTTAAACTCTCTTTAGGTAGGCATTAGACAACACTGGGGAAGGGGAACCAACGTCTAGATGTTTTGTTCCAACTTGTCAAAGGTGTGCTTGTTTTCTGTAAAATGTGTTTACTTTAAATAGCATGATAGATAATTTTACAATAAGAAGAGCTTCAACTCAAAAGACTTAATAGGCGAACAATTTGTGTACGACATTTTGCTAATAGCATGCCATTATTTGGTATATTTGAGATAATATATCGTACTTATATTAAACTCCAACGTCTTAAGTAATTTTATATGTAATAACTGAATGATTTTAAGATATTTAATTTATCTAGTCATCCAACTGACACATGCTATTAGTAAATGATTCCGGTGACTTCGTAGAATGTTTACCTTAGTTCTTCAGATACAAATGTATGATAAAACGATCATTTTTCTTGCAAAAAGAACTCTAGAGAGAAAAAAGATTAAAAGGAATAAAATAGGTTTATACAGACTCTTGAAGTTTAATAAAGAGGCTAATACATAAAATAGGATGGGGTTCCACAACTAGGCCAGAGAAAGAGAGTGAGAGAGAAGTTGGCGAATGAGCAGACGGATGCCATCACCTATCCTCAATTCCTACGACGCTCAGCCAACGATAGGTGGCAGCTGGCAGACGCTTGAAATAGGGAGCATGTAATCGGCGGTTCGATGGAGGATCACACCGTCATCGACCAGCACCGAATCCTGCGAGAGAGATATGGGCGAGAAAAAGAGAGCGCGCCAGGCGGCCGAAGGACTGGAGGATCCACTGTGCAACCGCAGTCGTCGATGAAGGCGACGAGAGCGGCGATAGAGGAGAAGAGTGAGAGTCAACAACGAGAAGAAGCCGTCGCCGGACGCCGGGGAGAGGATTGAATGCCGGCGGAAGAAGGTCGCCCCAGGCCGCCGGCTGTCGCTCGGAAGTGCACGAGTGCGGTTGGGGCGGCAGGGAAACCGTTACAAGCAGGCAGAATAGGTTATGAACCGCAAAATGTAAGTATTCTACAAATTGTACCCACAAATAAATATATTAATTTTATACTCATAGAGACTGCCTCGTGGACACGAAGGTGCTCCGCTTACGTGTCTTTCATGCAGGTGTCTTTCTTGCATAAAAGCCCTCATTAAAGTACGCATTATAATATTTATATCAATCTCAAAAACATAACCCCGTGTTCATAGTAGTTGCGGAGGCTGGAACTTGCAGAGGAACAAACAGAGCGCCGCCTGTACCAGCGAGCGACGCCGCCGGGACTTCTCCTCTCCACATCGTGACCAGGTGGCGGTGGCGGCGGCGGCAGCGTTGAGGATCGGGAAGATGGCCATAGAGGTAGAAGGTTACCCCGTCGAGGGTCTATCGATCGGGGGGCAAGAGACCTGTGTGATGTTCCCCACGCTGAAGATCGCCTTCGACATCGGCCGTTGTCCGCATCGTGCGATCTCCCAGGATTTCCTGTTCATCTCGCACGGCCACATGGACCACATCGTACTCTCCCTCCTACGATCTCTCTGTTCCGGCGTCTGGTTGTGGAAGTAGACCTCTCACAGTTCTCTTCACCTCCCATGGTGGTGGCGGTAGGGAGGACTCCCTATGTACGTCGCCAGCCGAGCCATGTTCAGGATGAAGCCTCCCACCATCTTCGTCCCCTCGTCCATCAGAGATATCGTGGAGAAGCTCTTCGAGGTGTACCGGGCGATGGACCAGACGGAGTTGAAGCACAACCTCGTCTCGTTGAATGTGGGTAAATCCTCTCATCTTATCGACCTAATTCCTGAACTGCAGCCACCTCCATAAACCGCCGCCTTGGAGTCTTGACTGTAGGTGGTGTGATCCAGGGGAGGAGATCGAGATGACGAAGGACCTCAAGGTGAGATCATTCAGGACTTATCATGTAGTTCCAAGCCAGGTACGTGAATCCCGCCTCGTGTGATACGCTTGCAGCGAGTTTATCATTCCTTCCGTCGATTCTCTGATCAGCGATCTCCCAGAGCGAATCTTCTTTCAGGGTTATGTAATATATGCGGTGAGACAGAAACTCAAGCAAGAATATTCAAATCTCACTGGAAACGAGATCAGGGATTTGAGGCTGTCCGGTGTGGAGGTCTGTATCAAGAACATGGTGACTTCCAGCTCATGATCTTGTTCCTTCCGTCTCATTTTCCCGTTCGTTCCTCTTCAACTCCCCGGCAAGAACAGGTCACCAGCGCCGTCGCGTCTCCAGAGATCGCTTTCACAGGAGACACCAGATCCGACTTCATGGTCGATCCGGAGAACGCAGATGTGCTGAAGGCGCGCGTCCTGGTGATGGAGGTATCCACCCTTCCCGAACTCCGCCACCTGGTTCTTGAATCCTGAAGAAAAACCTTCGATCATTCCCAGTGCACCTTCGTCGACGAGACCATGACTGTGGAGGATTCGAGAAACTGCGGCCACACCCACATCTCCGAGGTTTACTTCTTCAACTTCCCATCCGTCTGCATCATCTTCTCACATCCGGCTCGCCGTGGCAGATAGCCAGCCGCGCGGATAGGTTTCAGAACAAAGCTATCATTCTGATCCATTTCTCCGGCAGATACCTCTTGAACGTAGGTTTTCTCTGAGAATCCACGCTCCAATTTAGGGATTTCCTTCTCTCTCGCTTTTCCGATCCTCTTTCTTTCGCCATTGACAGGAGATCAAGGCCGCCGTTTCCAAGCTGCCTGCGCCTTTCTCCGACCGAGTTTTCGCGCTGACCGAGGGCTTCTGATCATCTGGTCAACGCCTCCCAGTCGTAGCGTAAGTACTGCATAAACGGGCATGGGTTAATATATGTATAAATATATATTATACGTAGATTATTGACGAGGCAAAATAAGAAAATATGACAACAAAAGGAGTAAAATAAGCCAAATCGAACCAGCCCGTTGACGTCCCACGTCTAACATTTATCATTATGGGAATAATTTAAATAAATACAATTAAAAGAAATATAATTTACTGATCCCACGTAAAATACTATTATCGCCGTGGGAGATCGCCGTCGTCCACCGCTGTCCCACGTTTAATTTTTCATTTCGGGAATGATTTTTAAATAAATCCGATTAAAAGAAAGGAAATCTACTGATTCCACGTAAAATATTATTATTGCCTTGCACTTTACGGAATTTATTTCCTTGTTGGTTTCCGTTGTCGGTGAAGAGATCGCCGTAGTCCGTTCCCCATCGTCCCACGTGTACTATATTTCATTGGGGAAATCTTTTAAAAAATAAATATGACTAAAAGAAAGATAATTTATTATTATCCACCTGCACTTTACGGAATTATTTCCGGGTTGCTTTCCGTCGCCGGCGAAGAGATCGCCGCCGTTCGCCACCGTCCGCCGTCGTCCCCAGAACTCTCGCCCCCGTGGTGCACCGATCCCCATCGTCGTCGTCGTTATCTGGGAACTGGACGAGTCCCGGGGGATGAGGATGACGACCACACAGACGCCGACATTGCCGACTGATTCCAGAGGTTTTGATGGATAATAGCTGGTTGGTTCTAAGCGACTGATCTCTAAAGTTAGCTGATCTTGATTTCGGAGGAGAATCCGAGTACGGATGTTAGGGCGCCATCTCCACGTTGCGCAGGTCTGCTTCCTTCCCTAGCGTGTCTTCTTCTTCTTCTTCCTCCTCTCCGCTTCTTGTTAAAGGCCCCGCTATGACTCTGGTTCGGCTTCGGGTCCTGGTCACGTGAGGGAGGCACAGTGTCCGGGAGGTGCGGACGGTGGGGGTTGCGTTGGGGCCTCCTTGAAGTATGGGATCAGGACGACGGGGTCGGAGAAAAGGTTAAAGCGAACCTGTCAGCTTCCAGGGTCCCGGCAGGGAGAAATCCCCACCCCACGTAGAGAGCACCTGAATATCCTAAACTTCTCATCTCCTCTCGCGAGGAGTTTTGCGTACAATTTGCTCGAAATGATTAATAATTGGCACTCCTTGAAGCTCCATTGCCGATAATATCTTCTTCTTCTTCTTCCCTCCGTCCCGCATCTCGAACCCCCCCTCCTCCTCTTCCTCCTCTTCCTCTCCATTCCCTCTCTGTAGCGGTGCATTTTTTTCTGAGTGACACCTGTTTTGAAGGGCTTCCACGATCTTTCTCGCATGTCGACGGTCCGGTTGGAGCCGCTGCTTCATCAGTCTCGGCGGGAGAGCTTCAGGTTCATCTTCCCCCACGATCCCAGGAAGGCCGGGAAGTTATCTCGCTTGGGTTACTGCCACAAGACGCCGGCGCTCTCGGGGTCCCCGGGATGCCTCCACTGCCGGCATAATCCGCTCAGGGTGCGTCCGATCAGGGCGGGCCTCACCGAGACCCCAATTGCAGAAGCTGCCGACGCCGACAATGCGGACGTGCTGTTCAAGAAGACGTTCCCGTTGACGAGGACGAAAACGGTAAGACCTACCCCGAACCTTCCGTTGCTTGCTGATTTGGATCATCGCCGCCTGAAGTGATCTTGATGAATCAGCGAAACAAGACTCTGCTACAGATTAATTTGTCTGTTGTTTTAGTTCATTCGATAACCTCGAGGTGCTTCGATGTCGCAGGTGGAGGGTAAGGTCTCGGTGAGGTTGGATAGAAAAGGTGACGACGGCGGAGGAAAAGGACGCTTGATCGTGAGATGCAACCTCGAAGGGAAGTGGATTCTTCATTGGGGTGTGACATACATTGACGAGGCGGGCAGGTAGACGCTCCTGTGTTCTCCCGCTCCTCAGACGGTCAATTGAGGCTTTCCTTTTTCATAGGATCAGCCTTTTCGGAATTGAAACTATTATTCTTGAGTAGTTTTCAGAATGTTTCCAGAATTGCTTCTTTCGTTCCTTAGCTGATATAGCTTGTTGTCTCATCTGCAAACAACGGATCAATGCAACGAAGTATTGCCGATGTTGTATGGTGAGTATCACAGTTGGTGTTCACTTACTAATACACCTTTCCATTGTTTTCTATGATTTTTTTAGTGAATGGGATCAACCTCCTCTTGATATGAGACCCCCAGGTTCTATTCCCATCAAGGTAATCCTTAGCTGATCATTCGATTTTCTTTAATTCCTTACATACCTCAATATTACATTTTTTTCTTTTTTTTGTTTAACTCAGGACTATGCAATTGAGACACCCTTGAAGAAATCTTCATCTGCTTCGGAAGGGGAGATACTCCACGAACTACAGATTGATTTAAAGCCAAGTTTGTCTATTTCAGCGATTCATTTTGTTCTGAAGGTCTGTTGTTTGCTCTCTTGTTGGCAATAACCTTTTGGATTATTTCCCATGTAACTTATAGTTTAAAGTGATCCTCTATGACGTTGTCTGATCAGGGCGAATCATTAATACCCTGGCTACGGTACATAATGACTAAATTTTTCCTTTGGTCTAGATGTAAATGTCAATTCATGTTCATTCTCCTGGTCACCACATGATTGAGTTCTTTTTATTCCTGGCGTCAAGCTACCCGTATACACAATATTTAATGTCTTATATTTTTTTTAATACTTAAGCCATATCCCGTCTGGAATATAATCAACGATGTCAGCGGTAGTTAGGTGATCAATTGCATCATTCCTACATCATATTTTTTTTGCAGATTTTTTTACCAAGCTTTTTATTACTGTGTAGGACGAGGAAACAGGAGCTTGGTATCAGTATAGGGGCAGAGACTTCAAAATTCCTCTTCTCATATGTGAAGATGAAGAGATCATTAGTGGAGAAAAAGGCTTCAGTATTTGGCCAGGTCTTTTTTTATATGCCAGATTTTTCTTTATTTTTGTGTCGGTGCTTTCATGGATTCAGTCTCCGGTTACTTCTTCATTTTTTGGTTGTGTCATATAAATTTAAATCCGTATTTTTTTCTTAATCAATGTTTTGCTGCCACTCGTCAATCCTGACTCAAAACCGCTGTGAAACAACAAATTCAAAAATCTATTGGTTGTGGTAAGGTACCCGAATCTATCATTGGGTTTTCATACAGAATAGTTAGCTTATGTGATGGAATGCATCCTTGCTTTTAATTCTGGCACACTCATGGAAAGACATTCGAATATATTGAGTTTCCATCGGCAATAGCTACCTTTTGTCATGGAATGGTTATTTGCGATCAGTTGTAGACGGAGGACCATCATTTTAGTTACTGCAGTTTCCTTCAAGAAGCAAAAGTAAATATATGACCAGACTTTTTCTTTTGTATTGCAGGGGCTTTTAGCCAGATTTCTAGCATACTTTTGAAAACTGATGAGGCTACTACTAATGTGGACGACAAAGAAAGAAGTGAAGTCAAACGAGAGATTAGGCTTGTTGAAGAGTACAATGAAGAGTTTCCAATAGTGCAAGAGGAGACAGTTCAGAATTACCTCACACTTTCTGTGAAAAAAAGTGATGAATTGGACAGAAATGTCGTGCATTTTGATACTGATATACCCGGTAGTGTAGTCGTTCATTGGGGAGTTTGCAGAGATGAGAATAGAAATTGGGAAATTCCAACACCACCACACCCTGCGGGTTCAAGAGTATTCAGAGGGAAGGCTTTACAAACATTACTACAGGTATGCGATTTCAAACGAAAGTAATGACTTATTATTTGATCGGCAAAGTAATCATACTATTGTTCATGTTGGAATAGACACGGGTTTTACAATTATATCATACAAAGTTTTGAACGGTGAAAAATGACAACCAAGATGAGCTTCTTCTGTTCTCATTTCAGTCCACTGTATATGATGTGCCTCTGGTTGGGACAATATAATGCCTATTGGCATACCAAATATGAGATAAATGTAGGTCTTCCAATATCGACTTTGATTCTATATTTAGATCGTCTGACATACTTATCACGTACATTTGATACCCACAACGCTCATCTGCACAATAAAACCTGGTTTCCTAGACGAGCCTGAAGCGAAGTGAAGTCTGTGGGGCATCGCTCATTGTCATTGAGTGACATAAGAATGAAGGATTTTTGTTACCGAGTTAGAAACGTAACCTGAACCAGGACCATTTTTCAAAACGGGTTAAACCGTCCTGAGACATCTGTTACTGAAGGATAATAAACTTGTTGTATTGGCAAAGCTATATCAATCTGTTCTTGATAATATTGGGCTATGTAGATTCGAGAAGTGTCCTTGGGGCTGATTGAACAGGCAGTGGTCATTGGTAGGGTAGATGCAAAACGAAGGTGTGTAGGCAATATAACGAGGATAAAAAGCAGTACTGGGTTACAAAGAAGTAGGAGCTCATACAATGTTACTGTAAATCCCATGCTTCCAGCTATCATGTCTCACATGAAATCATACTAGGGAATGGAATAAGATGGTGAAATAATACAATTGAAGAAGAAAGTATGGATTTTATTTATGGGCAGAGATCAAATAAGGGTCTTCCCAAGAAAAATAAAAAAGATCACACACTTTAAAAGTGGCCACATATTCATGGACTTACTTGGAGGAACGAAGATGAGAAGAGGTAAAATTAAATTATTGCGCCATTTTTCTTATACCAGAAAGAGCAGCAATAGAGGTGGTGACAAGTAATTGGCAATAGTGAATATTGTGTTGTATAATATCATAGGATGAGCATAAAATCTGTAGTTATTAAAGAATCTCTATTAATTCATTACTTAGAAAAGCTTCTAATCCCACGTCTACAGCTCATAAACAAGGAATCGAGGATGGAGTGTTAGCATGCCTATTCATTAGAATCGTACCACACTTGTGTGGATGTGTAGATCTTCACCATTCATTGTCAATTGGCTTTGGGGTTGATAGATTAAATTCTAGCATGATACCAAAGGTCTAGGTTATGCTGTCATGTTGTATGCACCAAATTTATACTATCCACGTTGTAAAGACTTAAAATTTAGGTTTCTAATGAGGCTACTCGTTAGAATCATTCTACATTACTTAGTTATAAGATCCTGTGGCTAAATATGTGAGCCTCTTTGACTCATTGTTAATCAGTGTTGAGTGGGATGCCATTACACTACTAGCCTTTCAAAATGACGTGTACGAGATCAACACTAAAGATGTCAAATCGTTACTCAAGTGTTATGCTTAGGCATCATTGTGTCCTTTACTTTATGGGATGTTGGGTTGCCTTTAATGTTCCTTGCCTAGGAAGGCACAAGGATGGTGTTCAGGAGCACTCATCCCCAGACCACAAAAAAATTGAGCTGACCGACCCCCAATCTTGGCACTCCCTAGGCTCAAGTTGTTGCCCCCTTTGTTCCCTTGGTCTACTAAACCTCTTCCTGCCAGTACGAATTCTCGTCATTCCTTCCCTCACTCTCTCGTTCGTTGCAAGTCCCACCTCTGCGCCCAGCTATTTTCTCATCTCTATTGTCTTTGCTTATTTTGAAATGAGTTTCCTTGTTCCCTCCCCACTCGTTATATGCCTCTCTCTCTCTCTCTCTCTCTCTCTCTCCCTGTGAGCACCCTCTTCCTCACTTTGTCCATCTCTGTCTATAATAATCTCTACGTCTTTGTAATCTCACCCTTGCTCATCACCACTACTTTTACTTATAACCCTCAATCTTTTGATAAATATTGTTCATGGTGTGATTATGCATGTTGCTCTTCCAATGTTTTATGATCCTTATTCTCCATCGCCCTCAACAGAGCAGACTTCTCGACTTTCCATGTCTCCCTCCATTTATCATCTTTTACTTTGCCTTACTTTCCTAAAGATAAAAAGAATATGTCTCACTTGTTGTCCTCTCTCACGTCTCCCTTTTATCTCCTTCATATTTAATTGCCTACAATTTTGAAAAAAGTTTTCCAAGAGTAATAAAAAATTGTGATGCTTTTGGTATCACTAAAGTGCTATGGTGACGTAGTTATGCAGTGGGTCAGTCTCCATGCTTCTTTGGCAGCTATATGGAAAATTGGTTTGAAGGGTTTGCGTCCAAACTGGCAGACTCTAATCGATCATATTTCACACCAGCAGACAAATTCTTGACAAGTTATTGTTCTAGAAGACAATCCATCTTTAAAAATTTAGAGGACGGAAAGATTTTGTGAAGGCCCATGAAAAAGGTTAACGTAGAACAGGATTATTTATCTGACTAGATTGAGCCAGAAGCTAATTGATTGGATGATGGATTGTCTATCTGCAGTTGAGTTTTCTTTGTTAATAGGTGCGCATATTTGTTGCTTTTCTGGCGCTCTTGTGGATTGAGCCCATGATATTTTTCTTTGGATCGTGTTCAGCCTTGACGAGGAAAGTGCTATGTTATATGATGAGAAAAGGAAGATTGTATTGCTTGATCGGTGGATTAGAGTGGAGGGAATCATTCATGCCTCGTGAAAGTAGACATACGACAAACCATCAGGAAGTAAATGAATGAAACTTAAGTTGGCAGCTTTCAAAAGGTTGCTTCTGCTGATATTGGAGCATGCTTCACGATTAACCCTGAGAAGAAACTGCATTCGTGCACGGTTATGTTCATGTTCTTTAGCATTATGCAAAGCTAGAAGTTCTAAGGTACGGATTTTCCTACAAACACATGGGAAAAGTGCATTCTTTGAATGCATAGCCTTAAGGTTAGAATAGTTGATTAGCAAGATTTGAACGAAAGAAGGAAAAAATCCAGATTTCTTCTGGTTAAAGACGAATTTTCTCCTCTTTTTTTTCTTAACTATAGCAAGCTGGAATCTTTCCTTATTTAGAGTGGTAATGCAGTGTAGAAGCTGTAGCTTCTGTAGTGATTGTGCAGCAGTTAGACTCGGGAGACATTCAACTGATTAATCTCTTCATCGTTAAGATTACTTTAATTATTGGCCAACCTTTTACTATATGAACAGAAGCCTCGGCTAGTATTACAGATAGATCTTCTCTATTCTGAAGAACATCTGTCTTGAAAGGATGTGTTCTCACGCCACCAGTCATTCCAAAATAAAGTCCTCTGTCATTATTGAGACAAATCTTCCCCACCCTGTTAGATAATTCTTATCTATAATACATTCTTACTTATCAGCCACTGATGCTGCGATACAACATATGTATATATCAGTTTCATGTTCCTTCTATCTGTTTGTTTACTACGTCAAGCTTCAATTTATGATAATAATATGCTAAACAATTATTCATTATGCTACTTTTTTCATTGTATATATCATTTTAGCATCAACCACATTGATACTGAAATTTTAAAGCATGCCTCGTTGGGTTTTCTTGTTTTGTGTCTTGATTTCACCATAACTTTTAGTGATTAGATATTTGATTTATTTCTCATTTATTAAACCTTCACAACAGCCTAAAGCAAATGGGAGCGGAAATTCAGGAGATTTTCCAGTGGACAAGGAGTTTTCAGGTTTGCATTTTGTTCTCAAGCTTAGTGAGTACACTTGGTTGAATGATGTAGGCGATGACTTCTACATCCCTCTTATAAGTGAAAGCAGTCAGGCTAAGACTAAACATACTGAACTGGTAATGATGGAGCCACAAGTCACGAGTCCTGCTGAAGAGGAATTACTTAAAGAAGTGGTTCATTCTGAATCTCAGTCAACTTTATCAACAGATGTTGAGATGAGCCAAGACGTAGAAGCTGTTTCTTACACTGATGACATTATCAGTGAGATAAGGAACTTGGTAACTGACATATCTGCTGAGAAAGGTAATATAACAAAAAGTAAAGAAACACAGGAGAACATTCTTCAAGAAATTGAGAAATTGGCAGCTGAAGCCTATGGCATTTTTAGAAGCTCAATTCCGGTGTTCGTCGAGGAACCTGTTTCTGATGAGGAACTATTGAAGCCTCCAGTACAAATATCTTCAGGAACAGGGACAGGTTATGAAATACTTCTTCAGGGATTTAACTGGGAATCTCATAGATCTGGAAAATGGTACGCTGAGCTCTATGCAAAAGCTGACGAGATGGCCTCAATGGGCTTCACCACAATATGGTTACCCCCTCCGACGGAATCTGTATCACCTGAAGGCTACATGCCGAAGGATTTATACAACTTGAATTCAAGGTATGCAAATAGTTTGTTTTGTTTCCGTCATGTTTGTCATACTGATGTTAGAAGGAAAACTGATGTAGGAAAGCTCTATATGAAGTTTATTTTATTCCTTTTCAATTACTGAAAAAATATCATCTTTATATATTTGTTTTTTCACATTCAGGTTTTCATATTTTCTTGAGATGTCATGAGATCTGACCATTTATCTAACTATGGAAACTGTGCCTATGCCAGAAAAGGTTTCCAGTGTTTCTTTAAGATTCGTGTTTTGTTTGAATTTATGTTGCCAGTTACCAATATGACTTCAATGCTGCAAAATATCTCGTTTTTCTTTGAGGTAGGATGCGAGGTAGATCAAGGAAACATACGAAATTGCAGAAAATTTTAAAAGAAGAATAACAGCAAGAATGGGAAGCATGGTCTGTTCATCGTTGTGCTTAGCATGGAAGAAAGCAAAAAGGCTTAGTATTATTCTGTTGAAAACAATTCTTGGTTCAATTCAGCAACTTCTCTGAGAAAGGGAACCTTTCTGCCACCAGTTGTGGGGTGTTTCGCTCGAATTATGAAATGAAGAGACCCACCGTACTCTCTTTAAGGAAAGTGACGAGAGGACTTCTTTGGACCTGCTAGAATGTAGTCACTGAGAAGATGATCTCGTCACATAGATAATATTAACATTATAAGTGGTGGCAAACCATTTCGCTGAGGATCAAACTGGGATCCTGGTCAACACCCTTTTCACAACTCAAATAAGAAAAATGATGCAGCTGGGTTGTGCTAGGCTAAAGGTAAGTTTATTACAGTAGTTATAGTTCATTGAGTGACACCTGTTTTGAAGGGCTCCCAGACTATTGTACTTGGAACCGAATGTGTCTCTTCGGTTTTTATTTTTACGGATTTTTCCAATCAGAACCTTTCTATATGTTTGTGTCTGCGTGTGTTTTTGTGTGTGTTTGTGTGTGCTATATGAACCCACAAAGTCGGGACGACTTCCAGGCTAAATAGTCTGGAATTAAATGAAAAGAAAACAATTGATCTGTTGGTTCAGCCAGTTCCAGATGGCCTGACTTGGTCCAGCTGGCTTGCTAGAGAATGTGCTAGAGGGGTTATTCAATCCTGATCTCATGAGATTGGACCTGGGCCAAATGGACGCATGACCTGATTTAAGATTCCATGCTCCAACCTAGAGGAATAAGAAGAATAAATTCATTGTTCCCTGTGACCTCAAGATCATTTAGGGCTGAGCTGAGCAAAGATTGGCCTTTCAACTTCAGCTCATGCAACCTCAGGTGGAAATGGCAATAGCATTGAAGGTGGCAATAATATTTCCAAATTAATAGGTAAACTGATGTTTCAACTGCCGAGGAAGACAGAAGGAACCGTGGGGTCTGAACTTGGAAACCTGTTCTGTTAACCTGAGAAGAGGGAAGAGTCCCCTAGTTGCCTGGAGTTCTTCCCTGTTGTCAAGACTCAGGAAACAACAAGGCGCTATTGGTGGAAGACATGCTAGAAAAGGGACCAAAGAGACAATCTAAGATGGCTCACGAGTGTGGTGGGAGGGGCTGCTGAGTGGGTTCGGTAATATTAATACAGGTCAGAAGCCTCAGTAAGGTCAGTTTTCTAATCTTACATCATGACTAGTGCCATACATTGGATAACTTGAGATTCTATCATTGGACAATCTGATGGATATTAATTCAGAAGGAAGAGGAAGGGAGCAAGAACCTGCTATTCGTCTTTAGAAACAGTCTTCAAGGTTCAGAGGGAAGCTGCTGCAGATAAGATCATCCCAAGTCTTAACTGAGGAAGCTTTCCCCTTTTTATTATTTACCCAGATTTAAGCCTATGATAGGTCAGATTGGTCTATCCAGTTTGTCCTAACACTTTATATCGGCTGTACAATATCTGGTTCTGGCGTTGTAAATTTGTTGGCATTTACTTTTATCTTTCTGAATAGAAAACATGGGTTATGGGAATTCTGACACAATAAGTTTTCCAACTTGTTGTCTCTTAAATGTAGGATCTAAATGTTTTTTAGAAATAAACGGCAAGATGATTTTTTTAAAATAATCCATACGCATACAGAACAGAGTGCACTATACGTACAAGCTTTTTGAATAAATGTGTTTTATCTTAGATATTTTTCTTTTATAACACCACCTCCGTCCCATGGCTCATACTTCATAATATTCATATACATAAACATATATAGACAGATAGATAAAACGGCGTGAGTTTTGACCTTTTTTGTCCAGGGGGAATGCTGATTATAACAACTATTCTCGTTCATAAATTATGTCCAATCTAATTATTGTTTCTGTTACAGAAACATGTAAATATCAGAGGTGAATTTTTATGCTATGATAATTTAGGATTATATATTTTGACTATTTTTTGGTCCTAGGATTTCTGTCATTTGCTGTATTCCAATGGCTCGGTGATTTCTTGTTTAAACTTGTTGACCAATTCTTTATTAGTCTTTCTGTAGCATTGTTGTGAAGAAATGCTTAAAATGCAGAAGGATAGACTTCTCACGTATACAGTGCTGGAAAAGAGAATGAGAAATGCTGGCTTGAGAAAATACACTTAATACGGTTGTGTGTAAAGTAATGTAGGTTGGGTCATTCTAAATCTGAATTTTCTTGCGATGTAGATACAGGTCATTCATATTGACTTCTTGCTATGGTATATACCAGATACGGAAGTATGGAAGAGCTGAAGAGCCTTGTGAAGAAGTTCCATGAAGTGGGCATTAGAGTTCTTGGCGATGTTGTCTTAAATCATCGGTGTGCTCATGCGAAGAATGCAAATGGCATTTGGAATATATTTGGTGGTCGTTTGGCCTGGGATGATCGTGCTGTTGTGTCAGATGATCCTCATTTTCAGGTATTTTTTTTATCATGGTTTGTGCAGACAGCGCTGGCATACTTCTTTCTATTTAAGTCCTCAAAAAAAAAGTATGTCAACCATGATACAATAGTTTCTCAAATTAGCTGAAAAGACATTTTTCGTTAGCTACTGTCTGAAGTTTGCAGAATCATTTCGTTCTATTCTTGTAATTTTTTTCCGAGCATTCTTCAGATACGTCTACAACCTATGCAGCTGTGGTCATGTCTGTCATGCTTTTATAAAATACTAGAGATTGGTTTCCACCAGGGTTAGCATCTTTTTTTCGACTTTTTAGTAAAAAAACAAATTAGTTATTTGTCCTTCTCTAATGTGGCTTTTAAGTGAGCTTCTTAATCCAGAGAGCTCACAGATTATCGTTTTTTCTGTTGGGAGTCTGCAACAGACATGTGCGTCTGGTGTTACTTATCCTTATTCTTGGCTTAGAAAATATCATATGATCTCTCTGTCTCTCCCATCTCTTTTGTGTGTGCCTTCGGCATTTTTTATCTGTTGTTTACAAAAGCTTTTATGCTCTCCAGGGCAGGGGAAACAAGAGCAGTGGAGATAATTTTCATGCTGCTCCAAACATTGACCATTCGCAGGAATTTGTGAGGAAGGATCTGAAAGAATGGCTTCTCTGGCTAAGGTTCAAAATGACTCCTTAAAGTTTCATACTTTTCTTGGTAGAATTTCATGATGTTTAGAATTTCATTAGACACATTTCTAATGCATTTTATTCCCGTCTTTCTTTACCTGATTGAAAATGCAAAAAAGTGTCTTGATGAGGTTCACACTATTATTTGGTGACATTTTAGTTTCATTTCAAGCTTCCCGTCTAGTTTGTCTGTACACGAAGAGGAGTGTGATGGCATTTTTATTTTATTTACTTTTCCAACTATTCGTTCATGAGTCAACAAGCAAACCCGTTAGTGTCTGCATATATTTGTCTCGCCAGAGATAAAGAATTTTAGGATACGATCCTGACAATCAAGAAAAGGATCAGGGGAAACAGTTGATTGAATAATAGGAATCTTTCCCTGACCAGGAGCCGTATATCTGTTTGAACTTGTCTGTGGACATTAATGTGTCATGTATATGTTCTTCATAGCTTTAATTTTCCACGTGGTTCTGCCTAAGAAAGTGAAAATTGTATCTCTAAACCTGCATTTCGTAGGAATGAGAGAAATTGGTTTGCAGGTACTCCACGCATACATTGACAATGGTGGAACCATTGTTTTCAATTTAGAACGGTGTAGACCTCGCAGGTGCAGCATCTATTCCAGTTTAATTGTACTGAAAATTTAGCATTGTTCAAGAACTCCTGTTTGATGCGTGCCCTGGCTTTGTTTTTGATAAAAATCTGCTCTTAAGCGAAGAACATCATGGTGTCCGATCAGTAGTTCACTCTTCTTGATAGATTAAAAACCAATAGGACTCTAATTCAGTTTACTTCTCTAACCCTTCATCATCTTCTTCTTCTTCTTCTTCTTCTTGCTATTAGTTTAATGAATGATATTCGGTGTGTTCGTGAACTTTTGTTTATCAGACAGTTTCATGTCATCCTTTTAACATATATCGTGTCTCTTGCTTTATCAATACGGTTTGAGATTTCGAAGTTCCATTTTCACTGTGTAATATATCCATTTCAATGTGCATTGTTCAGGGAAGAAATTGGATACGATGGTTGGAGATTAGATTTTGTCAGGGGCTTCTGGGGTGGCTATGTTAAAGACTACCTTGAAGCAAGTGAACCGTATTTTGCTGTGGGTGAATACTGGGACTCCCTTAGTTACACATATGGTCAGATGGACTACAGTCAAGATGCACACAGGCAAAGAATTATTGATTGGATAAATGCCACCGGTGGAAACGCTAGTGCATTCGATGTGACTACTAAAGGGATCCTTCATGCTGTAAGATTTCTTGTTTCTTTATTCAAAAGTGTGAGCTTTTTCCCTTCGTTGTAGAAACTTATATTGTGTTACTCTTGCCTTGTTGTTTATTTGGTTGACGGCTCAGTGCGATGCTATGCTTTATCTTTTTATCAAAATGTTCCTTATAATTAATCCACCCCCCACCCTTAAGGGAAAAAATAAAAGGTGAAAGAGCATAACGTGAATTGGCATATTCTGCAGGCCATTCAGATACTAAATTTTGCTTTAGTGGCATATCTCGTACACGCCTAAAATACATCTTCTCTCTCGTAGGCATTGGAAAAATGTGAATATTGGAGAATGTCAGACGAAAAGGGAAAGCCACCCGGTGTGATGGGATGGTGGCCGTCCCGTGCTGTTACATTTATAGAGAACCACGACACTGGTTCTACTCAGGTGTGCAAACCGCTATCTATTTATTTTTCAATATTTATGCTCGTTTTCCTCTCCCTTGAGTTTGGTGAGAATCTGAGAAGCCTTTCATTGGGCTATTTTGATTGTGAGTTTTTTCTGGCATGCTTGGCATTTTTGGCATTTTCTATCGTTGGCAGTTCTCCATATCTCCATTACCGTAATATGAATCAGGTAATATCTGATGGGGGTTCCCAGATTACTTGCCTCTAAAAAGGACACGCTGGATTGTGCTCTGTTAATATCCCGACACATATTTCCCTTCAAGGAAATAAAAGGCATTCACCATTTTGCCTTTTTATCCAGAACCGGGATGCGAATTCACTCTTTTGCCTTTTTTATCTTGGATTCTCAAAAGAAAAATCCCTGATTTTCTCATTCACATCTCCGAGGTGATGCATATTTTTTGACCTTCCTGGTGAATTTCTGATCTGCATTACTTTTTTATATATTTTTTATGGTTTTAAAAAATAACCAATGGGGTGGATATATCTTCTTACGCTGAGCACAACCATGCCGATCATTCCATATAATAAGCCTACCTGATTGATGATGAGGAATGGGGCTCCCATAAACTGGGGGGGTAAGCTAACCTGAGACTGTTGTCAAGTATTCCAGAATGTGGGGGTGCCTTTCCTTTTAGATTGTTTAAGGTTCTGCAGTGGTACCTCCCAAGGTTCTCCGGCTATGGAGGATTCTTGTGTCCATGGCGGGTCTGCTAGGAGAGGAGGGAGAGGAAGCTGACGCGTGTCGTGTGCTTGTAGAGGGCAGTCTAAGGTGCTGATTCCACGTGGTTATCTTGTTGTTCTGCAGGGGCATTGGAGATTCCCCTCGGGGAAGGAGATGCAGGGTTACGCGTACATCCTGACTCATTCGGGGACGCCGACGGTCTTCTACGACCATATCGCCTCCCACTACCAGCGGGAGATCGCGGCGTTGATTTCGCTGAGGAACAGGAACAAGATCCACTGCCGGAGCACGGTATGCGTTCCTTCCCTTCCCCGATGGGGTGTCTTTCAAGAACCCACCCCAGCGCAGAACCGCCCGTTAGGATTTCCTAGCTTCAAAGAGAGGGAGAATCCTGAGACAAGGACATGGGCATGGATTAAACCCATAGCTTCAGAGAAGAGCCTCGTCAAGACTTTCACCTAATGCCACCGTCATCATGGTTCTTTTAGCTCGCCTGCTTTCATGCCCTATGAGCCCACTCCCTTGGCCCCTTTTTTTGGAGAGGTATGTATAGAGAGAGAGAGAGAGAGAGAGAGAGAGAGAGAATCCTAGGACATCCGAATGATTCCTGGCTTCAGAGAAAATCCTCGTCAAACTTTCACCTAATTCCATCGTCATCGTGGTTCTTTTAGCTCTCCTGCTTTCATGCCCTATGAGGCCACTCCCTCCTTGGCCCCTTTTATTTGGGAGAGGTAGAGAGAGAGAGAGAGAGAGAGAGAAATGGGCATGATTTCCTAGCTTCAGAGAAAATGCTTATGAAGCCCTACACCTAATTCCATCATCACCACCATCATGGGTCTGTTAGCTCTCCTGCTTTCATTTTCATGCCCAATGTCCTCAGCAGCCCCCTTGGCCCCTTTTTTTTGGGGCTAGGGCATGAACGACGCTTACTAGCTCCAGAGAAAATTTTCGCCAATCATGGGTCTTCTAGTTCTCCTGCATCTAATCCTGTGTCGCTGGGCTCTACAGGTGAAGATAAAGAAGGCCGAGAGGGACGTCTACGCGGCCGAGATCGACGAGCGAGTGGTGATGAAGATCGGGCCCGGGTACTACGAGCCGGAGGGCCCCCGTAGCTGGTCCGTGGCCGCGGAAGGTGCAGAGTACAAGGTCTGGGAGGCCATTTGATGACCCCTAATTATTCTTGTTGAAGGGTCCCAAATAAGCTCTTGCTGTGAGGGAGCAGTCGGATCTTCAGATGGGCTTTCGAGGAGGTTCCCAGGCAGAAGAAGAAGAAGAAGACCCATTCGCCATTGTTTTCTTCGCTGCTTGCTGCCGCCTACCCATATTCGGACACATTCCTTGAGATTGATTGAAGAACGCGAGCTGACTGACCCATTCCAGGCAAGGCTCTGTATCGAACGAAGCCCCGGGTGGTCTTGGATTGGCTTTATTTATTCGGCAAATACAAGCATTGATATTTTGAGGAACAAATCTATTACAAGACCAGCCAATTTCACCCGCTACACCGTACAAGCCACACACAGAGAGAGGCACGCACACACACACACACAGCGTTGAGGACTAGACTTTCGGCTGTTTGTATAGGGGGAGGGCACCGGCGAGGGCATTGGCCACTGCGAACCCTGGCCGGTTCTCCACGGAGGGGCTGACCCCTTCGGACTGTAGCAGCTTGGTGAACTGCATCACAAAAGTACCCTCATTTTATGAGCATCTAGAGAGAGAGAGAGAGAGAGAGGGAGAAACGGACCTGGGAGGCTTTCAACTCAACCTCCTGCCACTCGGAGGACGAGACGGTTCCCTCGACGATCCCGGCTCCGGCGTAGACCAACGTGCCGAGCCCCTGGGATTCAGATTTTGGTCGGTTTTTAGGATGGAACTTGGAAGATCGCTATCTGGGTAATGAGGTTTATCCTCAAAGAACCGGCCTTCATGACTCGATACCCCTTTTTTTCTGAGCAAAAAATTATAGATAATTAATAATAAACAGTGGGTGGGGTTCGACAGGTTACCTTCCCCACCAGAGCTGATCGGATGCCGACGGCAAATTCAGTCTCTCTTCCCCCGAACCAGCCCACAGGGCCGGCGTACATCCCACGGTCAAACGCCTCTAGAGAAGGACCCACGAGACAGTATCTTTACCTCAAGGAATATGAATAAATAATATACACATAAATAGATTTCTTTTTCTTTCTTTCTAATGGACTGGGAGCAAGTGATCTCAAGAAATCAAGTGGGTTTCATCGGACAATCAGATTCTTGGGGAGGAGGCGAAGTCTTGATCCCATGCCCAATCGAACCTCCTACGGTACAAGCTTACTAAAACTCGATGTGTCCACTCAGTTTGCGGTTTTTGTTCATCCGAAAAATTTATGTATAGTAGTGAATCTTTTTCGTGCTCAAGAAAGAAAGGAGACCCTGGAGGTGATCAGACTAAGGAGAATGATGGAGACAAGAGTATCAAGGAGAAATATTCCACACTTGGTTGATGCGATCGCCTAAATCATGCTGAGAGGCAGCAAATTTTGCTTCGAGAGAAAGAAAAATTGTTGTGTTGAGAGAGCAGCAGCAGCAGCATCAAAACCTGATTTATTAATTCGTGAAATTTTCCTTAAAAAAAATAAAAAACCGTGCGGAATTGCTATTTCAGTAGGAACTAGAGCAATTTACCGACCATTTTCGGCTATGAATCTGCGTGCCTCTTCTGTGGGCAATCCACAAACAGCTGGAGTCGGATGGAGATGAGTCAAAACGTAGAACTGCAAGCAAAACATACCCGAATGCTGAAGCATCGTTCAAGCTTTGGCGTAGATTTGGTATAAAATATAGGCATATTGTAGCGCATAAAGCTCTGCTATGAAGCGGCTAAAAGAGGTTCCCCATCGGAGAGATTAACTGATGCGCATATATACTCTGAAGTTATATCGTTATCTGGGTGGGTCTACCTCATCTTCCTCTCTCTTCAGTCTGCCAGATAACCGAGCACAGAGATGTTGCACCCGGGGGAGTTTCCGGATTGTTTTACTTGATTCTACACGCACCTCGTCACAGATGATCTGCGCGGAAGTTTTATCAAGAATAAATTAATTAATTAAATAAAAAAAAAATCCCCGCTTTCCAGGGCTCAAGATTTCCGAATGCAGGGGTGTAGAGGTTTGACTTGCCTCTAATTTCGTTTTAATATTCTCTCGTACTATGGAAAACTCAACATCATCTTTACGGCTGCATACAGAGAAAAGGAGCAGACCCTTGATGAGTACTTTCAGCCTTTGAATTTATTTATTTATTTAATAAAAGGAGTAAGTAAATATGAGCACCACCTGAGAAGTAAATCCTGTCTAATTTTAAGATCATCCCTTACAGTTCTTCCTCTGGCCCGGGTCCCTGCCAACGCCTCGCTCCAGACTTGCAAATCTTCTTTGTGAAATAGCTGTTCTGGCTGTTTTGAGTTCCGCAAAAAAAAAAAAAAAAAAAAAAGGAACAAGATATTAACCATTTTTATTCAAATTAAAAAAATATATTTTTGACGATGAAAATATTTTTAATTCATAATGTAAATAAATGAAAGGTACACTAGACCAGTAAAGGTGATGGTAGCCTACTGCTATTTCTCCCATTCTATGATGAAAAAAGAGAGCATCAAGGAGGATAAAATATGATCAATCACTGACCTAAGATGATAATGATGATGATGACAATGAAAAAAGAACCTAATTAATTTTGGAGAAAAAGCTACCTCCTTCTTCCTCCAAATAATCCGAAAAATAGTCAATGCGAGGGAATTCATTATCTGAGAGAAACTGGGGATTTCTAAAAGCATTTTCTCCTGAATAGAAACTACCCCTTAAGCTGTGATGCTACGGCTCATCAAGGCAGGCCCAGAGCTTCAGACAGTCTCCTTAGATCAAAACATGAAGCTTTGGTGTCCGATTCGAGGATATCTTTGGTTTTGAATTTTTTCTCTCTTTTCCTCGAAATTAACAAAATGGGACGCATATTATCCGTTGACCTAAACCCACAAAGTAGGAAAAAAAGTCAAAATGGACTGAATTATGCTGCAGTCAACTTACAGTATTCCCAATGAATGCAGGGCCTCCGGCTGGCTGAATACAGAACTGGTACGCCTTCTGTCCCTCCATCTACGCACATAAAATAAGGCAAACATTTCCCTTATCTAACATGCAACTAGAAAACGACTGACAGAAATATGGGTAAGAGAAAAAGATCATACCTGTAGGCAAGCCAATAATGTTATGGGGTTGATTTCAGCACTAGTGAGAATTCTGCTACTTCGTGCAAGTACAACCTGGGGGAAGATGTGGCGATGACAAAAATAGAAATAAGAGTGGATCAAGGTTCAAAGCAGCACCATTTTTTGGAAGAAGGGTGAGGGAGAAGGATAAGACAAACCACAGAAAATTCCCTATAAGTACATAAAACTGAGCGAGAATACTTTGAGAGATGCAAAGTCATATAATTTCCAGATATAGTGGAAATTATCAACCATCAAAACGATATATTATAGAAAACACACACAGAGTTTCTGTCGGACTCCAATCCATAACATAAATCTCCAAAACGTGAGGGGAGTTTTTCCCCCATTTCATAAAATTCAAAAGAAAAATGAAGAAAAAAATAAGCTTTTTTTGGAAGATACATTATAAAATCTATCAAATTACACATTTTTGATCCATTGTTGCTCACTTTTTCTCACTTTTAGTCACTTTTTCAAGCTTATTTCATAGTATCCGGAAAATAAAGGTATTTTTATACGTGCATGAATTCACACACCTTTCGTTTATCAAGAACAGAAATATTTAAGTGCATGTTTTTAGTTTTTTTATAAATTTTACTATTTTAGTCACATCTTTACATCATTACTCAAGTCTCAGTTATCTGTGACAACAAGACTATTTGAGCACAAAACACTGCAGACAGACTTATCGGGAAAAAATGAAGGATAAAAGAAACACAATTCATTTGAAAGTTTGTAACTTTAATTGCCATCGAGGAATTAAAATAAAATAAAATAATTTTACAGGAAGGTGGAATACGTCTAAGTATAAATAAGAGGAAAATGAAAACAGTGTACGTGTGCATTATTAATATACTATGAAGGAACCAAACTCAATGGCACAGCTGTTCAAATGGAATGCCTCAGCCACAGTTCTACATTTCATGAACAAGGAACACTCCGTACCTTTAGTAGATCAGAATTTTCTCCTTTTATCATCTGCAATGCCTTATTGATACAAACATCCCAGTATGCCTTGCTGGGAGTGTGGCTGCTGCTAAGAACGGTCGATCTGGGAACTTGCCTTTGTAGACTAGATGCGGAAGGCGAAATCTGTGTCCAGAAAATATATATGCCCAATACTATTATGGGGAATATAAATGATGCACTACACCAGGAACATTAGAAAAACCCTTCATTCACCTAGACAAGAAAAAAATTTGGAGACCTTGATTTATACGTGTAATTAATGAATACGTGAAGGGTACTTGTGATTCTTTTCCCACGAAATGAAATATCTCTTGCCATCATCAGTACCTGATCCATTGTATTAAGCAGACCGTCCATTGCTTTCTCCCATGGCCACCTTAGGTTGTCATCCCACGCTATATTTATGGCGAGCTTTGAACTTTCTTCAAGCTCATTAAACTCAACCTGTCATTAGAATCCTCTAAATAACAGGTACTTCAGCCTGGAGAATGAGAAAATAGATATTCTGCGTCGAAATAGGGGAAGAGGATTTACCTGAGGAACAGTAAAGTAGAATGAACCAAAGTTTTTCCATTCAGATGATATTTTTGTGGTAGCATCAAAGCGTAGAGCCCCATAAGCGCGGATGAAAGGACAATCCTTTGAGAGAAACCTTCAAAGAAGATGATATAAAACATTCAAGGCGGGCATCATTACTTATAAAGCTCAGCTCTCATCGTCAGAGAAGAACTCTGCGGGAGGAGTTCAAGTGTCCCATTAATAATTTCTAAAACGTTACCACTAGGTATAATATATATATATATATAGATTATTTAGCATCACGTTCAACCGCAGAAATGCTCCAAATGATGGTAAGTTCATACTGCATGTGTGGTGATGGTTTGTCAGACTCATAAATAACCAGCCCCCCCCCCCTCCCCCTCCAAAAAAAAAAAAAGAAACTGAAGAACCCTAGATTGTTAAGAATGCCCAGTCAGGTAGAATCATATTCGTAGGCCAAGATTATGACTATAAAGAAAAGGGTTAAAACGTAGAAGCATCATCATTACCTCCTTATACACTTCCAATCCTCAAAGGAGAAGGGCTCAAACCGCCGGAAGTACACCGCCGAGCCCACTCCGGCGACACTGACTAGGTTGCTCCCGCCCTCGCTCCGCCGCTCCTCAGCTGCGTCCTCGTCCGCCTCCCAACCTCCCCTCCCCGAGAAGAACACTCGGGGGAGCGTTTGCTGCGCGTGTAGCCAAGCGACGGCCTCACTTCTCTGCTTAATCGGCACCTGCACTCACAAATCGCAGAAAAGCTAATTAAAAAAGCCCCCTCGGCAGACAAACCGTCCAAGAATCAAGTCAAACGGCGGGAAAGCTCCTTGCTGTTGTGCGCCGCCAATCCCCCCCCCCCCGAGCCAACGGCCACCACTTTTGTCGGTTTGCGAACGAGGGCCCTCTCTCTCCCATTCCAGTGGCGTAGGCATCTACCGTCTTGACTTAGTTCGGTCGGTATTCCGGACAGGGACGTCACCCAGAAGCGGGTAGGAGACGTAAAAATAAACAACTTTCGGGGGGTGAAACCCGGAGAAGACGTGCTTCTTTATTCAGTTGCACGACTCCGCCGCGGACGGTGAGACCCGAGGCGGGGGAATACGATTCCCGCCGCCGTTTGGCAGAGCGCCGCCGTAGCCGGCGGCCGCTGCATCGATCAGAGCCGCGGAGGCTCACGGGATGAACGGCCGACGATTGGCGGCGGCGCGGAGGGAAGAGCCGCCAGCCAGTAATTGGCACAGAAAAGAGGCGACAAGAAACTGGTGGTGGATAACACCAGATCTCCACCACCCAATCCGCCGCGGTAGTGGACACGTACCTCGAGGCGGATGATGCCGGAGCTGAACTCGGGTGCATCGGCGGCGAGGGCGGCGACCGCCGATCTGAGCTCGGACACGGCGGACTCCGGCGCCGACACGGCCGGAAGCGTGCGCGTATGGCACACGCCGACGTGCCGCTCCTCCTGCTGCCCCTCGCAGCCATTCATGGAAGGATGGCTGCACCGGCAACGGTTGTTCTGCAGTAGACCACAAAAATCACGGGTGAGCTTCTCCGGTGGTACCGGTGGAGGAAGGCGTAACGAGGAGGGAGGGATTGGGGATTCGTACGTAGCGAAGAGAGGGGAAGGAGAGGTGCTGGCGGCGGACGACCATCGCCGGAGACGCCGCCGAGAGCCGCACAGTGTCGGGAGCCGTGAGCTGCCTCATCAGCCGGCCCGCCCCCTCAGCCATAGCAGGAGGAAGAAGAAGAGAAAGAGGAAGAGAAGGAAGAGCAAGAAGAAGGCTGATGGGAGACGATCTTCCTCACCGGCGGCCGAGGACGGCGGTGGCGTATTCCCTACAGGCAACCGTCGCGCCACTGTCCCGTGCAATCTTCCACGGCAGAGTTAACGGCCCGCCGCCTTTATAGCCGCCGGCCGAGCGGCGGACATCTCCGCCATCCCGACGCATTGACCGGTCCCGCCACTAGCAGCTCTCATTAAGAGCGCAGCCGACCCCCGGACAACGTTACTACAAAGTCACCTTGAGAGAGATTCCTGATCGAGAAGATTTTCGGGCACTTCAATGCGATTTCTCGCCCGACAATGCAGCAGACGTCGTGACAGCCGCTTTTTATGCGTTAACTTTTCTGCCAGCAGACGTGGACTTTTCCGAGTCAGGAAACCACCACCAGGCAGCACGGCAGTTTACAGTTACTCCTCTCTCTCTCTCTCTCTCTCTCTCTCTCTCTCTCTCTCTCTCATTCAAGACGTCCAGATTGGGAGAAGGGAAGGTGATGCTCCCATTAAATTAACTGCTGGGATTCCGGATCTTCCTAGTCAAGGGATGCACTGGTCAAAAAGTCACCGGATCACTCGCTCCTGGAGTCGTCATCCGAATCTGCATTACCGGCACCACCGGATTTATAACCGGCCAGTGCGGCCTTGTACCGTTTCTGATCCGCCCGAGACATCGACTCGTACGGCTCCTTCTCCTCCGCTGTCAATGCCACGTGTCAGAGACCTTTTAAACTACCAACTGACAGCCCCTGCGAAAGTGAATGACGGCTCTCATCGAATATCAACTACCGTACCTGTCATCTTCTTCCACCTCTCGCCCAGAGCTCTTCCGACATCCGTGAAAGACAAGGCCGGGTTCCCCTTCTTTATGTTCTGACGAGGAAATAGCGTTGGTCAACGCCAAGATCCAAAATTATGACGAGATCTTACGAAGAATCCGACATGATCAGATTTTTGTGAAGAATTAAGAACGGCAATTGCAGAGAAGAAAAAGCGGAGTAATGCTCGAAAGGCTGAAAGCTTACGTCTCTCTCGGAGTTGGAGAAGAACATGAAACCAGACATGGCCCTTTTTGGCGCGTTGGGATCCTTCTTCTTCTTCTTCTTCTTCTTCTGCTGCTGCTGCTGCTGCTGTCGTTTCTTCTTCTTTCCTTCTGCATCCCCGTCCTTGCCTCTCTTCTTGGAAGAGGACGGCGCCTTGGGAAGAGCGGAGGTTTCCTTGCTTAGATCTCTCTGCACAGGCTTCCGTCGAGAAGATCACCATCGCATCAGAGGGGGGGAGATGATCAAGAAGAATCCGAAACCCTCACCTCCTTTCCTTCTCCGCTGGCGCTGGCATCGGACTCCTCCCCTCCCGAATCGTCCGTCGGAGATCCTTCATCGTCCTTCTCGGCGACGAAATCCTCGTCCTGCCACCATTAGGGCAACTCCGGTGAGCACCAGTTTTCCAAGAAACAAGATGACATCAAGGATCTCTTCTACCTCTTCATCGCTCTCCTCTACGCCCGCCGCGCTTTTGATTCTCGCCAGATGCGGATCGACGGCGTCGTCGTCCTCGTCGTCCTCGTCGATTCCATGCGACTCGCCGTTCGCGTTCTTCCCATCTCCGAGGTTTATGATTTTCATACCCTTCCCGCTGAAAATCATCAGAGACTCGAACTCAATGCAGGCGGGACCATAATCGAATTATATGCTTCCGAACAGGTGACGAGAATCGACCTGATGAAGTTGAAAAGGTTGCTATACTCGCTCTTCTGGATGTTTCTGAACAGGAGCTCCTGCTCGCTCTTCAGCTTCACGAAAAGATCGAAGTAGTGGGCGCTGGTCGATCCCGCTCCGTGCCTCTCAAACTCGACATAATCGATCTGAAACACAGCGGCTGCAGAATCATACGAAGAACAAGAAGAAGAAGAAGAAGACGAAGAAGAATGAGATCTCATCTCGTAAATACATACCTCGTCGTGGAGGATGAGCGTCGGAGGCTTCGGGAGGAAGAAGAACCCCTTCTCCAGAGGGTACAGCAGGCCGTCCTCAGCCTTCAGCGACGACTTCACGGCGAACCCATCTTGGCAGCTGCGAAATTTCCCAGGCTTGGTGACCTTCGCACCAGATAATCCCCGCAGGACCAAGGTGAAGACCTCGTGGATCAGGCCCTGCATGCCCCAACGTACATCTTATTCACATATTCCTCCCTCCCACATATAAGGTCTAATGATTTTCATGCATACCTTATACGATGCTTCCAGTTTGTCCTTGTACTTGGTGGCCAACAGTTCTTCGCTCAGAGCCAGGTTGTTTTCGATCACATAATCCGTCTCAAACTTTATGGAATTAATAGGGGAGGGGGTTAGGGGTGGGTTCAATAATGGGTAGCATAAAAAACTCATCTTGATATCTCTATGGAATAAATGAACGTACCTGTATCACGATATGGGGATACATCGTCTGCCCTTTACGGATGGGAGGGTCGAGGGTGGCGACGACCAGAGTGTGAGGCTGATTCGACTGAGAAAATCACGAGTTTATTGAGAGATAATGCGGAGAAAATAGAGATAGTTCTCCTGGTGAATCATATGTACCTACCTTGGGGAGGAGAAAGATGCGGACGATGCTGCTGTACTGTATCTTGAAGTCGTTGGCCTGCCCTTGGAGCCGCAAGAACGAAAGGTGAAGATCGATGCTGTAGCGCCCTCTGAAGAAACAAGCCGTACGTCACCCCTTGACCAAGCTAGAGAGAGAGAGAGAGAGAGAGAGAGAGAATGGGTTGAGAGAAGGTCTCGGTGCCTTGGGGTGAGGATGGCGATCCCCTCAAAAGTAGTGACGGCTTCTTCACTGGAGGAGGCGACGTCAGTCATGGAGGAGATTTTCTCCAGGAAAACCTGTTTATAAAAATAAATAAATAAAATCAGTCGGGAATTCATTAATAATTGGTTCATGCTGTGGAAAATAGGGTGAAGAAAGTGGCTTCACCTGAGCCGGAGGGCGGGTTTCGTCCCCGACGAACTGGGTGTTCGAATTCGGTATGTAGAAGCTCAAGTCCATCAGTGAATCTTTCTAGAAGAAGCACCATGGATATGTTAGAAATATAAACAGCTTCCAGGGTGGCGTATCATGCATATCAGCAAAATATTAGCAGTTAATGCTGATAAAAGAGAAGGCATCCGATCCATAAAAGAACGTAAGTCTATTCATCAAATTAATACATTTTTAATATATATATATATATATATATACTATATAAATCTCACACTGCAACAAAAAAAAAAAAACTGCACTTCTTCTCAGATTTCCTGTAAACATATGATTACAAGCATATAAATCTTGTCTTCCCCTCTGATTTATGGAAATATATATATATATATACAAGAAACCTCACACTGGAAAAAAATAATTTCCTTTTTTCTCAAATACATTGAGAACAAATGAAAAGGTATAAATGGCCTAGAAACCTCACACTGCAAAGAAAAAGACATTTTATTTTCCAATATCTTGTAGGCCAATGATAATCTATAATTAAAACAAGTTCTTCCCATAAACAAGTTTACATACCATACACATGAAAAGTGTCTGCCCAGAAACAAGCGACAAGAGAAGTAGAGGAAAAGAGGAAATAAATGGCCCTCGCATGTTGAGAAAATCCAACCTCATTACCCCCAGTGGTGTCGTCCACATGAAACTCCAGGTATACATCGGTCTTCCCTTGGAGCTGAGTTTGAGCAACATCTGCCAAGGATACCTCAAATGCTTGCTTTGAGCCAACCATAAAAGTTAGCATATTCCCTGGACAAATGCAACAAAAAATGTTATAATTTCCTACATTTAAAATCATTATTTATTTTCCATTTGTGAAATATATTCGGAATTTCTTTCCATTGAGGGAGGCAATGAATATTTTTGGAGACCAATGGAAGAAATGTAAGAAGTGAGCAAAGGTGAGATGAACTGCCTTCTCCAGAACCCTGTGGAGTTCTTCGTGATCAAAATGAAATAAAATAATAATTATTATTATTATTATAATAAGCCCCATCCCCAGCCACATTAATCCATAACCCTTGGGAATAGAATTGGTCTTGCCTCATATATGACTCCAAATAAGATTATTCACTCCAGATAGATACCCCAAGGAAGAAATTGTTGAGACACCAACCAATCTTCTTCGCTTTCAAGAATTTTCCCATGAAAGGAATGGAAGAAACTATGGCATTTCACTGACTAGCAGCGTTGATATTGCAGTTTGTTCATTTTCGAACAAAAAAGCTTGAAACTCCGCAGGGATAGAATTGAACACTCAATGCTTAATACTGTAAAATTAGGCCAGTTTTTAAAGCTCGTTAATTCTTTAAATTTTCCTCGTGAATATGCCATAAAAATCATTTATTTCGTCCTTATCCACAAATATGATGCAACTGGGAGGCCGATCAGGATGCTGAAAAATGGGAAGAAATGAAGTTTGTTCACGGCAAAACACTAGTGCCGCATTGTAAGGAAGAACACAGATGATTCACAGGAAGTTGTGTGAGGCTAAGAAGAACAACAAATGAAAAAATAAAAGCAGGGAATCAGAGAATCTGCATGAGACTTCAAATGTACTCACCATTTATATCAACTTCGCCCCAGTTGTGGCCACTCACAGAAAGCTGCTTCTCTTCTAGTGTTATCCCGATGGTTTTTTGAATGAAACTTGTCAAATTACCAACATCCTTTGATGCCCAAGAAAAAAAAAAGAGTTAAGGAGAGAGTAGATTCCCTAAAAATGAGAATAAGATTGGCGGAGCGTTCCAAACCACTAGCTTAACTACTCGGTGTACCACACTGGCATGAAGTAACTAGCATAGTTATCTGTGGCTAAATTATTTCAAAATCCAAAATCCTCAACTGACGTTCAGTGATTCAGGGGAATAAATGAATCTGTTATTTTTTTGTTTTTTACTAATACATATAAGAGCAATGCAGAACAAAGTTCTTTTTCCATCATGTAGCTTCCATTCTTAGGTTGGTTTCTTTTGTTTGGACATTTTAAAAGGTAATTCATCGGATCCAATTAACTTATAATTTTGATCAGTTTGATGGATATTATCAGTGATTTTTTTTTCTGAGAAGAAACACACCAGACTAGTCTCGGTAGTGTGTTGCATCATAATTCACTTAGAAAAAAATAGGGTTTTAACATTCCTAGAGCGAAAAACAGGATGGAACAGAAAAACTTGTTGAGGTATTTTCTCAGTGAAACAATCAGTTTATCCCGAAACCTTGGATATAATTTGAAGCGAAAGAAGTAGATATCATTCATTTTCCCGAGATTAAACTAATTGATGCACAAATAGACTAGTTATTTACCTCTCGCGAAGAAAGTTCTGTCTAAGAATTTATAGGAGAAAAGATATAAGAACTGACTTAGACTACAGTATAGACCGAGCTCCTGCTCTTTCTTTCTCTCTGATTACTCATTCGAATTATCACAGTGCCACAAAGAAAGGATGCTTCTCTGCATCTTTCATGGAAATAAATCAAATATGTGACCACAAATAGGAACAGACAATGTACTGAAGAACAAATGGATGAGATATTAGATTGAAGGAAAGAGAGAAAAACCTGCTCGCGGAATCCAGTGAACTTGTAAGAGAGGCCATCCTTTATTCGGACACCGAGCTGGTATCCCCTTGAGACCTTCATCCAGGTCACCCCAGCGATGTCACCCTTGCCGAGGTCAACCACCTTCCCCCCTCCCTGCTTCTTCCATGCAATCCCTCCTGAATGCACCCTGAGCTGGCCCGGGTTCTGGGAAGAAAAAACCAGAAGCGAACACAGATCTAAGATTCCCGTCCCCTACAGATTTCGAAATCTTCAGAACAGAGGATCGATCGAGACGGAATTTCCTATTTTAGTTTATCACCTGGCTGCTTAAAACAATGTGAGGGCCTGAATAATCTATTCATCACGAATCAAAGGTAGCTCGGGATCCGCGTCATGGAGCAGAAACCAGAAAGACGGAAAACATTGGGGATCGATCTCACAGACGAGGCAATCCCAATCGTCATGGAATCCGCGGGTAAGGAACGCCAAGTCTCCCACGGATTCTCCACGCGGCAAAAACCAGAAGCGTATCCGGCACTCGGAAATCTAGAATCAAGGCGACCGATTTATGACTATTGGAAAGCAACAAAAACCAGAAAAAGAAGAGAGCGCAACGCTAGAAGACGAAAGGAAGAGATTTCAGCATGGTGATTTTTACATCCTGCAACCAGGAGCACAAACTAGAAGAATCGGAGGTGTGAACTCTACAACAATTCGTAAAGGGAGCACCAGAATCAGTGTCGAGATGGATAGAGCGAGAGACAGAGACAGAGAGAAGATGCGACAGTCACCGTTCCACCGCGTCCTCCGAGGAGGATATTATTGAAGAGATGTCCATCCGACATCTTCCCACAGCTGATTGCTCTGGAAAAGGCCCGGGGATTTCTCTCCCAGGATCTCCGCCTGCACCAGCTTCGAGGTTTTACTGTCTCAGTGTATACACCCCGCGGGATCCCCTGTCCGGAGAACTCCAATCACATTCACTGGGTACTTCCTAAATTTCAGGGCTCTGCCCACCAGTTCAGCTGCAGATAGCAGTCAACTCTCTCTCTCTCTCTCTAGGTCGGGAGCTGAGTATTTGATAATTGTAGAAATAAAAATTAGTACGTATTTAAATAATTTTAATTTACCCATTTCACTATTTTCAATAAAATGACTACCATTTTATTATTTTTACATACCTCTTTATATCACTCCTATTTTACTTGAAATGTTATTTTTTAATAATAATAATAATTTAAATTTATTTGGAAATAAAACTAGGCTGTTTTAGTCATTTCATAGTTATGGATATATCCAATTTTTTAAAAAAAGAGAGTGATTTTTTTTGCAAGTTTATTAGCCCCAGTCTATTTTTTCTTCTCTACATTTTTTTAATGATTTATTAAAACCGCTGGCTCGGATTCGTTCCGATCCGGGCCGAAAGTCCGCGACCATAGGATTCCCGATGCCAACATTTATCTCAATAACTGATCCTGGCCGTCCATCAGATGCTTACGATCATCCACCATCAGAGAGAGGTCCACAGAAAAGGAATAAGAGCTGCCTCTGGGGCCCACTTTTTTTCTCTCGCGTTTTCCCCACCCGACCTTCTTTGTTGGTGAGGAGCGCGATCGGGGAGGCGGACGCATCGGAAGAGCACCGGCTTGGAAGGGAGATCGGAAGGTGAATGAGGCTCTCTTCCTCTGCCCTCTAGATTTTCCCCTCTTGCTTCTCGTGTTCTTCCTCGTGTTTGAGTTTTTCTTTCTCTGAGATCTCTGCATTTTTTTCCATTCCACCGAATGTTTCGAATTCGTTCGAACTCCAGGTTTTTCCTTTGTTCCGTTTTTTTTCATATCTTCCGTCCTTGGGAACTGCTATCTTTCGCTAATTTCCCTTGTTCGTACAATTGCTTCTTTTGTTCGCGCCTTCTTTCATATTGTCGTTCTTATGCGAGGAAACGCACTTCATGATATTTATGCGGTTATTACTATTGTATATTCGTTGTTTTAAATTCTCAAGTAAATCCTCACTCCTTCCGCTAGATTGGTTCTCGGTGCGTAGATGGTTGCTGGTTTTGATGGTTTCTTTTCCCTCATCTTCTTTTCTATGTTCCACTGCGTTTTTGCTCGAGGGGTAGGAAGCTCTTGCTTTTATTTACTGCCAAGATTTATTTTTTGACTTTTTTTTTCGACTCCTGGTCTGTTGCATGAAATTAATATGGGGATCGTGGTTGTTACTTTTCTAGTTCAGAACATTCATGCGTAATTCAAGGGTTACTTTTTTGGTGGGGATTTAGGCCTGTATTTTTTTCGAACCAAAAGTTTTGATCCTTACAAACCTACAATGAAAACGGTTTTGCGGGTTGCAAATAATTATATTTGTATATCCATAGGTCTGAAAACTCCTTTGATTTTTTAGTCCTCCACTTTTGTATTTTCCCGATGTCTGGGCTGTTCCTTGGAGCCCACGATTCCAGTGACTTTATGTGCTAAGCGGCCAGTCGCTTTCTGTCCAACCCTATATGAAAGCGTGAAATATCGAATGGGTATTTAATGCTTTTGATTTTAATGGATTCGCTCAATTGTGGCCGTTGACTTTTATATTTATGATTGCCTCCACTATAGGATATTTTTGCCACCAGCTTCTCGCAAACAGGGCTTGCCCTGACCAGTATGAACTGTCGTAAAAAAACCACATCTTCAACTGTTTCCTTGCCTCCAAGATCTATTTTCCATTTCCAAAATCTTCTTTGTCCTATTGGAAACCGGATACGTAAATTTGTATTACGATTTGGAATATCTAATAATGATTTATTGTGGTAAAACATCTCAAATCACGAATATACTCAACTATAGCAGAGAATTTTTATTTCCATGTCAAATTAAGTTTCTTTTCGATTCCTGATGTTGGCTTTTGGGTGCCTGATACATATTAATTTTTGTAACTTATAAGGCATGAACTGTGCCTGTTTCAGTATATTATTGGTTTTGTCTACCATACGGAAGGCACGGGTAAAAATAACATGCCATTGTTTTAGATCGTTATTTAAGGAGATTGTAGTACCATGAAGCATTGGCTGCATAAACATTTGAACGGAACCCTCAGGTTTTTTTCTGGTAAGATCTTCTGCTCCGAGTGCATGTCTTCATGTGTTATGCATAGTTTCCTGGTGCATTAGTTATTTTAATTTCATCTATAGTTTCTGAAATATGCGTCTGAAGTTTGGCAAGGCGAATGGTTCTTTTACAGGGTTTATATAAGTATTTTCTACAAGTATTTTTTGAATAATTTATTTTAATTTAATTTTGAAAATTTCTTTCGCAGTTAATGTTTTCTTTCTGGGCATCATTTCAATTATATTTGCTAATCAGAAATTTAAATTTTTATTTTTATGATGGACGACAGCAGGCAAACTAGGGCTTGAGTCTGAATAAAAATTTTATCAGAAAATTTTATTCGTTTTTTTTTTTTTCGATCAAGCTTCCTCTTTCTCTTAGTGCTATTTTTTTAACGTCCGAAATCACTTATTTTAAACTCTTTTGGTGTCATAAAGAAGACGATGGGCAATTTGCTTTGCTGCGTTCAAGTTGATCAATCTACTGTAGCTATCAAGGAAACTTTTGGGAAGTTTGATGAAATACTTGAGCCAGGATGTCACTGCCTTCCTTGGTTCCTTGGTAGTCAAGTGGCTGGACACCTCTCACTCAGGGTGCAGCAGCTGGATGTGCGATGTGAAACAAAAACCAAGGTTTGTTGCTTCTTGCTTTGCTTGGTAGATCGAGAAGCTTTGTGCCTTATTATTGACAGTAAATTTTATTTTGTTGTTCCCACTTTCAAGTAACTTATGAGATTCTTCTTATAGGGTTGTCTCAAGAAGTTGAATACCAGTTGAGAAATCTTGTATACCTGTTCTTTATATTCTAATGAATTCTTTTACTATTACATTAAAGCCTACATATTTGTTTATTGGAGATGTTGCCCTCGTTCGAAGTAAGAAATGAGCTTCGTCAATCATCAGACGAAGGGAAAAGGCTCTTAGGCCCCTGCCAAAAGCTGACTGAACTATGCACACCAGTTGGGTGCATCTAGGAATCGATGGTGTGACATAAACTGCTCCACTTGAGCCTTTAAAATGAATTTTTCACTGGATGGCGCATTTTTCTAGTCTTGTTTTTCTCCATAAACCTTGTCCATGGTAAGATTGTCAAATAGATCCTGCTTTTCCAGTGGTATGGAGTAAATTTAACCTACTTCACTTTGGGATACTTCTCCTCGATAGCTCTCCGTTTTCTCGAACGGTGGGATGACTCCAATCTAGTTACCGTGTTGTGTGCATCTTTCAGGACGATGTATTTGTCAATGTTGTTGCGTCTGTTCAGTATCGTGCTCTGGCCAACCAGGCAGGTGATGCATTCTATAAACTGAGCAATACCAGAGGCCAAATCCAAGCTTACGTGTTTGATGGTATCATCTGCAAACTCTAATTCTTCACTTTGCACCTCTGTTAAGTCATCGGTCTTTCCTTTTTCGCTGTTTTATTATCATGCACAATATTATTATTTTCCGGAGCATTCCCAGTAAAGCTGCATATTAAGCCCAACAAGTGATTTCTAGTGGATACAAATTGGGAATTTTTGGTTTATTTGTTTATTTATCTTTCTAGTAATCAGAGCAAGCGTTCCGAAACTCAAACTGGACGATGCATTTGAGCAAAAGAACGATATAGCAAAGGCAGTAGAAGAGGAACTCGAGAAGGCCATGTCTAACTACGGGTACGAGATTGTCCAGACACTCATCGTTGACATAGAGCCAGATGAGCACGTAAAGCGAGCCATGAATGAGATAAATGCAGGTGAGCTTTTCCTGCAGACATATCCTGTCTGCACTTCTGTTCCATTCCCTTTCCATAGATTTCAATCAAATGGGTGTCTCGTTTTTTCAGAACGTCCCCACCTCATATAAAAAAAAAAAAAAAAAAAAAATGGGGTTTTAATTATTTCGGATAAAAAAGGTATTTTTCCCTTCTTTTAAACGAAAGAATGTATCAAGCCATCGTGCAATTATCGTTTTGATAATGAATGTGGGAGAAGAATAAATTATTTCTCACCTCACAAATTATCTCACATCTCAACGCCCCCTCCTCATCTTACTCCAGCTCAGAGGCTCAGGATGGCAGCAAATGAGAAGGCCGAGGCGGAGAAGATCCTCCAAATCAAGCGTGCTGAGGGGGAGGCGGAGGCAAAATATCTGTCCGGTCTCGGCATCGCCAGGCAGCGCCAGGCAATTGTCGACGGCCTAAGGGACAGCGTCCTCGGCTTCTCGGTCAATGTCCCCGGCACCACCGCCAAGGACGTGATGGACATGGTCCTTGTGACCCAGTACTTTGACACCATGAAGGAGATTGGCGCCTCCTCCAAATCCTCTGCCGTCTTCATCCCCCATGGGCCCGGTGCCGTCCGCGACGTTGCCACTCAGATCCGTGAGGGCCTCCTCCAGGCCTCCTCTCTCAACTGAAGCCTCCTGGCTCTCTCTCTCTCTCTCTCTCTCTCTCTCTCTCAGAGTGTAGATAGCCAGCCACAAATAAACCTCGGTGTTGAAGAGAGTGGGTTAGGCTCTGCTTCTTGGGTATACGTCGATAATCAGACATCTCCTCATCTGCCCTCAATAATGAAGCGTTGTTGTTCAACAGGGCTTCAGTGGTTGTTTGAAATGTGTGTGTTGATGTTGTTATAGAAAAGATCATTTAAACTTTATGAGCCCAGAGAGGTCTCTTTGACTTTATTCTTCGGGCCTGCAGCTGATAAACAGCATGGGCTTAGAGGGGAAACATGCCCCTCAATAGCCCAAGCTATTGAGAGAGAACGAGAGAGAGAGAGAGAGAGAGAGAGAGAGAGAGAGAGAGAGAGAGAGAGAGAGAGGGGAGAGTGATTTGTAGGAAATTTGGGCTGGATTTGGAAGCCCAAGCTAGGAGAAACCGGGCTGGGCTTCAGACTCACTCGGCCCATATACACTCTACCCATTATATCTAATAAGTTTGTTTTTTAAAAACCTTTATTAAAAATAAATTATAGATTAAATGTGATCATTTCGCCGTCAAAATTAAAGATAAATCATGGGCCAGAACGCGTAAGCTGAGTGGAGTGGGAGAGTGCATGGGCTATCGTGCGCCGAAGACGATATGTGGCTGGAGTTGGAGAGAAAGAGTGGGAATTTTGAGAGGAGGACGAGGTCAGCGCCCGCTGGAGGGTCAAGAGAGGTCGTTTCTGCTACGGGAAGGATGGAGGCGGCGCCGCCAGAACGTAGAGGAGCGGGGGGGGAGGTAGAGGAAGAGGAAGCGGAGGAGGATGGGGAGAAGAAGCGGGGCGGAGGGTTTGGCCAATGGAAGGATCAAGCGGAGCTTCCGCCGGCTCTTCGCCCGTCAACGGACGTTATCACGAGGGTCTTCTCGCAGCTTGACTGCGTCGATCTCCTCCACTGTTCGCTCGTCTGCAAGTAAGTGCGGAAGATAAAAGGAAAGCAATTCTTCGTCGTCGTCAGCATCATCATCATCATCGTATTCTTCTTCATTGTCAGTCTTGACATCTTCGCTCTCATTTTTGGCCCCCGTTTCATCGCTTGACAGAGGAGCTAGATGATTCAGGCTAAAATTTTGACTGCTACCCGTGGATATCTTTGGCCTTGTCATCATACTTTCTCTCTGTCGAAATATGGTTGACTTCGGGCGGGTAAATAATTTCGAGCGAATGCGTTTCCCCCGAGCACAACCTTGCTGTAGTGATATCGGAGACAACAGTATTTTCGCTCCCCCTGAAATTCGTATGACCCCCAACAACCTGTTGGCTTAAGACTGAAATCATCTTGGGAATCTCCATTAGTTTTTTCCTCTGTTTTAGCTCTCTCTGTGATTGCAATTCTGACGATTCAAGTGAAATCGTTGCGTCGTTTTGCCCTTTTCTGGTTCGTAGATCCAGTATCTCTGTTTACAGCCCCATGACCAAGAACATTGATGTAACTGCTTTCCGAGGGCTAAATACCCAATCAGGTAAATATTCTATGCACATAACATTCATCTTTTCCGCTTGATGCCTGAAAAAACTCTATATTTTCATTGCTTTCCAGCTTTTCAGGAAACAATCGGGTCAGATTAGCTTCCTAATCCATCTTCCAAGGCAAATTTGATTGGTTATTACTGTGTATTCTGGTAATTAGTATGCCTGTGTCAAATAAATCCAAATGTATCCGGTAAATATATCCCTTTGTCTGCTCTAAAGGTGTAGTTGCGTTGACCAAATGACTTGCTCATTGGCCAGTCATGATCCGGTCCACTTGCTGACTCTATAGACTAGCACCTCAAACCGTTTGGTATTCTGGGCATCCTTATTTCATTGAGTTTCTGCGGAATCTCTTTCTTGAATTCCTTCACTGATAGACAAGTATGTATCACTAACATTCATCTTTACCAGAAATTCAGATTTTCTGGTTTCAGCATCACATAGATAAAGCTTTCCAAATTGGGAATTGTTTGCTGTGGAACTGCCAAGCAAACGACTGAGCTAGTACATGCTTCATGTCCATGTCTCTTTCCGACAGCTTTGATGGCTGAATTTCACATAAGATGCATTATGTACATTCCCCCTTTGCTTTGTCTGGACTGTTCTAGGCACGAAGTATCATGAAACAGAGTGCTTTGTGGAGATCATGAGAATCTTGTTAGCTTCATGAATTGAATAAATCGTCTAGGGACTCATACATGGTTATTCCAGATTGTGTTCTCCTTTGTTTTTCCTATTAGTTCCTCACATTTTACTGCTTATCGTGATCTCATATTACTGTTTATGTCTGTAGGACGCATGGTTTCTGGATGAAATTTTCTGGCTGTTTTTCATATCTGATTACATGGTTTTGATCATTAAATTTTATTTTAAATATTTTATCTGTGATGATTCTCTAGTCAGAAAGAATAATGTTTTTTCTTGAAGGCTGATTACCTCTGTAATGATCCTCTTGCAGGCAGTGGTACAGAGACTCTGCGGAACTCAGGGAGGGGTGGAAGAACGAATACTTAGAAGCGTTGAAGTTTTACGGTATGGGCATTAAAAGGGAGACCCATCCGCCATCCTCCACGTTCTATAAGAGGTGCGCATAGTTGGTGTCCTTGATTTACTCCATATTTCACACCATCTGTGTAATATAAATTTTTAAAAGCATAAAATCCAGAGCTTGTGTACATAAACTCTCTATCTTTCTAAAAATATGGAATGACAAAACTATCAGACATTACCCAGAAAAAAAATATATTTTGCTGTCGTTCAATTCAAGAAGCATGATTAGGGAAATTATTTTAGTAAGATTTTTCAGAATTAATAACGCGAATTATTCCATTTCAAACGACGTAGTAATTGTACAATCAAATAAATTGCAAAATGGATCATACTAAGATATCAGCAGCTCTTTACAGTTCTGAGCAAGAGATTTTCCCACCCAAGTCCTGTGAGAAATATTCTCATCACATTCGATCAGTATTCACTCCTCACTAACGCAACAAAGGGCCAACAAATCCCAGAAAGATTGAGGGCTTTACATTGATGACTATCCAAATACCCTCCAAGCTTTAGAAGGATCATCGCATAGCAAAAGTGGTTCCCTGCAAAAATTCTTCGATTTAATCTGATTTCATGAAAATATCACGCTGAGTGGTGTGGGAGAAACAGGAGGAAACATCCTCCACAGGAGTACATTCCATAGTAAATGCAGGAAGCCTGGTTGAGACCCCTTCCTCTCTTTGAGCCTCCCTATGCACATTCAGGCGTCGATCTCTTAGGAGACACTTCGAATCGGCTCACCCCACCCCCACCCCTAAGGTTGCAGCAGCCTAGGAAAGAAAGAATGAAGAAATACATGAGGGTAGAGAAGGGTCCCGCTTTAAGAGTTCTGTTTACCAACAGGGTCTATTGACTGGTGGTATGGAGAAGGGTGGGCACTGCTAGATAGGTTCCTCACATGCCGCTGAGCATCTCTTGTGAGGGAAGCCTGTGGACTCAAGCCCTTTCTGGAATTCGAGCCGTTGACCTGCGCCACTGCGCGCTGGGCTTGCATGCTTTGGAAGAAGTAGGAAGAGCTAGCCATGTCCTTGAGGTTGATCAGGGGCTTCAGAGCTTCCACCACCTGGCTCATGAGGGGCCGGGCCTTGGAGTCCCGGCAGAGACACCGCTGGGCCACCTGGGCAACCCTCTGGGCACCTTTGATGGAGAAATGGCCCTCCAGCCGAGGGTCAACTATCCGGTAGAAGGAGCGCCTCTCGTTGAGGTGGGGTCGAGCCCACTCCACCAGGTTGTGCTCTCCATTGGGCCGGTTTTTGTCCATGGATCTTCGCCCTGTTAGCATCTCCAGAAGGACAACCCCGAAGCTGTAGACATCGCTCTTCGAGGTCAGGTGCCCTGCCATGCCGAGACAGGTACCTTTCAGGATCAGAATGCATATAATCCGATGACTGGTGATCCAAGCAATGATCTGAGCGAACAAGGAAGCGAACATTTTTTGGGATAATGATGGAAGCGGAAAAATTTGATTTCTGTATGGTGTTCCATGAGAATGAGAAGAATATTAGCAAATCAGGGAGAGATGGCTTCCCCCTTTTAATCCATGAGTCAACACAGAGAGACTGGCTTGAACAGCAAAGTATGGGATGCTACCAGCTTATGTTTGCATAGCCACAGCCGAACGTAGACACTCTTCTTCAGAGAATAGGGCTGCCCCGCGTTAGGAGAATTACCCATATCATGTTCTCATGTGTTCACATGTGAGAGCAATGGAGAAGGATTCTTACACTGCCCAGAAATTGTGACCAGAAGAGAGTAGCAACCTATGACTGTTCTGTTCATCTGTTATTTTCTGTGACACAGTGGTGCTTTTATGTGCATAGAAAATTATATTTGCAAATCCCATTTGATTCTTGGTTTTATGAACGGAGCTGAGGAAAGGATCCCGTTTCAAATGAAATCAGTGAAAACATAAAATGGAGAAGCAACCGAATCTTTGCTTACAAAGTATACAAGACTCTTCGAAAGTTACATGTCTCCATTGAGTGAAACGGCTGCAAATGCTGACTGATATACTCAAAACCCTATTTAGTAAAAATCAACCGTGAACGAAAAACAGAAGGAACTGAGTAATTTTAAAATGGCATGTGTGTACCAGTCATTACGTACTCCGGCGCCGCATAACCGTAAGTCCCCATCACTCGTGTGGAAACATGTGTCTTATCTCCTTCAGGCCCATCTTTTGCAAGCCCAAAATCAGAAAGTTTAGCATTGTAATCCTGGAAAGACACATTTAGAGAAGGTGTCAGAGCAAAAAAGGGGATCTGAAATCCCAGCATTCGATTATGTCTAATGTCACTGCCTACCGCATCTAAGAGGATGTTGGATGTTTTGAAATCACGGTAAATCACTGGTCTTTCAGCTTCCTCGTGAAGAAATGCAAGCCCCTTGGCAGCACCAAGAGCAATCTTCATCCTAGTGGACCATGGAAGTGGCAGGGACCCTTCTGTGCGTAAACATGGGTAACAGAGACCATTAAAAAATAGACGAGCTAAGAGAAATGCCTGCGAAAGAAGACATCATGTAAAAAGCTTAATGACATGTGAGAGCTGTTTATAACGAACTCATTCATATCACAGTCTACCCATCTTACCAGCACAAAAAGAATAGAACAAATGAATTGCCTGATATTAAAATTTCCTCAAATCAGTGACTTCCACATTAACAGGATTTGAACTAGGAATCACAGGTTAAGCATGGCCATATGGAGAACTCGGATGCCTTGCCATAGAAAGGATGTAAAAACACAATTTATAACCTTATTCTGCACATAACATGAAAAAAATGCCACTAGCTTCCTGTATATTGTCCCATGCAATTGTTTCATTGAAACTTTTCAAGCTATCATGCGCTTCTCTTTTCAGCGACAGAGATGACACAATGGGTACAACGGGCATTGATATTGATAAAAGTGAGAGGGTTTGAGAGGAGGAGAAAGGGGGAGAGAGAAAGAAAAACCAGGCAGAACAAACGGGGGGGGGAGGGGGAGAGAGAGAGAGAGAGAGGTATTCTTCAAAGATATATCACAAGCCCACACAAGACCCATATCGTCAACTGACTATCAAATTAGTTTTGTTGTGGGTGGCAAAAGAAAATCAGTTTATATTTCTCCCATGTGTGAAGCAAAAGAAACTGGGACGAAGAGGAAAAGAAACAACGAAAAATGAAGCAAGAAAAAAATACAGCTTCACACCATATGTGGAAGGTAAAGATCTCACAACGATTACTGAAAAAGAAAAATGTTGGTTTGCTATTTCACTATAACGACCTTCACCCCTTCCCATCACTGTGGAGTCGTTGTCATACTAATGATCATCAACTTAGACGGCAGTCCCCAGACAGGGATCCCCAATTTAACCGCTAACATACCTATATACCAAAACATGGCACAAATAGACAAGAATGAGATCCAAAATGCCCTTTACATGAAAAACATTAGAACTTTGACGACAGAGCTGATGAGAAAAAAAAAAAGTGAAATGCTAGAATTAGGCACTTTCTAGAATCCCAGGATACACGATAAGGGTTGAGGTCCATTCACATCAGAAGCCAACAGAAAAGAACAAAAATTCTTCGAAGGGGATGAGCTACATACTTCTGAACAGGTGGTTTTCCAAACTGCCCCGGGGCATGAATTCATAGACAAGCAATCTGTGATCATCCTCAATGCAGTACCCGATAAGTTTGACCAAATTTGGGTGGAGGAGATCTCCAAGAAAGTTAACCTCGGCCTGGAAATCCAAAACAAGGAAATGAAAACTGCGACCAGTAGAAGACAGGAGCCCAGAAAGGGATATATACCAGCCATTCTTTATGCCCTTGAAGCCCGTCATGGTTAAGTGTTTTCACAGCAACGGTGAGACCAGTGCCAGGCTTCACAGGAGCAGTTCCGTTCTCCTCAATCCACCCCTTGAAGACACAGCCAAAGCCTCCCTCCCCAAGAAGGCTCTCTGGTCTAAAATTCCTCGTGGCCAGTCTTAGTTCATTGAAGGTAAACTTCCTGAGCTGGCATGCGACTTTCATATGCTCGGAAAGCTTGGGCGTCGAAGAGCTACTGCTTTCTGTGTTACTGGCGCTGGTGGAACCAGAGGCAACATTAGCTGTTGGCTGGTCTCTGCTTCCTTCATTCCCCAGCTTACTATCTGTTGTCGATGGAAGGAAAAATGAGCATTGGTGAACATGTTTAAACTGTTGTGAATGGCCATGTGGCCAACCAATTGACGAATCTGAAATCCCACAAAGAAAAAGTCAAGAAAAAAAAAACTAGAAACTTGAACCTGTGGAGACAGGACATATCTGATGATGAGATCACCGCTCTTAAGCTTTGTTAAACCTGTTCCCGAAAATCTTTAGACTCTGAGGTTTATTATCGTTTAAATAAGGATTTTTGGCTAGAACTTTAACATGCATTTTAACCCCTGCATTTTATTTGGGGAGAAGGAATTTGGCAATAACTTCCATGTTTTCCTGGCCCATCCAACGATTAAATGATGTAATCGGTGCGAATCATAAGAAACAAGTATGTTTTCAGCATGGGTGCGGTGGATAGAAAGGGCAAGCGGAGGACAGAAGATGCAGCGGATAGAATGGTGAGTTCGGCTTACCATAATTCGAGCAGCCGCTGCTTAGAGAGGAATCCACTTTGGATCTGGAAGAGATACAGCTTCCCATGGAAATGAACTTGATCCAGCATCCCGTCTCCTCCCCCATAGCGTCCTTCTTCCTCCTGGCCCTGGTCTTCCTGGCACCCTCCCTTTCGTTAACCACCACGGCGTGGGGATCCAGACCCATCGCCTGAAAATCTCTGCAACCGGGGAGCCCCTCGACCGGAGAATTCGCTCTTCCTCGACCGACCGACAAATCTACGATCTCCACGCACGGGGAAGCAAGCACGGAGAGGCCATCTTCAGGTCATTCAAATCCAGACGCCCAACTCCTCTCCCCGACACCAGCAGAAGCAACCCGCTAAAGAGCCCCGATTTCCACGCCTCAGAACCCTAGCCCGCCAACCCAGATCGACCGAACGAGCGAGAGAGAGAGAGAGAGAGGAGGGGGTCCAGAAGTACCTCGGGGGCGGCGACGGAAGCAACGGAGAAAAGCAGCCAACAGGAAGAGTGTCAAATCGGGAAACCTGGGGGCGAGAGAAGGTTGAGAAAGTAGGTGTCGCAGTAGAAGACGGCAGCAGACCAGACGACTCGGCCCGGATAGTTCGCCCCCCCCCTGGTTTGGTGGGGCGGGGAGCACAGAGCCGGAGGCGTCACTAGCCAACTGGGATTTGGATCAGACGCAGCAGATGCCCTCCTCTCTCTCTAGGGAGGAACGCCTGCTGCCTCTCCCTCTTGGGAGCGAGCTTCCGGGAAGGGCCGGCGCCGCCGTCGGATGGGTCAGAAACAGTGGCCCTGTTGCTTCAGGACAAAACTTCTCCGGTCGGAAGCCGACACGGCCCGCCTTATCCCGCCAACCGAGCAGGGATTTTAATGGCGGTAAGAGCACCACCAAAACGTGGGGTTTTTAAAAATGTTTAATTTCTTTTTTACTATTTTGGGTACCTATCTCAGACGAGGAAACCGGGGGGGTGAGGCATAAAATTATCCACGACCAAGAAGAGTGGGGGGTGACCGGAAGCCACCATAAGTAGTAATATAAGGGAGCATTGGACTAATCTAGGGCTATTTATTCACAGTAATATTGCCCACAATATTTAAATATTCGGATTAAAAATGGCATAATATCCCATCTCTCGAATCCTTGTCTCCATTGCCATTACTGTAGCTGCTGCCCTGCACGGTGATGATTTTTTTAATATTTTTTTAATATTTTTGGTACCCATGTCAGACGAGGAAAACGGGGGTGTGAGCCATAAAATTATTCATGATCGGGGGGGTGACCGGAAGCGTTAAACTGGGTCAATTCATGCGCAATAATATTGGTCATTGTATTTAAATATTCGGATTAAAAATGACGATTATTCCAATCTTTATTAGAATGCATTTCCTGAATCCATTTTGGTCGCCATTCCCCATCACTCTACCCGCTGGCCCTTGGCTGTATGTAGCAGCAGACGACTAGTTGCTGCCCTAACCGTGCTAACCCCCAAGTAAATAACAAAAAAGATTCTGTTTTTTTAGCTACTTATTTTCATAAATTTATCTCTCTCTCTCTCTCTCTCTCTCTCTCCCCCCTCTCTCTCTCTCTCTCTCCCTCTCTCTCTCTCTCTCCGTCCCTCTCTCTCTCTCTCTCTCCCTCTCTTCCTCTCTCTCTCTCCCTCTCTTCCTCTCTCTCTCTCTCATATTTTTTAACTGGCGTTGCCCAAAATAGCAATAGGGTATTCTTAGAAGGTAGTGTTGAAACGTTAAAAACATCATTTCGAGCGAAAAATGTTATCATAAATGGGTACTAGAATTAACCCTATTATGATGACTCATTGGGCCCATTATTCCGCTCCCACTCCTCTTGAAGCCCATCTTCCCCTGCCCACCTCTTTTTCCCTCCCTAGAAGAGGCGTTTCCTACCTTTCCTTGGCGATTCTCTCTCCTTCGTCCTTTATTTAGCGCTGTCTGCGGGGAGGGGCCGGGCTCGGCCTTGATATGGGCTTCTAACGGGCCCACATCACCCAGGTCGAGACAGTCTTCACCTCCTCTCTTAATGGGCTTCTGTTTTAACAGCCGCCGTTAAAAACCACGAGAAACGGAGCCTTTAAATGGGGGGCCGTTTCTTAACACCGTAACGACTTGCGTCATCGGCCCAATAAATGGCTGCGACCATTCGAGTGGTTAGCCGTTACCTCTCCATCGGCTGCTATTTTCCGCCTTCTTCAGTCGCACTGGAAGCCGCTGCCCCGCCCTCCCATGGGAGCGGCGACCTTCTTCACGCAGGCGGACTCCCTTCTGAGGAGGAACCTTACATTCCAGGTTCTCTTCCTGTTGCTGCTGCTGCTGCTGCTAGTGGTGGTATTTCTTCGAGGAGCTCTAGAGATCCCCCTCTACGTCGAGGTTCTTCACCGGCGAGATCCGTCGGAAGGTCGATCGGATGTCTGGCGGTCAGCGGGGTGACCTCCCTCGGTCTGCAGAGACGACACCTGCAAGGCAATGTTGGACTAGTCGCCTTCCCGATCTCGCTGTGCCTGCTGCTCCTCGCCTTCCAGAAAGTTGTGGACATCTCGGCCGATCCATCCGAGGCGCGTTACGCCTGCTAGGGCTGCCTCGACATGAAATGGGAAGAGCGGTATCGGGAGGAGTGCCCCCTGAGATTTTTCCAATTGATGACCTCGGGGTTTACGCACTGCCCCGCTGAAGCCGAGGGAGTGGCCGGCGCTGCACGATGTACCTTTGCCCGAATTCCCCGCCACGAGGGGCGGCATCTCCGGCGCATCATCGCCGTCCGGCCGCTTCACCGATCTGCCGGATGAATTGTCCGGCGGCTTGGAGACGACGCCGGTGACTTTTCTCGTCACTGGCCAGACGCGATCTCAGGGACAGAATAAGCGGGGCTATCCATCTCTCTCTCTCTCTTCCCAGTCTGAATCTGATTTCCCTCAAGTTATTCTACAGGACTGGGGAGAGATGGAATGGTCTGAAAAGTGATCGGTGCACTGCATCTACGGCGCAACAGTTCTGCTCCAATCGATAGAGCGATATGGGAAGGCTACAGAAGCGGCAACTCCCATGGGAAGATCAACGAGCTTGTGGCAGGTAAGACTCACCTCGCTGTTCAACGGCTCTGGTCTGCCGGTTCTTTCTAAGAGGGTCAATCACTGCAGCTTAGGACTTCTTGAACACATATGAAGATGGCTCCAGGGTCAACGCTCCGGCTCCTTCGAACAACTAAATACGGTATGTGTAGATCAACGAAATGGCTCATTTATAGTCATAGCCCAGGGGTCCTCATCTTTGGCACAAATGGAGCAGGATAAGGTTAATTCACAAATGGACCAGGCTTTGTGGGCGGAGTTCTATTTAGTTCACCTCGTGGAGTTCTTTCCGGGTTTTTCTCTATAACGAGGAATATATGAACTATCACAGTTCTCATTCCAAGCAGAGAGCTTCGGAACACAAAGGTTGGGAAGCTGCGAGAAGTGAGAACGACGGTACGGAAGCCATTCTACTCACCATGATTGCCGAATGGTCCGCTCTCCTCATACTTGCACTCTACCTCGATCAAGTAATAACCAGTGGCAGTGGAATCAGGGAACGTCCACTGTGGTTTCTTCCTCACTCTTGCAATCTGAAGAAAATATGTCCATGCAGAGGCACGGATACCATGTTCTTGTCAGTATAGAGAAACCTGGTGTCTGTCGTGAGGTAAGTCATATTGAATGATATCTAGTTTCCGCTTTCATAACAAGATTGGCATCACCAGGAGACAGCACATAAAACCGATTGAAAACGGAAACTTTATCCTTCTACAACAAGTAAAATGTGGATCAATCCGGCAGTTCATCAGTCAACTTATATGCACACCCAAATCTAAGATCCTTACTACTAATATATCTCCTCCGTCGCCCAAAAAGGAGCCTTATTTTCCACATTGATCGATGTAAGAGTAGAGGAAGGTTGTTGAGAAGTCACATGGGGAACAAAAAAAAGAGACATGCTGTACTCTGTGACGACCTCAAGAAGCTTTTTTTTTGCAGACTCACTCACACTAGTCCAAGGGTAATGTTTTGACATGGTCAGTAAGACATCTTACTTGAGCATCTCCATGCTCTCCCAACACAGATGAAACAAAAATGAAGAGAGGATGCAGCACACATTTCATGGATGCAGGTGAAATTTGAAGATGGTGAACGTAGAATTACTAGAATTTGTAAGTAAGAAGTCAGCTCTTCTGCTAATCCGTAAGAACTTGAAGTTTTCCAGATGACGGGGATTGCAACCAGCACTTCTGCCACCGTTTTTTGTTTACGGATCTGATATTAAGTCCGCCAAGGATAAGGTTTATTCGATCATGGGTGTATGCCCACAGCATAAGTAAAATTTCCTCATCAATGATGCATACGAAGCCTCAAGCTAGTAGGAATACCAGAGGATGCAATTACATTAATTCCTAATGAATCATGAGAACACAACTTGCTTTGGGATACATAAACTGGAAGGGAGCACGTGGTCTTTTATGCCAGATTAAGAAACCTCATGGAGATGAACTGATGCAGGTAGCAATTCCAATGCATGTGGGTGTGTGTTAGAGAGAGAGATGTTACATGGTTTTCATGAGTGATGGGTCTTCCATGATGAGAAACTAGCACAACTTTTTAATGTTTTCCATAAAAAAACTGAGTCGTTCATGCATACTAATCGAGGCAATGCCCTTGTTCTGTCAATTGTGCAGGCACCAACAGAATCTCTCAGAGAAGTTAGATTACTTGACGGGAGAGCTGCAGATAAACCATCAGGGCAGTACGAGGTTATCTACATGGATGAGCCTGGCACTGGACTAGACCCACTCTCGAAGAAGAACCTGTGTAGCATCGTGAAGAATGCTAAGAAAGGGAAGGTCATCATCCTGAGAAGTGAGAAGACTTATTCCTCAGGTATGATTATTAGCCAAACAGGGTACCTCCAGAGGTCACAGAAGGCTCTTTCTCGAGCTAAGGTTCATCACTCATGTTACACCCCTCATAGATATTCATAGGAATATGCACGGATGAATATGCCCGAGGAAAACATTCACTCAATGTGTGTAGAACAGCGATGCAGGAGTTTCTCCACTCAAACAGATCTAGTGACTGCAAAAAGCTGGAAGCAGGAAAATCTCATTTCAAAAAGGTTGAGGTCAGTACCAGCAAAGCAACAACACCGGACGGGAAGGAACGGGGCGGATCTCTACGCGGACCAGCCGCGCCATTTGAGGAAGTCCTTGGTCCTCTTCCGGACTCTGGTAAAGACCACGACCACGCAGGCAAGGATCCAAGGCGGGAAGCTCCAGCCGGAGGAAGTCGACGACCTCAGCCATGAAGGATTCTCCTTCACCAGAAACGCCACAAGGAGAGTCGTCACCGCGACGCCGAACAGGATCTTGGTGACCGGCTTCACCAGCGAATCCTGCGCCGGAGCCGATCAGGAATCAATCAATATCTGATTGGAAAAAACTCTGAAGGATCGGCAGATCCAGGAACCTTGGGCTCGCCGTCGACGAAGATCACCGCGCCGTCGGCGTACGGGAGGAGCGATCTGCCGTTCCTTGGGCTGAACCGGATTGAGACACCTCTGCCGGTCGAAGGGTTGAAGGCGAAGAGGGATTTGAAGCCGTACTGGTCGAGGATGTCCTGCACTTCCAGGCGGTCCTGATCCCACCCTCCGAGCTTCGACCTAAAGACGGCCACCGGTCCCCTCCCCTGCCGGAACAGGTGAACCTCCACCTCCGGAGCCTTCACCTTCACGGAGCCCGCGACCGGCGCGGCGGTTCTGCTTCGAGGGAGATCGGCGCCGCCCTCCTCGCTGATCGGCTCGCTCTGTTCGCTCTTCTCCTCCATCCTCGACCTCCGCAGCTCCTCTCCTCCATCCTCGACCTCCGGAGCCTTTGCCTTCACGGTGTCGGCGACCGGTGCGGTGGTTCTGCTTCGAGGGAGATCGGCGGCGCCACCAGCGTTGCTCTCCTGGCCGATCGGCTCGCTCTGTTCCTCCATCCTCGACCCCCGCAGCTCCTCTCCTGAGGCCTCCGAGCCACTCGGATCGATCAATTAGGTAACCACTCTGAACTTCATTAATTTCGAGCTTGCCTCCACAAAAAAAAAATCCGCATTTAATCTCCAGAAATTTCTCTCCATGAAAAACCCATAATCTCATCACTCTATCCAACGATCGATCTCTATCAATGTTTGTCTGTGCATGTATGTATCCAACACTTGAGAAAACTAGATTGAGATATCAAGAAAATTCTTGATTTTAAAAATTCATAGAGATTGCGATGTCTAAATAAAATCAACCTACAGTTTTATGTGTTTTCAATTATTACATGATTATATAAATAAAATATGTTAATTTACCTTCTTTTTGAAAGGCTAAAAAATTATCCCCTTGAACAGTAGTGGAGGTCATTAGAACATCTGGTATGAATCTTGGCTTAGCTTATGAAAAGGTTCTAGAAATCAAGATCCGAATTAATGGCGCCTCTGGATTAGAACAGTTTGCAGCCAATACTAGGCTTTGAGCCATCGGTGTCACCACCATCGTAGGAGTCAATGTGAGATATCTAAACTTTGAAGACAATAATTGCTAAGAAATTGAGTTCCTAGTTTGATGGCTCTACCGCTATCTAACTCATTTAATGCCACGACCAAAATGTTGGAAATAATCAATTACTCATAAGATTATATTGAATGAGTGTATCTTAGTATTTTGAGACATATAAATGCTGCTTACTGTCATCAAAAATCATATTTTTGACCAAAGAGGGAATCAAGAACTTGAAGATTCTACACCCTTTGGATTGAAGGGCATGTTGCCCCTAGAAGATCAAATGTGGGTTTAGAATCCAAGGGGATTGAACATGAGTTGCTTGTTTCACATGGTGTTGCAATTAAGCTAGAAGACCTTGGGAAGTTTTTTTATCAGATTTTTATTTAAATTTACTATTAATACAAAACTAGGAATCTTGGTATTGTTATTCCATTTAAAAGGGAAGCAAGAACTAAAACTTGGAAAGTCCTTCGAATCATCATCATAATTAATATCATCATTCATTATGTGAATGATTCATAGTGATCTTAAGTTATGAACCTCAACAAGTGGCGAGCATCATTGATCTTAGTCAACATTGAATTTATAAACTCTTCAAATGTGCCAATTACTATGTGATTATTTAGTTTCATGTCCTCACTGCTCACATGAGGAGTTGCATGCATTTAGGATCTAAGAGGATTGAACGTGAGTTGCTTGCTTCACATGGTTTCTTGATTAAACAAGAATATCTTTGGGAGTCTCTTATCAGTATTCTAGTTAAATTTATCAATACTTGAAACAAGGAATCTTGGTATTGATATCATGTTTCATGGGGAGGCAAGAACTACAACTTGGGAAACCAAAAAGTGAACCTTTAAAAAACCCAATACTTGTTTGTTAATTAATTGGTGCCCTTAATTTTTATATTAATGAAGTTTTTTGAATCATCATCATAATTAATAATATCATTCATTATGTGAAGAATTCATAGTCATCTAAACTTTTGAACCTCAACAAGTGGCAAGCATCATTGATCTTAGTCAACATTGAATTTATAGACTCTTCAAATGTGCCATTGCTAGTAGGGTTGAACTAAATACTAAGTTGTGCCATCAATGTTTACAAGGTGAGCTGTGTGGGTTAAGGATCCCAAAAGCATGAACATGAGTTGCTTGCTTCACATGGTATCTTGATTGAGCTAGAAGAATCTTGCGAGATTTTTTTTTATCAGAATTTAATTTAAATTTACTATTACTTTAAATGAGGAATCCTAGTTTCATTATCCCATTTCAAGGGGAAGTAAGAACTAAAACTTGAAAATCAAAAGTTAACCTTTGACAAAAAAAATAAATACTTTTCTTCTGATTCATTAGCCCCCTTAATTTTTACTTGAATGAAGTTCTTTGAATTTTGATTGTAATTAATGAGGTTTGAAAAGTTTGTACATCTCAGTCAACATTGAATTCATAGGCTCTTCAACTGTGCCATTGCTAGTAGGGTTGACCCAATTACTAAGCGGCACACAATTTTTCTACTAATCCTCAAGAATCTACAACATTGCATGATCCCCACAAAAATGTAATTTTGTGATATCATCCTTAATGTAATTTTGGTTGCACAAAAAGTACTCAGTGGAGACAAACTGCACTAGATTTATGGTACTAAGGATTGATATCATGAAAGATTTTCCATGGATTGTTAAGATAAGAATATAAATGTGATTAAAATTAGATACTATATTTTTTTATTTTTTTCATGGAGGTGGGGTGAGGTCAAAGAATAATTTCTTTCGGCATATAGAAACCCATTGGTGTTAGTGGAATTAGTCTAAATATGTAACCAAATAAGACTCCAAATGTGGCTAAAAATAATGGTGTCATTATGTGCTTAAAAAAATGTTTTTTTTAGGCATTCTAAAATGCTGTACATCTTAAAATAAAAAAATAAAAAAAATATTAGATACATAGAAGCTCAATCACAACAGGTTTTTCATTGAGCTTTACAAAAGATGCTAATAATAATTTTCTAAATACTTAAAAAATGAAAAATTAATGAGACATTATTATTTCACTCATATGAATGTATCATTATGGCGACATTCGAAAACCCAAGGAGACTTTTAGCTTGACGAATTTATCTACTTTCCTGAGCAAAGATAAAGGATTTAATTAACCGATAATAACCTAAAATTTTCTTATCTTAAAATTTGAATTATCATTTCAGAAATCTTGCCAAGCCCAACAACATCTACCATAGTCTTATTAGAACTTTGCCTGATGTTGGAACCTTGGGAACTTTGCCCGATATCGATTGTCTCTATCTTCACATAAACTTAATTTTTGTTATAAAAACTATATAATATTCACGTTCAGTTATTGCATTCGATTTCGTATGTCTTCATCGGTGCATGCATCTTATTATAATATAACATATAAAATCAATGAGAACGTGGCAAGCAGGTAAGGATTTAAATCTTTTGTAATGATTGAAATCCCGGTAGAGAAAATCTTCCACATTTTTCATAGAATGAGTTATTGCTACCATGAGCTCTCTGAAAGGAGTAGTGATAGTGAGCATGCCACATGCCCTGGTGAGCACCAAGTACGACTTAGCTGATCTGTTACATTTATTAATTCTGGGCTTGAGGGAACCCCGGTCCTCTGCCCAGCTCCTTTCTGCACCCTCCGTAATAATTACCCGTTTGGGTAAATTGAGCATATTTTCATGCTTCGTCATGAATAAAAATACGGAAATATCGATACGGGCAGTCCTTAGTTATGGGTCTTATGGCATTTATGAGCATTCCTCAGCTTGGAACGGCCCCCCTCCCCCCTCTCGCCGTAATGACTCTCTCTCTCTCTCTCTCTCTCTCTCTCACACACACACACACACACACATCTGTCACTCTCATGACATCCGCCGGCATTTCGTCATGAGGAAATGCCAGAACACCTCGGGAGGGGCACCTTTGTCAACGGATAGAACCCCCACGGTTCAGGAGAGAGAGAGATAGACAGAGAGATTTATAGCTATATAGAAAGAAATCAGGATAGAGAGAGACAGACGGATGGGTAGTTTGGGGGGTCAAAATTTGACCAAATATTTATTCTGACCTAGATTTCGTTTGGCCCGAACCCATTGGATCGACTTGCTCGAGAGTCAAATGGACAGAAACTGGCGCACTGATAAATAAGCAAGAGAGAAGTCGAGCCCCACTCCGGGAGAATCAACGGCGACTAATTGCGCCAGGTGGCCGACGCACCTCCCACACCAACGAGATCATCATAAATCCATGTCAGATCGACGGTTCCTCCCCTCCCCCCCCCCCACGGCGGTCGCTGCCCGCGCTGGCACGGCACGCCGAAAGCGAACGACAGCAGTATAAAGCCCACTACCAACTACCAGAACGAGCCCATTAAGTCGCCCCACCACTGGTGGGCCCACCCCCCGTATTCCCCCTTTCCTCAACAACTCCGAGCCCAGGCCCAATATCTCCCAATCTTCCTCTGATGGGACTTCTGGAGGCCCGCATTGATGAGCCACGGGCCCACCCTCATACAGCTCTTAGAAGAAATTCCCGCTCCCCGAGGTGGGCTGTCGTCATTTAATTCGCTCATGAGCTGTTCGTAGGAGAGAAGAAGACAGAGAAAGAGAGAGAGACCGGTCAGAGAGAGAGAGAAGGATATATGTAAAGACCGAGGGGGTCATCTTCTTCATCTCTTACGTCCTGCCCCTCTGCAGAAGCGCCCCCACGCCCCCCCCCCTCTCTCTCTCTCTCTCTCTCTCTCTCTCTCTCTCTCTGAGAGTTGCTACGTTGCTTTCTGGTGGTGGTGGTGGTAAGGGGGGAGAAAGGATGAGTTTGCTGGGGAGCGCCGCGGCAGCGATGGAGGTGGGGGCGTTCCTGTGGGAGGACAAGCTAGCGGTGGCGGCGCTGGCGTGGTGCCTGACGGTGGCGCTGGTAGCGTACGCCGCCCGCCGGCCGAAGCGGGTTTACCTGCTGGACTACGCCTGCCACAAGCCCGAGGATGCCACCAAGTGTAGCTACGAGGCCAGCGAGTACTTCGTCCTGAAGAGCGGCCGGTACACCGCCGACAGCGTGGATTTCATGCGCACCATCTTTCTCAAGTCCGGCCTGGGCAACGAGACCTACGTCCCCTCCTTCCTGTTCGAGCAGGATGGAGACCCCAGGCTGGCGACGGCGATCAGGGAAGCGGAGGAGGGGCTCTTCTCGGCGGCGGATGCGGTGCTGAGGAAGACGAGGATGGACCCGGAGATGATCGACGTGGTGGTGGTCACCTGCAGCATGCTGTGGCCGGCGCCGTCACTGAGCTCGATGATCGTCAACCACTGCAAGCTCCGCCCCGATGTGAAGACCTTCAACCTCAGCGGCATGGGTTGCAGCGCAGGGGGCCTGGCCATGGACCTGGCAGCGCGGATTCTCCGGCAAAAGTCCGGCGGGTACGCGCTGGTGTTGGCGACGGAGAGCACCAGCCTCAACTGGTACTTCGGGAACAACCGGTCGATGCTGGTGACAAACTGCATCTTCCGCGTGGGGGCGGCGGCGGCGCTGCTCACCAGCGACCCGGCACGGCGGCGCAGCGCCATGATGGAGCTCGTGCACGCCCTGCGGACCCATCACGGCGCAAGCGACCCGTCGTTCCAGTCGGCGCTGCAGAGGGAGGACGAGATGGGCACCGGCGGCGTGGAGCTCAGCAAGGACCTGGTCTGCGTCGCCGGCGCCGCCTTGAGGGAGCACATCCGCTCGCTGGCTCTGCGCATGCTCCCCATCTCGGAGCTGCTGCAGTACGCCTGCGCGGCCGCTCGCTCGGCGGCGCTGCGCGCGGTGGCGACCCGCGGCGCCGCCGCGCAGGGGAAGGTGGCGCAGCCCCCTGTCCCGGATTTCACGCAGGCCTTCGAGCACATGTGCTTTCACCCGGGGGGAAAGGCGGTGATCAACAAGCTGTGGAGGCTGATGAGGCTCCCGGACGAGATGGTGGAGCCGGCGAGGATGACCCTCCACCGCTTCGGGAACACCTCCAGCAGCTCCATCTTCTACGAGCTCGGATACTTCGAAGCCAAGGGGAAGCTCAAACGGGGAGACCGTCTCTGGATGCTGGCTTTCGGCACAGGCTTCAAGGTCTCCAGCCTCGTCTGGGTCGCCCTACGCGACTCCCGAGTTGACCCTGACAACCCCTGGGCCGACTGCGCCCACATCTACCCTGTCGAGGTCCCGCTCTGAGAACTAAGATGACGGCGGCCACTGGGCGGCGCCGCCGCACGCCCTCTTCTCTTCGTCTGTACTGTATAATTTTAGTGGAACCCTCCTACTGCCCCCCCCCCCCCCCCTTGCATACATATGTGATCCATAGCTGCTGTACAAGAAGAACGAACGATCGATCTTCAAGGTCTCTGCATGCCCCATGTCTGAAAAAAATATCCCATTTTTACCAGAAATTTGTGCCATTTTATCGGAAAAAAATCCTCCCCTCCCTCCCTCCCTCCCTCCGCTCATTGATTACACACATTTTACCACAATATTTTAATTATGATTCCTATTAATGGTAGTATTTTATTTTATTATTATTTTTAAGGACACGAAGAAAATCCATCGAATTGTGGGCTCGAGGTCAACGCAGGGGAAAGGTCCAACAGGAAAATTTGATAAAAAAATCACTCTTTAAAACGGGTTCTCAATATTGGACGACAATAAATTGATAGTTATTAGGATGACCTCATGAACCCAGAAATAGAAATTTTGGGCTCGAACACTGCGTTGACTCTGTGAAGTACAAGGGGTGATTTCATAAATGGGCAACGTATATTCGTAATTATGGCAGCAGTTTACTCCATTTTTGTTAAATTATGGGTTAATAATCTCTATCGCTCTCACACAAAGTACTTTTTGTTAGCATTAATTAAATATTTTTACTATTCTCATGTTTATTAGATAAATCCGTTTTTTCTCTGATACTTACTATTTTTAATATATATTTAATATTATATATTCCAACATATTAAATTAAGCCCACCGGGCTCAACACCAGTTCGTACCCAGCCTCATATTTCAAAAGATAGCGCCATCATAAATGGGTCACGTGTCATCATGGTGGTAGAATGGTCCATCGTTTCATTAAATTATGGGTCAGTAATCTCTCTCTCACACAAACACGTAAATATAATTATTAACATTAATCAACCATTTTATTATTCCATATTTTTATTAATCTAAACCCAAAATGCATTTTATTTATGTAAATCAACCCGGCCGGTCCGGGTCCGAACCGGGTTTGGCGATCCACCGCCCGCACCGCCTCGATCAGGGTATAAAAAGAGAGGGCGGGGCGCCTTGGTGGTGCATTTGCTCGAGGTCGCGGGGAAGAAGAAAGAGGGAAAAGGGATTAGGGTTTCGTTCCCCGGCGGGGAGATGCCGAAGAACAAGGGAAAGGGAGGTAAGAATCGGAAGAGGGGGAAGAACGAGGCGGACGACGACAAGCGGGAGCTCGTGTTCAAGGAGGACGGGCAGGAGTACGCGCAGGTCCTCCGGATGCTCGGCAATGGGAGGTGCGAGGCCATGTGCATCGACGGCACCAAGCGGCTCTGCCATATCCGGGGGAAGATGCACAAGAAGGTATGGATCGCCGCGGGGGACATAGTCCTCGTCGGCCTCCGCGACTACCAGGACGACAAGGCGGACGTCATCCTTAAGTACATGCCGGACGAGGCGCGGCTCTTGAAGGCTTACGGTGAACTCCCGGAGAACACAAGGCTCAACGAAGGCATCGCCGGAGGGCTTGACGAAGAGGACGAGGGCGCTGGTGACGACTACATCGAGTTTGAGGACGAGGACATCGACAAGATCTGAGGAGGAAGAGGTCGGGTGGTCACACAAGAAGCGGAACGAGTGTAGAGACCATTTTATTTATCCCGTGTGGTTTGTACTTGGATTTTTTTTTTCAAGCACTTGTTGCTCATCGATCACGCTGCGGAAGGATTTATCGAGGCTCTCATTTGCTGCCTGTAAATCTCATATTCTTATCGGTGCTTGTATATGACAACGACGACGATGATATGGATTCTAGGTTTTCATTTCGGTACCAATGGAAGTAGCATATGTCGCCCGCCGATGACGGAACCTGACTTTCTTCTTCCGTTCTTTCACCGAACATGAGCAGCTTCATGATCTCTGCCAGTTTTTTTTAGAATTTTCCGCTTCCGGTTCGAGGTCTGGGTCGGTTTATGATCTCCATCAATGATGCTTACACGACCAGGATCCTTCTGTCTAAATCGCTGTTTTAGCGGATGCTTTGCTTCTTCTGCCATCCTTCTAAACTCCATGTCAAATTCTGGGAACATCAAAGAACATTGTTGAATCTGCTCCAGCTGCTTGCCCATTCTCTTGTCGAAGTCGACAACCTCATGGATTGCTTCTCTGGGTCCCTTCTTATTCCTTTCCCGCCAAATCGAGCGAGGATTGCAGGTGCAAGTAGCTTCCATCAGCCCTTGGCATGGTTCTTGGACATCACTCCGTCTGACAATCCCATGTTAGAAGATTAACCACCAACACATACATATGATGGGTCATTCCAGAAATTGTTGGAATGGATGAACGAGACTGTCATACTGCGAAGGATCTCAATCATAGAAGAGAAAAGCCAACACTCTCCCATCCCTGCTCTGCAGAGGTTCCTTATGCACAAGTCAGCTGCAAATTTGGCCTGGAAGTGGTTCCACAATTAAACTTAACAGGGTCCTCCCTCATGTTTGAGGCCACTCTATTTGTCTCATGTTATCATTAGTGAGGCAGATTTCCCTTTACCTAGGGTACTTCGCTTCCTCTTCCTCTGGTCTATTTCGGGGGTATTGTTTGCAGGAAGTGAGTGAGAGACAGAGAGAGAGAGAGAGAGAGAGAGAGAGATTGATGATTAAAAATAAATAAGGTGAACATATTGAGCCACTCACTGGGTTGCCAGTGTTTATGGAACCCTAATTTCTGTTCCATTCCCTACGGGATCGGGGCGACCCTCCTGGGGTGTCTATGCTGAAAGACCTTCAAGATCTGTCTTCTCTTCACCAAAGCGTAAAGGAGTAGCAGGATAAGAGAAGCAAGAAGATAAACCTGCAGATGGAGACCTCTGAAGAAATCCGCCCGGCCCAGCTTGTCCTCGGGGTCGCAGTGACAGCCATAGGGCCGAGCGAGGTGGACTTGGCCGGTCAGTTCCTCCGGGTCAAGAACAAAGTCCAAGTTCATGGCTTCATTCTCCAGCAAGATGATGCGAGTGGATTTGGATTGGTAACCAGGCATCGAGGCAGTGACTGCACGGTTAAATCCACAAATTAATCGTAAGATTACACAAACTAGTATACTATTAATGGTTAAATTTAGGTATTACTTTGGTAATAAAACATTAAAAAATACTTCAAAACAAAATTATATGAGTTTTCTTTGAAAGATGTATTTTTTTTTTTTTTTTCTGATGAATATGAGAGTTGGGAGAAAAAAATTCACTTAATAGCTACATGGCTTAACTTGTTCCTCGTATAAGCCCATCTATAGCATATCACTGTCTTAAACTCTAAATCGTGCTATACAACTCAAACGCACCTACCTTCATAGCTTTGAGCAGGGGCAAGCATACGGTGGTAATCACCAAACTCCTCACTAGCATTGACCTGTACAACGGAAGAGGAGGACCAGATGAACTTACAACAGAAAATATCTTAGACGGTTCTTTAAATACCACTAGACAGAAAAAAAATGAGGCAATCGTATCTCCAATCAAGAAGGAACCTTTCAAGAGTAGAACAATGTCTTGCTAGATTAAGGTGGAAAGGGATTTGGTCAACCCATTGCAGATTAAAGTGTTTTACCTTGTAATCTATCCCGTTTATTATCACAGAGGCAGGCAAAGGTTGCCTGGTAGATGATGAGACTATCCTTCCATGCAGTCCTGTCTATGAGAATTGAGAACGTAAAGGTCATTGTTCTGCTGACCCAAGCAAGATCATTTATGATGCGAAAAACATAATCAGACATGAACATGGGACTTAGATCTGTTCATCAAATTCTCAATGAATTCAAGAGAGAAAATAACTGCTCTACCTTTGTAGGGACGGTGATTTTTTACTATAAAATAAATAAAAATGGAAAAATATACAACACGATGCTGAGAATTTTTAATTGGATCGGAATATGGAAAACTGGTGAACCAAATATTTTATTTCTTTATGTCGAAGTGAATAAGATATGGAACGAAGCCCCAGAGAAATCGTCCGCCACTAGAAAATCTTACCTTGATGGTCCATGCAACAAGATTCAGCATGCTCATTCTGTTGAACAACCAAAGGGTCTCCAGCTGCACACACAATGGTGGAATGAAGAGGAGAGAGCCAAGGAGGCAGGTTAGTACTACATAATTTTTTCTAATTAATGCCTAAATCAGTGCCCGAGTGATAGTGGAATATGGGAAAACAGAGAGATCAGGAAGTCAGCGGGATGGCTGTGGTAATCTGTATGAACAAAGATTCTTCCAGATGGCAGAAGATCCGAAAACTGGCCCAGGTACGACCAGATATCTTTGGTAAACTGCTTTGTGATATGCCTTTAAATGCTATACAAGTAAATGATGACTAACTAAATTTTTTTAAATGGTGCCCAGAAAAATTCGGAAGGAAACTGAAAAACCCATCCCTTTGAAAAATAAACAAGAACATGTATTACAAAGCTTTTCTAGGAGCCAGGGAATAAATATGGCGTTCATCAATTGCTTGAACATGAATAGTAGTTGGTCTAATGTGCTTGACCTGGCACTAAACACTTAACGTCTGAAAAAGGATCACCGAATGAATAAAAGTGCACTATGTTGCATGAGGATTGAAAAGCCTAGGTTTCATGGTGTCGTCATTCAACAAAGATATAGCATGAAAAATATCATACGAAGCCAAGAAACAAACCCATGATGATGACAGAAGAGGAACGCTTTGACCTTAATAAGAATAGGTTATCTTTGTAGCTTTGAAGGTAAGAAAATGACTGAACGGCGACTTTGACATTTCCCTAATTATCTTTTCCAACTTTTTCTTCTTCCTATTTTCTGCAGAATAATGAAATTCACTTCCTGGAGCTTCTTTCTCAGGCACCGCCTAAAAAAAATAAATTTCTTCAGGAACCTTTGGTATTTCCATATTCATTAGTTTTCAACTTCATTAAGAGGGATTCAGGACTAGTGAACATACTCTCTTATTACGTTGGAGAGAATTTTTTTTAATACGCATCCCACTGGACAGAAAAGAGTTCATCATCTAATTACTACTTATCTTTAAGGATTGGATGAAATCTATGACAATCATCCTGCAGAATATGATGGGGGTAAAGAGAACAAACCTCATCTGCCTTGGGCCACTTAACATCACTAACTTCCAATGTTAATTCAAAACATCCTCCATGAATGTAATTCCAGTCTTGCATGCCTCCGTATATAGGGTACCTACAGAAAAGGGAAAGCTTACAGGATTGTGACCATGACCAGAAAGAATCGACAATACTGTTCGTGGGTCAATAAAAGAGGCATAATCATCACAAAGAATGCTTAACTATTCACAAGGAAAGAAGATGGTATTTTACACACACCAAGATGCACCATTTGTAATGCCACCGGGAAATTCATTGCTCAAAGACATGTTACGATGAGAAAGGCTGTACACATTTGCCATGTAGCGGAAGGTCTTGTCATCTGGGCAGGCATAATACTCCTTTCTGAAATTACATGTGAGCCAAACAAGGTAAAGCTTTGTGGTAGAAGAAAAACAACGAAATAACGACTGCTTTTAAGGAATCAGAACTGTGGCCAACACTTGAAAATATGTGATTGTAATAACCGTACCTCAAACTTTCGAACTTGAAATAAAATTGATGTGATATAATATTATAAACGCGGATAACCTGAACATAAGAGCTTAAAAACATATTCCTGTGCGCTCACTCTGATTATTTCAATTATTTTTGTCCATATAACCACTAGATCTTACAAACAACTCGCTCTGATTATTAAGATCATCTTTCTCTATACGACCATCGGATCTTACAAACAACTCACCCTCATTATTAAGATCATCTTTCATTATATTATAATCAGATCATACAAATGGATGACCTACTCACTCTGATTGCCAATTTTTCTGGCCAAATAATGCCTCGTCTGAAGCACATGTATCAATTAGCTTAATAACATAAACATATAAACGACAATGTTACCACACCATCGGTTAACAAGATGAAAGGATAAATCCACAAGCTAGGTGAAAGAAGAACAGATAAAATCCGTTCTAGTAGCTTCTCGGACACTATTCTCAGTCGGAAAGTATATACCAAGGCCAAAAATCTTTTAATGAACTAGGAGATGAAACCTGAGACAAAACGACCTAGAGATCATCACCTTGAATCTCGTGATCCATCCCATGGATAATTTGCAACTAACGCACCCTGTCAAAATTTTCAGGTAATGGAATTTCGTGAGAACCAGATGAAATGACTCATCATAGATGAATATTGACAACAAAGAATTCCTCCGACATAGTAGCATTATAATATTTCGTACATCTTTCCACATTCATCATCTTACATTTTACATCCAGATAACCCTCATAATTGTCAGCATTTAATTCGGCCTACTAAAGAAAAAAAGCTTACCCTAGCCACATTAAAGAAAAGCTTCAGGCATACACTTCCGTTGACAGTTTTAAAGAATGACTCAATAAATCAACAGATGGATACTATATATTCAACAACTAAGCATTGCTCTAGAATAATTGCACCATGATACACAACTTTTACATCCAAAGACATCTAACAATCAATATCATCATTGATAAACTATTTTCCTGAGAAAAAGCTTTAATCGTAGTCACAAATATTTTAAATGTCACATCAACTGAGGCAAGAACCTTCTCTCTGGATACCATCTGTGCACTTTCAAAGGTTCCCTGATAGAACTAAATTAGAACCCTGTGGTGTTCTGGTGTATGTTGTAGAAAATGAGGCTCTCAGCGGACTCAGATGCCAGTATCATGCCTTCACATGGTCGGAACGCACTCATGCTTGTCTCCACGGCTACATGCTGATTCTGTCTCTGCTTTCTGCCCTCATTAATTTTCTCCAGAATCGCTTCCTGATGGTTTGGTCTAGGATCGCTCATGCATAGATGTGTCATAAATGACATGTATGTAAGCGTCTTCAGATCAAGCAAGCTTGTTCTCCTCTCTTTAGAGAGGAGAGGGTGGGAAAAACATGAAGGAGGGTGTGTTCTTCATGTGTTGAAGAGAACCATTAGTCCTATCTTTCTGCAGCTGGAAAGGGTTATACTGATGAAAATGAACAGGGTAACAGCCTAACAATTATACCTCATGAAGCAATGCCCTTTATGTGTCATCTCCCTGGTAGGACAAAGGACTGATACACGCCTTTCTAACGTAGAACGGAACAAAAAAAAACTAAATACTCGGCATGACTTGCCATACTTGCCCTTCCTAGAGTGTCTGCTCTGTAAACTCTGCACAATGGTGTATGTTTGTCAGAGTACCCAACTGAAGCAAGACAGAAAAAAAGAAAAAGAAAAATTGTAGCTCGTCTCTATTGTCGACCAATCCTATACATAGTTATTGAAACTTGTTTGTTGCATTAAAGTCACACATGCCAAAAAGAAGAATAGTTAGCATGCAACTTTAAAAAGCCACGAGTATTGAAACGAAAAGATTGAAGAAATAGCAGGAAAAAAATATGTTACCCCATGCAGACTCGCAGAGGCAGTAAAACGTTGCTTTCTCATCCAGTTCATGACTGCTTTTGTTTCTGGCTGCCGCAAGTCCATATCATTATTCATAGAGAAGAACTACAGACATGTCTTGGATAAGTTTGGGAAACATTATATCAAAAGGCCCAAAACTGGGTTAAATGAAATCTAGAAACCCCAGATAGCCAAGGACAAATTCATAGGAAAATGCCTAAAACCAGTAGACATATGTGTAAAGATGTTCACCTGATCAGGAAAATCTCGATTCAGGTCTACATTATTTGCATTTCCACGCGTTTTAAGAGTAAATCCATCGGGATTCATCGTTGGAAGGATATGAAGGTGAGCTTTCTTTACAATCAATGTTGCCTACACAAAACATAAGGCAATTGGAAAAATTCGTTATACCCTAAAACGAATCAGTGGAGAAATTTCCATGTGAAAACAAACAGTAATAACATAATACTGATGTATGGTAAAGAATTCAGTCATTTGGAATCATTCACAGCTACAATCCTCAACAAAAGTAGAACAGCAAGGCCAACTAAAATAGCAACAGACGTAATACGAATAAAAACCAAAAAAAATATCAAGAGTGAAAAATATATACGAGGATAACAATACCAAAGGATCTTTCATGAAGTTATCGCATAACCAATTAGCAAGCCGCAAAAGTAGCTCTCTACCAACAGGTTCATCACCATGCATGTTTCCGATAAACTGCATCGATTTTCAGCAGATGTTAATTCACTTCGAAAGTCATATACGCCCAATAATTATAAAAAAGGCAAATGCAACACTTTCACAACAATGCCATAAGAAAATAAATGCAAAATGGTAGATGTTGAAATTAGGTATACTTAAATAGATGGAATCAGGGGGTAGTAAAATCTAGGCTCTCAGTCATGGAATGAAGGGGTCCAGGAACAACATAACGAAAAGGTTCTTAGTCAGGCATATGCAATGAACTGTCTTGGGATATCCATTCACAGGACACTGAAACAGAGGTACATTCGTGGTCCAGGCGGTTTTAGAATTTTTTTGGAGAGACGTCTTTTAGACAGGCAATATAGGTGGCTGCATCAGACAACATGAACTGAAAAGAAGCACGCCAACTATAAAGTCTTCTTCTGGAGAAGGAACATTGTAAAAATTTGAACGAAAATATGGGTTCCAAACATGATCATGGTCCTTGGTCTACAGGAGGCCCTGAAAAGGAATACGTTCTAGCAAAATACGTCAGCAAAATGATGCATTTCGAGACAACCTTAAAATTGAATATAGAACTGATCTTAAGCACGAGTAGACTATCCTCATGAAATCACGGTGGCAGAAATTGGGAGGAGAAAACACCCAGGGTCCAGTCAGTCGTTGGATGTTCCAAAATTGAACAGGAAAACAATAGAGAAGTTCCAAAAATATTCCCGGTCAGGTGTCGATTACATTCAAGACAAGATATGGTTGGCAAGCTCGGTATTGCTTTTCAACACAGAATATTAGAGCAATTAACAGTGTGAAATTTCAAAATATCTAGCTGATGAGAATATCCAAGCCTCAACAATCCATACCATACAAATATGGCTTGATAGACAGGCACGCAATATATCTTTTTCAGCCCGATATAAATAATTGTTTTTTGAAGCTTCAGCATTATTACAACAGTAAAGTAGCCACCACTCGGTCAAAGGCAAAGATTCTGCCACTGAGGCTGGTGAAGTTCATACAGTCGAAATGTCATAAATTCGTTCCTACATTCCTCATCTAATTCGGCTAAATTAACTCATTGGAAAAAAGAATGTTGTTAAACGACCGACACTAGCAAGTGAATAAGGAAGGCCAAACAATTATTGTACTCGGCACTGAAAGGTTTGATGTAGGAAAAAATTGTACATGTTACACTCATTGGGCTATCCAACTCAAGAACCATTTTTCCAATCACGTGCAAATTTGTAGAACCGGTGCGTCACTATTCACAACATGCCTCGTCACTATTCAGGTTTTTTTCACACAGAAAACGTAAATGGGGTATGACCAGTCCAAAAACAACCATGGACTCTGATAACATATTATAGCAACTTAGTATTCGAAGGAAAGACCAACTGACTATAACTGAAGTAGGCTCATGTTTGCAATCACATGTTTACTTTTGTGGTGACCAATACATGACCATTCTTAATAAACATGCTCGATATAATTAAGTGTGTCAAACATAAATTCGAGAATTTTATTTTCCTTCTTTAATTGATTAACATGCCATTTTAATTGAAAATTTTCCTTGTTGTAGATTGGCCCTTGTTTAAAGCATCATCTTCCTACTTCATCAGAAATTTCTTATTAATCGATTTGGTCTTCCTTCAAAAGTTAAACTTGCCATTTTATTTACATCTCGTAATGGGTCGGGTTTGGTCTCTTATTTAAAGACTAGTCTGACAGCTGTTAAGGCAGTTAAGTTAAGCTATAATGACAAACTAGAAATTGTACAACAATATTATTGTTTGATCATTTGGAATCATATTAAAAGATGGGGCCTAAAGTAAAATGTGTTTTCAATTGAACAAAAGTATGCGTGATAACAGACGACTCACTTTGAATGCAGGTTCGGCTTCTTCTATACCTGGCTTGTCAGAAATTTCTATCACCCACTGTAGCAGGTAAAAACGATAATATTTTAGATGCAAAACAACCTCCAGTGAAATCTCAGTATTTCGTCATGTTTCAGTTATTTATGCATTTGAAGATACAAGAACAGGAAGTGGTTATTACCAGTGTAAACCCATTCACACTTTGTCCAATACTGGAATCAGATCCAAAAAATCCTCAATATGAGAAGAGAACATAAGTCAGTATAGGCAAAATACGTGCCCAACAAAGAAAGCAACACATAAAGTTGTATTACATGAATATAAAGTTCTATTACTCTATATAACGTCACCATACATGAATTCCAAAATAGTTGCATTAAATAAAGTTGTATTACTCGTGCATTCTCAAGAGCTGTCCAAATCTGGAACTGGATCCGCCAAATCTACATGTTTTGTCACACTTGCCACGTCCTCAGAGGAACTACATGTTTTCACTTGATTATGTCCTAACTGTCTGATCAGAATCAGTCAGGCGGCCACATCCAGTCCTAATTTATGTGTTCATTAGAATGGATCACAAAGAAAAGTTTGGGGGCCACGGAGCAACAGTGCAAATGCCCTTGATAACTTAATATACTGAATTTTTTTTGGCATCTACCACCGTGGGCTAGATTAATAGGACAACATAGAAAAATATAAAGGAGATAATGTGCCAATTTTTTTTTCACATGTTTAAGTCATGAATTATTCCGTGGATTCTCAGGCTCTCAGACTGAAACTTAAATATGAGTTCTGATATATTCGGCCCTTGAATTATATAATAACACCAAAATTAATGACAATGACCAAAAACTCAGATATGTTACCTGTAGGTCCTGGAGATATTTCCACACTTTTGACTAAATTCTTTTATAGCCTGCTCAAGTTCTACATTGCTCATGTACCCATGAGTGGCTTCCACCCTGGAACAGTTAAAGCACAAAAATGAGGCTTCCTATACGAATTTGAGCCTCATCCTGAAAAAATATATACAATGAAATAAATTAACAAATCAGTACTTGTGATACATACGGTATCTCAGGCATGCTCTCTAAAAGGTGTCGATTAGCTTCCCACTTGGGGTTATCTGCATAATCCACGGAACACGGGAAGAAAACGTGAATACTGAATAAGTAATCACCTTAGCATTACCCTAGCACTAGTAATGCTGAATAAACATGGTATAAAGAATCTATATAACTTAATAACAGCAGGGAGACTCAGATTTTTTTGGGAAAACATTAAGGAGAATACTTAATCGCAGTCATATTCAAACTATTGCCCTCATAAACGAGGTGCTCAGAGACAACCATTTTTCCTTGATAATACAGGTGAAAGCAATTTGGAACTGGAGTAAGTCATGCTTTCCATGAAACCTGACTAAGAAGAAACTCAGCCATGGATGTCCCATAACATTGCTTCTAAAATAGATTCAATAGGCATTTCTAGAAGTTGAATTATTTTATATAAATTAACTTTTCAAAAAATAACTAGAATATTAGATTCCAATTCGCAACAAAATGAACATTACCGATTCATCTTTTCTTACTTTCTAAATCTTCTGTTTCATAACCCTAATGGATCATATTAGGTTGTTAAAATCAGAGATAAGCAAAACATGTAGACGTTTGTCATGCAACTTTTGATGTTGAGTACTTTTGGAACGTTTAACTAAATACCGCTATATTAATATGTAACTCTATAGATCAATGTATCCAACAAGAAGATTAAGGCAACAAACTATGCTGTCAAGACACTGAGATGACCAAGATGAGCACCACAACAGTGGCGCTTATGCTGAAATATAACTTGTACTTTCTCTGTTTGTGTCTGTCTATTTATATCTCTCCTCCCTCTTTTCCTGCCAGATGATACGTTAATGTATAAGGTCACTGAATATGGAGTCCAACAACTGGCTCTTCCTAGCCAATCCCTCCATCTTCCCAACCTCAGTCTACTCCGATTTCACTAAATCTAAGATGGCTAGGTAAGCAATCTTTATGTACCCTCCACAAGGTGCCTACAACTAACCTATTGTAGTGCCTTGTTGCCCATGTCATTATCTCTGCAGTTTGGCCCAAAAAATCATCTAAATAGTTTTCAGGTCGGTACATTACACATTCTGCTTTTTCTCTCTCTCTCTTTCTCCTTCCTGCCATTCTTTTCCTTATTCTTCGTCCTAGTTACTGAGATGATCACTAATATAAATTCTTCTGCTTAGTTTTTTTTTTAAGCATATTCTTACATGTTATAGTAGTAACCCCCTTCTAACGAGTAAGGTAGGAATTCAGAAACTAACAGACAACGGAAATCCCTCCTCTGCTCTGCTGCGTGGCGTTTGTCAGCTTTTTCGTGCCATTGATGGGGGAGAATTCTCTCTGACCTGGTTGAAAACTTTATTAAATCGTCAAATACTTAGCTTAAAATTAGGATGGCCGATTTATGGAATAACGCTCTATAATAATGATAGTAACATCATACTGATCACCAACCACGGAAGACATATAGCCCGGAGAGTGAATAAGTAAGCACGTGCACTAGGGTTTCAAGAATTTACTCCTTTTTGCGACTAAAATGCGGCGTTTTAAGCAAACGGAACGCAAGTGTAGAGAAAATAATCAACCAGCAGGGTTGAGTTTCTGAAGACAGTGACTTGTAGCCACTGAAAGCGATGCTGCCAAATTCAAATGATTATATACAACCTAGCAAGAGAAAGACCGCGTAATAATGAAACTGCCACCTCCGCACAAAGCAAAATCCACCCATCTCCATTAAACCCATTAGCAAAAAAACAACTGAATTCATGGAGGGCGACTGGAGCAGACCTGCGATCTCCGCGGGTGACAAGCTGCCTCTAGCCACCGCCGGTGTCGGCAGCAGAGACGCAAGGGAGATGGCGGAGGGGAAGAACAACAACAAGACGAGGGCCACATCCATCGGCCCCACTCCCGCCCCTCCCTGGATCGGTCCTCTCTTCGATGTGAGCGTGTGAGAGAATGAAGGAAACGAAGACTATCTCCGCCTTCTTTCTACTCTCGCCGGATCCCCATCGCCTCCCTCCGACAGGCTACGGTTGACCGTGGTCATCATCCACGCACAGACGACTTTCAGGGGTCTCCCTCCGTCCCCGCCGTCAAAATGATTACCAGAATGTCCAAATTATTTTTTAAAATAAAAATTACCCTGATCTCCCTAACTAATTGACATCATCTTATCACTTTTTCTTATATTTTTTTAAAATAAAATAAAATTATAACGTCCATTTTATTATCACTTTTTTATTCCTACGAAATAACATTTTATTTCTGTATGCCGTCCGTTTTTTATTAATAAAGTTTATTTGTACAAATATTACAACAATTAAGCTAATATACTGCTAACAATTACCTTATTATACCAATTAAAGTCGTCAAATATATTACTAAGTTATTTTAATATTTTTATTGAAGAGGGGCCGAGGAGCAATTTTTTCCTGAAATCTGGTGCACGCATATTACTTTTATCTTCCAGGGATTCGAAATAAAGCTCAATAACTAAATAAACAAATAAACAAAATCTCGACGGCCATATTTTTACAGAAATGTCCAGAGAATATCTTCTCTTGTCATAAAACGTTTTCAATAATTCTTCGCACTTACAGCTCTGTCCCTTTCTTCCTATCTAGAACGGGCCGGGCCGGAAAGACGGGCGGCCGTAGTCTCGGACTGGGCTCGGAGTCGAGTTTAAGATTATTTTATATTCTAAGAATAATATTTTGCGATATAATATAGAGGGGAAAAAAAACGTTAATTAGATTTATTGGGCTCGGTATTGGCAGTACTGGCGGCTCTGTTTATACTGCGGCTCTGCGGTGGGGCGTCCCTGAAAAGGGACCAGGGTTAGCTGTTCATTCGCCTCTTCGTCGCCGTTGTCGGCGGGACGGGAAAACGGGATGTCCTGCGGAAGTCTCTGATTCCCTGCGGAGCCTCGCAAGGTGCGGTTTCGAAGTCATTATTTCTTGTTGTGTCGTGGATCTGATCTGGTGAATCCTTTTCCCCGGAGACCTCGGCCATCCGCGAGAATTGTTTCGTCAGCGCGTGTTTTTTCTCTGTATAATTTGATTTTCAGCCTTCCGGGTTGCTCGGTTTCTGGCGGGGTTTTGCGGAAGCATTCATTGGATAGGTAAATATATCTTGTTTTCTTAATTTGGTTACGGACCAAATTTTTTTTGGGGTCTTATCGTTTGAAATCGAGCTGCGTGGTACGCTTTTTCCTTCAATTCCCGGTGATTACCGTGTTATGATATTGATTTTCCTGTATGTTGTCGAACAGATCTATATTGATTTTCCCGGTGATTGTGCCTATCTCGCGAAGCGAGGGAGTTTGATTCATAAATCTAGACAGAACGTAGCAGAAACATGAGTGTTGTTGGGTTTGATTTTGGCAATGAGAACTGTGTCGTCGCCGTCGCTCGGCAGCGGGGCATCGATGTCGTCCTCAACGATGAGTCAAAGCGTGAGACGCCAGCTATCGTGTGCTTCGGTGACAAACAGCGATTTATTGGAACCGCTGGGGCTGCATCCTCGATGATGAACCCTAAGAATACCATTTCGCAGATAAAACGCCTGATTGGGCGTAAGTTTTCTGACCCAGGGCTCCAGAGTGACATCCAATCCCTCCCTTTCAGCGTAAGCGAGGGTCCCGATGGCTTTCCGTTGATTCATGCAAGGTATCTCGGTGAACAGAGGTCTTTCACCCCTACCCAACTGCTGGCCATGGTTCTGTCAGATCTGAAGGTGATAGCCGAGAAGAATCTCAATGCTGCTGTTGTCGATTGTTGTATTGGGATTCCAGTGTATTTCACCGACATACAGAGGAGGGCAGTGCTGGACGCCGCTACAATTGCTGGTTTGCATCCTCTTCATTTGATCCATGAGACCACAGCAACAGCTCTGGCATATGGTCTCTACAAGACAGATTTACCTGAGAACGATCCGCTGAATGTAGCTTTTGTTGACGTGGGAAATTCGAGCATGCAGGTCAGCATTGTCGGGTTCAAGAAGGGGCAATTGAAAGTTTTGGCTCACTCATTTGACGATTCTCTCGGTGGTAGAGATTTTGATGAAGTTTTGTTCAGGCATTTTGCTTCTAAGTTCAAGGAAGAATATAAGATTGACGTCTATCAGAATGCACGTGCCTGCTTGAGGTTACGTGCTGGTTGTGAAAAGTTGAAGAAGGTGCTTAGCGCAAACCCTGAGGCTCCGTTGAACGTTGAGTGTTTGATGGATGAAAAGGATGTTAGGGGGTTTATCAAAAGAGATGAATTTGAGCACATCAGTGTCCCGATATTAGAAAGGGTCAAGGAGCCTTTAAAAAATGCACTATCAGATGCTGGTCTTAGTGTGGAGAACATCCATGCAGTGGAGGTGGTTGGTTCAGGGTCCCGTATTCCTGCAATCATCAGGATTTTGACCGAGTTCTTTGGAAAGGAGCCAAGGCGGACAATGAATGCAAGTGAATGTGTTGCTCGTGGCTGTGCACTTCAATGTGCTATTCTCAGTCCAACTTTCAAAGTTAGAGATTTTCAGGTTATTCGTTTCCTCTGTTGTTATGTCATCAAACCGACTTTCTCTTCATGTTATTTTAAGATTCTGTTGATAAGTTGCTGCTTTCTCAACTACTTCATGTAGCATATTGCCGCTCTTTGTATGTTCTATTTTTATTTCATGTATCTATTACTACGTGGTTTTGTATTGGTTATCAAGTGCCACATCTCTCGCCTATATACAAAATTTGAATATCAAACTAATATGGATGCACCCTATACTGTTTTCGTGATGAAATCAATTGGAGATGGAAAGGTTTGACGAATTGGCTTGCTGGTTGGTGAAATGTCATGCTTCTCATGCTGCTTTCATATAAAATCCTTTAGTAGGTTGCATGTGGTTTACACAGACTTGTTGATTGCAAATATATACATTTTGGAAGTCAAGAATGAAATATGGATGATATACTATCTCCAGTTGTCCTCATGAGTTCTTTATAGACGAAAAAAAAAGGCAATTCTGCATGTTGATTGGTGAAAACTTTGTACCTTTCATTCTGGATTTACAGAGGATTCTTTGTTGGGATTGGATGTAGTTTTACAGAGACATATATCTGCTTTTGAAGAGGAATATCAGCACGATGATATCGCCTTATTTTTGCTTGTAACTATTGTAACTATTCTTTAGTCCGCTCTCAAAAGTTTTATTCGCAAAGCTGTGTGGTACCTCTGTTTCAGGTTGATTGTTCACTGCGTTTTTTTCCCCAAAACTTCTTTCCGGTGACACTATGACGAATTATTCTCGTGTATCTGAACAAGCCCGGAAGCGCACATAGTTGTTCTCTTAAGGATATTGTTTCTTGATCACTATATTATATAATATTTACAATAATACTCCTGAAATCATTGTTGAGATAAAAATAGGATCCTGTAAACAAGTAGAATTAGATAACTTTAGTAATGAAAATATGAGGATTTGGATAATTTATTCGTTTTGTGCAAGTGGGGCGGAAAGCTCATGATCAGAAAAAGAAGTAACAGTGAAACTGTCTGATTGTCGTAAAATATTTCAATTTTCCATCAATATTTTGGAAGAAGTGTCCCTCTCTTTCATCAAATTTTCTTTTTTGGATTCGTCAAACTTTTGCCAGTTGACGAGCTGACTGATGTCATTGGTCATGATACCTAATGGACATGAGGATCAGTTCAGACATATTACATTTTGGGTGATCTTATTTTAAGTTCCTCTCATAACCTCACTAGGAAACGAGTCTTCTCTAGTGTTCTTCAGTCTATGATAGAATTTTTGGTAGTAGTCAGGTTCTTGTCTATTTCTTAGCTTCAAGTGAGATCTGAGGAATGTTGTTTGGAGTGCACGAAACTTTGGTCAGGAATGCCAGATGTACTAGTATCTGATCGTGATGAGAGTTGAAGACTCCCCATCATCTCGAGGACCATGCAGAGAAGGAACAAGCATTGCATCAAAAAATGGTATTCTGTGTCACCTCTGATGAGCTAACTCTCTTCATGATCAGATAGTCGTACACATGGCATTATTGGCCAAAGTTTATTGCAGTCCAAACAACACTCCTCAGATCTCACTATAAACTAAGAAAAATGCAGGAACCTGACTACTACCAAAAATTCTATTGTGGAATTATTTGCTCTGTTTCAGTTGTGGGTGTAGATCAAACTTTTTAAGGTCCAAAGTCATCTGAGCCATTGATGCAATGGTTTATTCATCCTAGAACATTGGTGATGCCTAAAATGCCATCCTTCTTTGGAGTCAATGCTTTAACTAGCATTTTGTATTTTAGGAAACAGATTCGATGTTAAATAATCAATAAAAAATCAGTTGGATGAAAAAGATACGTATAGGCTTGTGAACGGTTTTATAGGCCAGCGTAATAAAAAAACAATAAACACGATAAAGTATCTATGTGTCCTGTTTTTTCTCAAATTCTGGTCAAATAATTCGACAGCGAGATAACATCAGTTTGGTGTTTGCAGGGTCTGTCCATGAAACAAATTTATGGCTTTAGTGAGTGTGCCCTTCACATTGTAGAGAAGTTTCCGTGATTTCCGATATCAGTGAAAATTACTTTAGTTTTGATCCTCTTTTTAATGAGTAGTTATGGCTCTAGTGGTTGTTTATTTCATGCTTCTGTGTCCTTGAATCCTTTACTCTCGATCTGCTTCCAATTTGTGACATTCTGCGGGATTTTTGTCTTCAGGTTCATGAGAGTTTCCCCTTCTCAATTGCTTTGTCTTGGAAGGGCACCGTGCCAAATTCACAAACTGGAGTGACAGAAAATCAGCAAGTTGTATTCCCTAAGGGGAACCCAATTCCTAGTGTTAAAGCATTGACATTTTTCAGGTCTAGTACATTTTCAATAGATGTCTTGTATGCAGCTGTGAGTGAGGTACAAGTGCCTGCAACTATAAGCACTTGCACGGTAATATCCCTAGACTGGTGTTTTGTAAGCTGACATGAGATTTACATGTTTTGGGACTTGTTGCCAAGTGCATGGGGTATTGTCTCAATTTATATTTTTATTGGACAGGTTGGCCCTTTCCAGACTTCCACTGGAAATCGTGCAAAGTTGAAAGTGAAAGTTCGATTAAATCTTCACGGAATTGTTTCCATTGACTCAGCAACGGTGAGATGGGGAGGACTGCGCACTAAAATGTTCTGTTTAATCAGGCATTAAACTGAAATAGAATTCTTCCTTGTTTTTGATTGTTTTTAGATGATAGAGGAAGATGGTGCCGAGGTGCCAATATCTACTGTGAATGAATCGGCAAAAGAAGATGTGAAGATGGACACAGATGAACCAAAAAACAAGGCAAATACAGCGGAAAGTGATGTAAGTATGGAGGATGCTAAAAGCAATGCCGAGGCTTCAGTTTCTGAGGTGGAAAATGGTGCAACAGAGAGTGAAGATAAGCCCGTGCAGATGGAAACAGATATCAAGGTTTGCAAACTTTTTTCTTTGTTTGGCATGTAAGTTATTTTAATGGAAAAATCATGACCGCTATACCAACTAGTCACTCCAAGGTTTCCTTTTTCTGGATTGCAAATTGTCATATTTTCAACGAACAGCCAGTATTCACATCCCCACTTAAACTCATTCTATGCCGTTTTTTTTATACCACTTGACGTCTGGTGTGAGAAATCATTTCCTCTTTTTTGCGCTGCACCATTTTACTCTCTGAAGTTTCCGAATTTTGAGAATTTACATTTCTTTGAGATAGGGTCTACCATAATTATTGAGGTAAAACATTCTCAGGAGTTTATTCCCTTTTTCTGTTATTTGGCACCTTATTGTGTTGTCAGTTTGGGACTTTCCATTCATTAGAATGAAATTTATTTACCATAAGATTGACATTCTTTTACGGATTTATTATTTCTTGGTAATATTTTGATATCTACACCTACATTGCATTTTATTTCATTTTATCTTTATGGATTTTTCGTTTGAGGTAAGCGACTTGTTTTCTGCCTTGTTTTGGTTAAGTTTTTTTGTCGCTGTGAGTTACACATATCGTCATGAAGAGTTCTTTATCCATTGTACACATCGTGTGGTTTCTCTGGCTGATTATTTTTCCGTGCAGTAATGGAAGACCTGAAATACTAATTGGGGAACTTTTTCAAGTTATCATTAATCTACAGGCTAGGTTTCAAGATTTACTTAATGTAGTTCAAGCAGTTGGTTCGACCAAAAGTTTTTTTCGCTAATGATTTTTTTATCTAGTCGGTGGACGAGATTTTTCAGCATTCCCAACATGTTTGGACTTGCAATATGTCAATTCAATTTTGATTCACGGGCATGTGAGAACCTCTAATGTAATTTTGATAGATCTACTATTCTCAGTTAATTTTTTTTTAATTTAATGTCTATGCTGAGATTTCCCAGAGATATGATTTCTCAATTCATCTCGTACATTCTCTTTTTCTGAGACGAGTTTGTATTGTGTGAGAGAATTCTGTCACGGAGGTGATTTCCTGTTCTTCGGACATTCATCAGCAACTCCTATTTCTGTCCCAGGCTCGGAAAAAGAAGACTAAGGCTACTGTCCCAGTCTCAGAATCCATTCATGGCGGACTGCCAGCTTCAGATCTGCAGAAAGCCATTGAGAAGGAGTTTGAAATGGCCCTTCAAGACAGAGTTATGGAAGAAACCAAGGATAAGAAGAACGCAGTCGAAGCATATGTGTACGACATGAGAAATAAGGTATGTTTTGTGCCTTCATAGGATGACTATGTCTCGTCGAAGGCTTACAACTTACTGTTTGACGTTCATTTGCATCCAGCTTCACGACAGGTATCAGGATTTTGTCACGGCATCAGAGATTGAAGAATTTGCTGCAAAACTCCAGGCGGTGGAAGATTGGTTATATGAAGAAGGAGAGGATGAAACAAAGGGTGTGTATGTTGCGAAACTCGATGAGCTGAAGAGGGTAAATGTTTCTTCTTTAATTATCTTTTTTGTTATCCCCCGTCAAATTTCTCCTTCAGCAAGGACGGTTGATGTGCAGCAAGGAGACCCAATAGAGGAGCGTTACAAGGAGAATCATGAGAGAGGACCCGTCATTGACCAACTGGTGTATTGCATCAACAGCTACAGGGAAGCAGCTCTCTTGAAAGATCCTAAGTTTGATCACATTGAGATTGCAGATAAACAAAAGGTGTGAAAGCATAGCAAAACATACATTTGCACCTGGTGAAGGCATATTGTCTCTGTATGAATTATGATCACTGCATGGTTTTGATCTATCAATCCTAACCCTTTATGTCTCTGTTGCCTGCTAACTGTTGCCCGTCATCCACAAATTTATTTAATAGCCCTCTAGAAGGTGATTATTTAAGCTGTTACCATGCTTAAAAGCTCGGTCTCCTTCTTGAATCATGCCACAATCACAAATTTCCATCCATCCATCCATCATGCCAACAATTGATACATCTAATTCACATCTACTTAGGTCATGGTATGATTGGTGGTTTTTATCTTTGTAGGTCATTAGTGAGTGCAGTGAAGCAGAGGGTTGGCTGAGAGAGAAGAAACAGCAGCAGGACAAGCTGCCCAAGTATGCAACTCCGGTCCTCTATTCTGCAGATGTGAAGAGGAAGGCCGAGGCGCTGGACAGGTAAGGCAACTTGTTATTCAGTATCTATTCCTTCACGTTATTCATGCATCTCAGTTCCTTTCCACCGATGGAGACACGCTGAACCGGGGTCTGCGTGCAGGTTCTGTAGGCCGATTATGACGAAACCAAAGCCAGCCCCGCCCAAGCCTCAGACGCCGCCTCCGCCCCCGCCCGAAACTGCCTCTCAGACGCCCGCTGGGGAAGAGACAGAGAAACCAGCTCACGATTCTCCAGCACCCGCTCCAGAAGCCATGGATACTGACAAGCCAGAGACTGCCCCGGGAGCATCTGCTTGACCAGGTCAGAGCATGCCTCTCCTACGTACCATGTCACCCATCGACTCAAGATATGCCACCTTGGTTTTTGGGCTCGGCTGAGAACTGCCATCAAAACAGCCGAATACCTGTGGGTGCCTTTTTTTGACCGCATTCCGGCTTTTTACTGGCAGTTTGGCGTCAGCCAGTGAAAAGGATTCATAGAAATACTCTGAGGTTGCCGTGGGTTTGCTTTCCTATTCTTCAGGTTCCTTTTTCTTTTTTGTACGAGTGCCTTGTATCACAAGCTCTTACCCTTCCAATGAATTATTGAGCATACAAGCCCCTTATGCTTCTCTCGTGTCTGTATGCCTTCATCCATGCATAGACTTGGCTTCCTCTCTTTGCTGTTGATCATTCTCTAAACCCTAAACCCTAAACCTTAAACCCCTGGGCTATTCTTTCTTAGTCCTTGCTCTGCCCGTTTGATATGCCAGGAGGAAAGTGGATCAGATTTGAAGGAGCCAATGAAACAAGGGCAGTGACCGGACAGAAATATGTTATCTTTAGATTTTATCTGAAGATATATTCAGACTGGTTTTGTCAGAAAATTTCCTACCAAAATTAGGTGAAGGTGGTGCATATTGATATGAAATTAATATTGAAAAAAAAAATCCAATATTTCTTCAATGATGCTCAGCCACTTTGGATTATTTGGATGATATAAGGAAGGGCTCTATAGCTAGCTGTCGGTGGTGAATTGGTGTATATGAGATGATCCGATTCTGAGTTCTAATCTTGGACAGAAGCCCAGGTCTTTGGAAAAAATTATTTGGGCTTTTTGATGCGCTCTATCTCTCATGTTCTTCTATTTTCAGATTATTCACAGAAGATGCCAGTAAAAGGCTTCGCTCGTGTTTCTAATTGGGGAAATGATGTAGAACCGAAAGTTTGGGAGTATACATGACGTCATATTATGATTATATAAATATCAAGTGCTTCCATTATACACGGATTTATGAGCCTAATGAGAGGTCAAATTATAGCTAATAAGGAGGCGTATTTTTATTTTTATTGGGTGAATTAAATATAATTGCTCATTTAATATGGGTTATTTAAAGTGATCGCTCATTTAAAAATACGCACTCGGACGGCCATCGGATATGTTAAACGATAAATACGATTTTATTAACTGATTATTGGGCAATTTTACCGCATTAATTTCTGTATAATCTCATATGTTAAACGAACATATTTTCTAAAAAAAATTGGCAGTATAAAATATATAAATTCCCGTATTTTTAGGGAGTTTTTAGTAATTCACCAATTCTTCTTCTACTATTCTTAAATAAAAACCAGAATATTATAAGATTATTGTCGACTCGGACGGCCATCGGATCAATACGGACAACTGCGACCCGATTAGGGTCCGAAATTTGCAACCCGGATTGGATCGGGCGAGTCCGCACGGCCTCGCGAGCTGCAAAAGGGTCCTCCCTCGGCTATCAATCCCTTCAATCCCGCCTTCAAAATCCCTAGCGGAGAACTGCCGATCGCCGCCCTCGTCTCTGTGGTTGCGACAGTCACCGCTCGCCGAGAAGTAGAGCTGCTGCAGCCACCCCCGCCGCCTCCGTTCGTCGGAGACTTTGGAGGGTAGGTTCCTTCGCTTTCCGCCTTCCGTTGCGGCCGTTTCTTCCCCCCTCCTGCGTTGTTACTGCGTTCCTGGTCTTCTTCCCTCCGATTCCATTCTCGTGTCTTTCCTAATGTTTACTCTCTCTCTCCCTCTCTCGCCGTGTGGTACTCCTTTCACCTGGTTCTTCTCCCGTAGCATTGCTCCTCTCTATGCATCCGTTCTCCTGTTCCTCTTTTTGTTCGGTTTTTCTCCGCCTTTAGATCTCCCCCCCTCTCTTACCCAGTCAAGGGTTGCTTGTCCAAGGGACTTGATCCTTCCTTCCACCTCTTCACGTTCTCATCTTCCGTAAATCAGTAGGTCATTTTAGCCTCGCTTTGCTTGCGTCTCTCTATCTCCCTAGCCTCTTTGTTTCTCGTCGACCCTCTTCGGCAAATCAGCTGATTATTTTATCCTCGATTTGTTTGCGTCTCTCTCTCCTCCCTCTCTGCCTCCGTTTGTGGTTTTACTTTATATCCTTCATCTTGCTGATAATTCGAGTTCTCACTTTTAGTATTTTGCGCAAGTTCATGGAAGTTGAAGTTAGCTGGAGGAAAATTCTTATTCTACCTTTTTCTGAGAAATTACCTCGGAAAATTATAGCAAAAATATAAGAAAATGGTAACTCATCAATGAAAACAACGAACAAGCGCTGCACATTTTTCGATTCTCGGCATTTACTCTCTTAATTTAAAATCTCTTTGCCTTTAGGGGTACGCATCTTTTTTTTTTTTTTGGGTTGCGTGCATCCTCCTTCCTAAATCATTAGCTTTCCTGCCGGGGGTTACAGGCGGCAGAGCTCTAGATCTTGTTCATCGTATCACGAAACAACAATAAAAGTTATTATCGCGCAACTATTCTGCTTCTACTCGCTTTCTTTACATTGGATAATCTCTCAGCTGTCATAGTTTCGAGTATCATTCTCTTTCAGCAGAAATTCTGCTCATATTTTTTTCATCCTATTTCAGATTTATTGGAAGTTTGGAGGCTTGAAGCGTTAAAAGAGATAAAAGCGGTATGGCGGATTTGGAGAACTTGTTGTTAGAGGCGGCTGGAAGAACCGGTGCGTCAGGAAGAAATAATCTCTCTCGTCAGACAAGACGTCGAAGAGAGGGATCTTATTCAGACGATGATTCAGGAGATGATGATTCAGATAGCCCAGGGTACAGAGGCAGAAAGCCCTCTGGATCTCAGGTTCCTCTTAAGAAAAGGCTCGATCCTGTGGAGAGAGATAGCAGAGGTGGTCGAGGGGACAATGGCTACGATGATGATGAAGATGGACACAGTGGCAATGATTCTGACAGTGCCCCATCAGTCGGAAGTGACCTTTACAGAGATGAAGAGGACAGGGAAAACCTCGCGAACATGACTGAGTTGGATAGGGAGATGATTCTGACAGAAAGAAGTATAAAAAGAGATGACTACCAGTTGAAGAAGAAGGCGAGGGCGTCGTCATCAAAGAGTGACAAGAAGTCCAGAAAAGAAACTCCTCCTTTATCAAGAAGCGGGCGATCGTCAACCATAACTGACAAATCTGCAGCCAAAGATGATGCACTGAACGAGATACTTTCGAAAAGGTTGAGACAACATGATTCAGATGGTTATCGTAGACCGAGAGATTCAGGCGGAGGCATAGACGGTGCAGTTGGTGGGAACCGGGATTCTTCACCTCCGAAGCGCAAGGCCCATCCAGTTGCATCAAGCCCTTCTAGTGACTCCAGCTTGAGCGAAAGCGAAGGCAGGGGCGCAGGGAGGAGAGAGGGAGTCTCTTCAGCCAAGCAAATGGTCGATAGTGATGATGATAATTCTGGGTCTGACACCGAGCCACTTACATTTGATGACATAAAACAGATCACGATCCGTAGGTCAAAGCTGGCCAAATGGTTCATGGAGCCCTTCTTCGAGGAGCTCGTTGTCGGGTGCTTTGTCCGAGTCGGAATTGGGAGGACCCGATCCGGAGTGAGCCTGTACAGGCTCTGCTTCGTTCTGAATGTAGATGCCAGTGATCCCGATCGTCTTTACAAATTTGAGAACCGGAGCACCTACAAATATCTCAACTGTGCTTGGGGCTCTGAGTCCTCCGCTGCCAGGTGGCAGATGGCCATGATCTCGGACTCTCCCCCTTCCACTGAGGAGTACAAGTCTTTGCTGAAGGAGATTGAGCGCAGCAATGGGAGAATGCCGAGCAGGCAGGATATACTAAAGAAGAGAGAGGCTATTCAGAAGATCAACAATTTTGTCTATTCAGCGGCCACCGTGAAGCAGATGCTGATGGAGAAGAAGTCTGCCTCTTCCCGGCCACTGAATGTGGCAGCCGAGAAGGACCGACTCCGCAAGGAAATGGAGGTGGCCCAGAGCCGCGGTGATGAAGCCGAGATAGAGAGGATCAAAGACAGGCTGAAGGGCCTGCAGGATATGTCCCGGCAGGGAAAGGACGCAAAGGCCGTTCGGCTGGCAGAGATGAACAAGAAGAACAGGGAGGAGAATTTCAAGAACGCCTCGGAGTTGAAGCCCGTGAACACCAGCCTGAAGGCTGGAGAAGCGGGATATGATCCCTTTTCGAGGAGGTGGACTCGTTCGACGAATTACTATGCGTCAAAACCCGGAGCAGAGGGGGATGAAACCACTGCAAATGGTCCCACGGAGATCTCCTCCGTTCGGCATGGAGTACCCTTGGTGAAGGCCGGTGAGGTGGCCACAGCCGCCGCTCTTGAGGCAGCGGCGGGGGCAGGGAAGCTGGTGGACACGGCTGCACCAACCGACCAAGGCACCGAGTCAAATCTGCTGCACAACTTTGAATTGCCCATCTCGTTATCCGGGCTGCAGAAGTTTGGGGGCCCGCAGGGGTCACAGATGGGGTTCATGGCGAGGAAGCAGAGGATCGAGGCCACAATAGGGTTCAAGTTGCCGGAGAATGATGGGAGGAGGCATTCCTTGACGCTGACGGTCAGTGACTACAAGCGCCGAAGGGGTCTGCTCTGAATTGGTACTACTCCTATCCTCTCACTTACTTTAAGGCCGTGTGTTGGAATATCGAGCCTTGAATCTATGTGATTCCATTGTTAATGTAGATCCATCTACCTTTGATCTCATGGTTTTGCTCGACGACCCCATCACAACACCCCATGCACTTGCTGGCATGTGTCAGAACATTAAAAAAATCTCATGACAGCTTACAGAACTCCAGCATAGGCGTATTACCGTGCAAATGCTTATAATTGCAGGCACTTGTAACTCGCTTACATCTGCATACAACACATCTATGGAAAATGGATTGGACCTGAAAAATTTCAATGCCTTAGCAATATGAATTGGGTTCCCCTTGGGGAATACTGCTTGCTGATTTTCTGTCATTCCAGTTTGTGAATTGAATTTGGCATGATGCCCTTCCAAGACAAAGCAATTGGGAAGGGGAAACTCTCAAGAACCTGAAGACAAAAAAAATCCCCGCAGAATGTCACAAATTTGGAAGCAGAACGAGAGGGAAGGATTCAAGAACACAAAGGTCTGAAATAAACAACCATCCCCATAACTAATAATTGAAAAGAGGCTCAAAACTAATGCAATTATCACCGATATTGGAAAATCATGGAGACTTCTCTACAATGTGAAGGACACAATCACTAGAGGCACAAAATTTTAGTTTAATGGACAGACCCTGACTTCTCTACAATGTGAAGGACACAATCACTAGAGGCACAAAATTTTAGTTTAATGGATAGACCCTGCAAGTGTTGTCTCACCGTCCCATTATTTGATCAGAATTTGAGAGAACCAGGACAAATAGATATATTATCGTGTTTATTGATTTATTTTTTATATTTCTCTGGTCTATACTTATATTTTCATCTAATTGATTTTTTATTGATTATTTAAACGAATCTGTTTCGTAAAATACAAAATTGTGATAGTTAAAACATTGACTGCAAAGAAAGATGGCATTTTAGGCATCACCATTGCATTAGTTAAAAAACAAACCATTGCATTGCATTAGTGCCTCTGATGCCTACAACTGAAACAGAACAGATAATTTCTTAGTTTCTGGTGAAATCCGAGGAATGTTGTCTGGAGTGCATGAAACTTTGGCCAAGAATGCCATCTGTACTAGTTTCTGATCGTTAAGAGAGTTGAACACCCCCCATCATCTCGAGGAGCATGCAGAGATTGAACAAGCATGGCATCAGAAAAATGGTATTCATTAAATGACAGCAAGCTACGATGCAACTACAGCACATAACATGGTATTTGCCTCTTTGAAAAGATCACTCACAACAGAAACACACAGGCAACCCACATTGTTTCAGACCAAGAAAGATTTCTCCTCCTCCAGATGTCTGCAGGCTTCCATAACAAACCTAAGAACGAGCCACAAGGATGGTATGTGAATCGAATATCAGAAAAAAGATGAACAGTCACTTTGTGTGGGGAAATTTTGATGTTTTCTCCCTTTCAAAGTAATGAAAAAAACTCAATTGATACCTGCACTTGATGGACACTAGATGGATCCTATTTATATTGCGGGGGAAAATATATTGATGAAAAAAATAATCGCCGAGATTTTTCTTGATCCTTTATTTTCAGTTCATGAAATGAACATTTTAGTGAAAAAATTAAATACTGGGGGCATTTATTATATAGTTGAACATCTCAGCAGTCCAATGAATTGCCGCTGAAATATTAAAAAAAAAAAAAGTTGCTCAGAAGCAACATATCATTCATGCTGGCCCCACTGAGATCTATCTGAATACCCAAATTTGATCAGAATCACATAAATGTGGGTTACATTACTGAAGAGTAGAAGCTTTGGTTTTCATAGTAATGTCTGAACTTTCTTCTGCTTCTTCTGCTTCTTCTGCTTCTTCTGCTCTTCGTCTTCCCTACGTTACCTTCCCAATGCCCAGGCCGATTTAGTCTGGGGTTATTCAGCCCGGTCGGTCTCTAAGCCCATCAATTTTTTAGCCCATCTTCTTTCAAAACGACAGCAAGACCCCAAACACACATAAGATCCCAGAGCTAATGGGCCAAATGAGCCCGAGTGGTCTCTATCTTCTGGGCCGTGAAAGCCCGGAAAAACAGCTCAGAGCCGCCTGATTTCTCTTTAAAGCAAAAGCCTTTGGATTGAAAGCTATGCTACTGGGGCGCAAATAATGCCCTTTTATTACAGTTCTGAGGTTCATAATGTTATCATTATCGATAATAATGCTTGGAGAGAGAGAGAGAGAGAGAGAGAGAGAGTGCTGGTCGATCAGATTCTCAGAGATTGCTGTACTCGGCACGACGAGTGGGAAAGGACAAGGGCACATGGCAGGGCCAGAAACGACGCAACGTCCTTTTCTACGACTGCCCGTCTTCTTCGACCGGGGCAGCACCCCAAGTGCGTCGTTTCTTTGTTTAACGCGCATCTTCCACCCGAAACGGGAGAATTCCTCTCGCACCGTCATGAAAGCTACCGTTTCTCTCGGTTTAAGGTCGAAACCCGCGAGTTGCTTGTCAACCCACCCAAGATGGTCAAAGAAGAGAAAAAACTAGCCAGGTTTGACTTCACGAAGCTGGTGACTTCGATGGGAGCTGCTCCGCTCATCATCCATTCGTTTGGAGCTGAAAGGTTGGATTTTCTCTTCTTCCTCTTCCTCTTTTGTTTCTTCTTGAGGAATCAAGCTTTTCGGCTTGATGATAGTAAAGCCCGGGCCCGATAGTAGGCCCGAAATTGCTCCTTTTCTGGGTTTAATCCCTTAGAGAACGCACCGGCAGCCGTCCAATAAATAACGATGAACATGCATCATTTGCGGTGCCTCTGCTGGTAGCCTGCGCTCAGAGGTAGACTAAAAAGCTGCCACGTGTTCCTTCGGGCTAATAGATCCGTAAAGGCGCTTCTCATTTTGGCTCCACGTTGATCAATCACCATCGCATACGTCGAATAATATCACAAGTATTGACTTTGTGATCGCCACGAGACCACATTCACATGTCCCAATCCTTTATCCTCGGTGGAGTTTTTGTTAACTACAAGCCAGAACTGGATTAAGTGGTTTCCCTTGTTCTCCATAGAGATTCAGGGAGAGAGAGAGAGAGAGAAGAGAGAAGAGAGAGAAGAGAGAAGAGGGAGAGAAGAGAGAAGAGAGAGAGAGAGAGAGATGAAACAAATTAATCTGTTTAAGATGTGGGTTTCTTTGAAATTTGACAGTTTCATATGTGATAATAATATTCATGAAAAGGCTGCGTATTTAAAATGTGCTACAACCATTCGCCTACGTCGTGCACGACCTGATGGGATTTGATTCTTACGATTGCACGTAAAGCCCAATAACATGACAAACAATGACGTGTAACGGTCGTCAAAGTAGAGCCACCGGCCGTATAAGTGGGCCCCGGGGGAGGATCTAGGGCTTGATCGTGTGGGCCCATACTTCTTTCTCCACTCCCCCTTGGTCTGCTTGAACAGCCGGGAAGCTGTTGCGGAAAAGTGGCTCTCCGTAGATTAGTGACCTTTCAGACCCCAAGTTCACATTATTCATCCCTCTCTCTCTCTAGGTGTCTTTATCTCCTGTCTTTCTTGGAATCTTCCTTCTCTCTCTCTCTCTCTCTCTCTCTCTCTTATGCCACGCACTTTCCACATTCAAAATGGGAGGCAAGTGACGTCCCGGTTCATCGGTACCTTTCAGCTCCATATAAAACAATCCTCATCCGTCATCGTTAGCGTGGTACTTAGAATTATTTAGGAACAAAGGTGGGGGGGGGGGTTACGAATCAACGGATGGGCAGCCCCCACCCTTCCCCACTTCCAGTCAAGAACAGTGGTGACAAGTCAGGCGAATGGATGAGGCCGCGAGAAAAATGTGGGATTTTAGTGAACCCAAGTTGCTAACTTTGACTTTCTTCGGGAGAAGAAAACTTCTTTTGAAATGGCAGGCGCCGGTTCTCGGCCCTTCTTCCGACACCTGTGACGCGAATGAACAGCGCCACCAAAGGGATCGTCGCCAACAGTGAAGAAATCGTCATTTCGTACAGGTCTCAATCCTCTTCCCCGGGATATCAGGGAGATGCGATCACCAGGAGCCGTGTAACCCTGCGATTAAATATCACCGCCATGGAAACGATTCGTACGGCCGAGTCAAGATGCCTGTGTCTCCAATCATATTACATAGAATCTAAGTTTTAGCTTCGAAAAGCTTCGTGCTGCCCGGTGGGTTGCTTCATGAATAAGCTCTGGGGTCACCGTCTGTCTCCAAGGGGGAGAAGGGCGGGAGGGGGAGGGGAAGGAGGTAGCTGTGGTGTGAGTTGTGATGAGGGCGATGGGCTTCCGACGTCATTAAATAAGGAAAGGAGAGGAGGGGCCTGGTTACGTCTCATCCTGCAACCTATTGCAACAATACTTGGGAATACAGGCAGCGGTGTGGCCCTCCACATAAGATAAGGAGGGCGGAAAAAGGCTGGCCTTGGACGCATCCTCCGCCTTCAACCCCAATAACGACTGGCGGACGAAGACGAACCAGGCCTTTGTCTCTCTCCTTCGAGGAGAGAGAGAGATTAAGAGAGCTTTGAATACTGCAAGAAAGCCTGCACAAAAAGCTTAAGCGGAGGTTTCGCCTCGTCGGCGATTACGTTTCGGGCGGACCTCGTTGAATCTCAGCCGGGCGCGTCCCCATCCAGCAGCCGTGGCGTCTCTGCGGACGGGCGAGATAAGAGGGATATGGGCATCCTCAGAAAGAGCGACCTTGTCTTCTTTTTAAATAGCAGGCACCTTCACATGCCTTTCTCCACCCACCGCCTCTTCCCCTCTTCTTCCCCCCTCCCAAGCTCCCATCCCATTGCCCCCCCCCCCAATCTCTCTTCCCTCTTCTCTCTCTCTCTCTCTGTTTCTCTCTCCCTCCTCTCTCCAGCTCTCTGAAGAGATGGTGGTGCTCGAGAAGAGGGAGATTCTGGCCCAGAATGCGAAGATCGTTGGCTCTGGGGAGACAACCATTGTCCTGGCTCATGGGTACGGGGCAGACCAATCCATATGGGAGTATGTCTTACCAGAGCTCACCAAGCGGTGCCGGGTCGTTGTCTTCGACTGGAACTTCGGCGCCGCTGTTGATCGCCATGGAAGCCGCGAGACCTCCAAACAGTCCATCTTCGAGGCCTTCTCTGAGGACCTCGTCTCCCTCATGGACTCCATGGGGCTGAAGAACGTCGTCTTTCTCGGGCACTCCATGTCCGGGATGGTCGGCTGCATCGCCTCCATCAAGAGGCCCGATCTCTTCCGACGTCTGATTCTTCTCGGCGCATCTCCGAGGTAGAAGATACATCTCGCGCCTGGAAAACTATCGTTCTAGACCATCGTCGTTGACCTCGCCCATGCAGGTATCTGAACTCGGAGGACTACGAGGGGGGCTTCGAGAGGCCACACGTGGAGGCCCTCTTCACCAGCATTGAGTCAAACTTCCAGACGTGGGCCCGGGCCTTCGTGGGGCTGGTCGTCGGCCAGGATCACCCCTCAGAAGCCGCCAAGTTCTGCAAGTCTCTGCTGCGGATGGGGTCCGACGTGGCGCTCGCCATGGCCAGGGTCATCTTCCTTAGCGACCTTCGGGAGGTCCTCCACAGCGTGGCGGTGCCATGCACCGTGGTCAACGGCACCAGAGACGTCGTCGTTCCCACGTCGGTCTCCAGCTACATACAGACGAGGATCAAGAGTGAGGCGGCGCTGGAGCTCCTCGACTTTAACGGCCACTTCCCCCAGCTGACGGCGCACAAGGCTCTGGTCAATGCGATCGAACGGCTGTTGTGAGGGTTTGACCTCGAAGAAGGACCCGACGCCGTCCGATCCCCATGTATCTTGTCGCCTAGCGGAAGCTACACGACCGTCTCCTTCTCGCTCTTCTGTGCGTCTTCCTGTGTCTGGTCGGTCTGTGAATGAATCTCCACTTTGCTCCTCGAAGGTCCGTTTGGCAGTTAAAGTCAACGGCTTGTAAGTGCAAGCGGGCGGGATGTGGCAATATCTGGCCCAATCTTTTTTATCCTGGCTTGGAACGGCCTTAACCCAAAAGTCAACTGCCCTTTATCCTTCTTTATCAGAAACCAGCGCCTTGACTTTTCCGCAGATCTTAGGTTTTGATGAACGACGCTTGGCTTCAAGTTGGCCCGTTGACATTTACTTCTCTCAAGCTGCCAAAAATAAAGAAATGCGACCGACGGGCAGGATTTCAGCTGTCCGAACTCTTTGCTTTGATGATCTACCCCCACTCATCCAAGGTCCGAATTCATAATAATAAGTGCCATTTTTGGTAAAATTGTTAACTAAATAATCGGCATTTCGAGGTAGAGTGAGCCGAATTAAATCCTCCCAATAAATTTCCAAAATTAATAATGCTTCATTTTTGTGGCCCATCATGTAAAAAATAACGTTGACTATGAAAATCTTCGGGCGTGTATGCTTCGGAATGCGAAATCATTCGGGCTGTTATGAACTAATTATTTTCGTAGTAAATTAATTTCAAAATATTTATTTTGTCCAGCGGCTTAAATATCCGAATCGATTGGTCGTAATGTCGGGTCCTCATCAAGTCTTCGACCCGTCCTTTCGCTTCGCCGTTCCTCTTTGCTGTACCTTTACGAATTCAGGAATCTCATCCAAACGATGTAGACAGATGAAGATATGACAACAACCACCACCCACCACGCCCAGTTAGGCCCGGCCCGACCAGACCGATTCTCCACCCAGTCTGGGCGTAAACAATCCAGCCCAATAACAAAATAGGATTGACCCATTACTGCTCCCAAGAAGACTGTTCAACGTGAAGCTTGCCCATCTGATGGCAAGGTATAATCCACCTGCAGAGATATTTTACCACGGTACATTTCTAGTTTGCAAACCTTATAGAGAGAGAGAGAGAGAGAGACAGAGAGAGAGAGAGAGGGAGGGAGGGAGGGAGGGAGGGAGAGAGAGAGAGAGAGAGAGAACGTTTCCATAGATATCCATGCATGCACTGTCATAGAACAGAGACCATATTTGCTCTGAATTACGAGAGCGAGAGAGAGAGAGAGAGAGAGAGAGAGAGAGAGAGATAACGTTTCCATAGATATCCATACATGCGCTGCCTTAGAACAGAGGCCATATTTGCTCTGAATTATGACAGAGAGAGAGAGAGAGAGAGAGAGACGTTTCCATAGATATCCATGCATACACTGCCATAGAACAGAAACCACATTTGCAATGAATTATGAGAGCGAGAGAGAGAGGAGAGAGAGAGAGAGTGAGAGAGAGGGAGAGAGAGAGAGAGAGAGTGAGAGAGAGAGAGGGAGGGAGAGAGAGAGAGAGAGGAGGGAGGGAGGAGAGAGAGAGAGAGAGAGAAAGAGAGGAGAGAGAGAGAGAGAGGGAGAGAGAGAGAGAGAAGAGAGAGAGAGAGAGAGAGAGAGAGGGAGGGAGAGAGAGAGAGAGAGAGAGAGAGAGAGAGAGAGAGAGAGAGAGAGAGAGAGAGAGAGAGGGAACGAAACCCCGAAGATCGAGAACGGTGATCCAGACAAATACAACCGTAACGTGTTATTTTTCGGGCATTTTCTCAGTCACAGGAAAGTATTCTTCGAGTAAGAACAAGAAGAGGGAGAGGGAGGGAGAGGGAGGGAGAGGGAGGGAGAGGGAGGGAGAGGGAGGGAGAGAGAGAAAGAGAGGGAGAGAGAGAGAGAAAGAGAGGGAGAGAGAGAGAGAGAGGGAGAGAACGAATGCTGTACAGAGGACGAGCGACCAAAAACCGGCAGCGTCCCCTCGATCACTCAGGGACTGGCGGCCTGAACTCCACACCATCCAGTGAAGAGGCCAGGTAACCTGCAGCCAAGAACATCAAACCACAGAGGGACGATGTCCAGCTCCAACGCACCCCCCTTCTTCTTCTTCATCCAACGTTCTGCTCCTGTGCCTCATCAAATTGGCAGGCCAAACATTCACAGACCCTCCAACACCGCCGCCGCCGCCGCCACCGCCACCACCGAGATCACCACTGTCAGTCTCGCTTTCATCCTGTTCAAACGAATTGATCGCCTCTGCCGCCACAAGTATCGTGACAGCCTTGTGAATTGCAAGATCAGCCTTGTGCATCAACCAGTGGGCCTTCTCCCTCTTGAACCGGGCCACATTGGCCGAATGCTGTGCAGCACTCGACGCATCCCGCAGTGAGAACTCGTCGGCGTCGGCCGGCTGGGTCGGAAATCTCTCAGGCTTTTGGCGGTCTGGAGCAAAACCAGTGCCCGGCAGAGAAGCTCCGGTTCCCTTCATCCTCTGAGAATATGATGCCGCCGCCATGGCCGCCTGGTCCCTAGAGGACGAAGAAGTCCTCCCTTTTGAGCTGTTTCTGTCCAGTCTAGCATGATGACTTCTCTCTAAATTGATCTTATTGGACGGGGAAGGGAATCCTTGTGAAGGGAATCCAGTTGGCGACTGAAGTGAAGTCGGGGTGTTGGGAAACTCGTAGTTGGGGACGGCGATCGTAGACTTCTCCTTCGAAAGCGAAGGCCTGCTTGGCCTTTTCCCTGGTCACAGAAGAGAAGGAATTCTCCGGTGAGATGCCAAAAATGGTTGGTGAAGGGCAGAGACCTTGAAAAGGGCAGAGACCTTGAAGAGAATGGGTGTCCCTCGGAGAGGAGTTATGATGGCCGCTGGAAGGAAACTTTTTGTGGGACCGTTGCTTGGAATCCTTGTGGGGAAGTTCCAAGCCCCTCGGTCGCAAGCAGAAAGCAAACATCGGGGGCTTATCAATGGAAGAGGTTCTGCCATGGAGCTCTTTTGGGGCGCTGTGCATCTTGGACATGGCTGATTCCCACTCTTTCAGCTGTAGATGATACTGTTCCCACAACGGGGGCTGAAACAAGCAGAGGAAGGAAGAAGGGACAGTGAGAGATCCAGATATGAAGAAATTAGTCTCATATATAGCAACGGAGGGATCGAAGGCAACATAAGATTGCTGAAGCTCGGTAGTAACCAATTTCCAAATCCAATGTGCATGATTTCGCACTAGTTTTGATTGTTTTGTTGTGAGTAATTAGATGCATGTTGATGTTTTGCTTTGCTAAACAAAGTGCCCAACCAGGCTCAGAGTGATTCTGAAGGAGAGACGTCTGAGGTCTGCTTGCTTAGTCATCGAGATGCCCAACTCTCTACAAAATCTTGTTGCCTCATTGATTCTTTGAGAGAGAATGAAAATGACGATAACACAGAATATTGAGAAAAAAGGAGAGTGCATATATTTACATAAAGAACATAACCATGAAAATGGTCAGAAAAACACACTGACCAGCTGAACCGGGCTGATTATGGACCAAGCTTGGGGTCCCAGGAGAAAAAAATATTGGCCTCTGTGATTATGTAATATCATGCTATTTATACAACGAACTGAGTGTGAAACGGTGACTCAAATTCTAAGTTGTTACACGATAATAGAACTTCAGCATGCTGAGCGCATAACTTATGTCCTGAGTACACCATAACGCTCTGATTCATCCAAGACGGAATAGTGGTTCTGCAAGGGCCAGATTCATCTTCCGAAATGCAAATCTTAGGCTGATCGCTTGTTCAGAAATCCGACTAGATAGTGACAAGTGTTAGGAATAGTCCCATACTAGCTGTTGTAGAAATGAGCCTACTCCACTCATTGCCATTTTCTTTTAACTTGGAAGGTCAGTTAACTCTTACAGGCTATCAGAGATGATGTTTTTACTTAGGCTGAACAAGACCCAAAAATCAGCTTAGATGTGACTAGGGTAAGAATAGTTCCACATTATAGATCTGTGATTGCAACACAGAGAGCTAAGAATGTGCCTTTCAATGAGGGATAACTAGGGCATCCAAAGGTTCAATGTGCTTTCAGTTCCCTGATCTGGGTAGATGTTCTTTGTGCAATATCGTAACCATTTTTTTCCAAAGAGGGACATGACGCTAGAAAACTATGGAGGTTGTACAATATGAGAACCTTTGCTCACCCTAAAAAGGTCCACAACCTTCATCTATTTCATATCTACACATAAGAGGCCACATTATTATTATTGTCAAATTACAGCTATATCATTTTCTATGAGGTAACAGCAAATGTGAGCCTAAAAAGTAGGATAACTTTGAATAAATAAAGCTGCTGCCAACGGCATAATGTATCCACACATAAGACATGTACAGGCATGCCCATTAAAATCGTTCCAGAAGTAACTGCAGTATATTCCAACCGGCACATATTTGGCAGAGTCATAAGTACTGAACTGTAAGACCATTTCACGAAAAATCACCCTCGAGCTTATTTTCTGAGGGGAGATTGTTCATGTTATTTTGATTGCAGAAAATGTGACCATATGGGTGACGGAAAATCACACAAGAAATGGAGTGACGCGAAGTATGTAATGAATAGGGGAGAATACCCAGGGTTAAGTGCTGGAGAGCAGCACTTCATCGTCTAAACTACTGAATAAGTTTTTTCAAAAACTTTAGTTAAGTTGGAAAAAGAAAGAAACATACCTGAAACTGTCGAATCAAAGGAATGCCTTTCTTCTGCCGCTTCTGCCACCAGTGCTCATAGACAGCTTTCATTACTTCCACTGGCCCAATTTCGGCCATTAAACTTTTTATCTCAGTTTCTGTAAAGTCAGAGCGATGTTGTGCAAATGCTTCTTTCTCAAGCGTATCCATTGCCTTCTCGACTTGCTCCTCAGAGATCCCCTGGAATGCACTCTCACTGCCATTACCTGCATTTCTTAATTTTGAAATACACTCCTCATCCTCACTGTCCAAGTCATATAAGACACGAGATGGGTCCAGAGCCATATCAACCTCTGTTCCAATTTGACGAAAATACTTTGAATTCCTAACGAATGGCACTTCATTAGCCAAATCATCACAATCAATGAAAGAGACTCCGGGAATAGGAATGTGTCTAACTGAGGCGGCTCTGATATTCAGATTGCAGCATTCTTGATGCAATTCTTTGAAAATAGACCATTCTTTCCTGTCCGTGAATTCCAAGGTCCAGTCTTTCCCTCCTTTCCACATCATGGCATGAGTAAAACGATTTGTTGCTCCTGGCTGCAACGGTTGGTGGGCCTTGTACGAATATCTTTTAGCCCCTGAGACTTTCACCAATATCCGCCAGTCCTTATGGTCATCCGATTCAAGGGCAACTTGAGCACCAAACTCTCTCCATCCTCTGTCCCCTGTGGTAACCAGAATATTTGCATTGCATGTTAGTGAATCAAAATTTTTCATTAGGCTTTCAGAGCCGACCACCGCGTCCTTTGCATTATTGGTTCTTTGTCTCTTATAAGGTTGTCTTTTTCGGTGATGACTAAGAGATTTTGGACTAATGTCGTAACCTCCAAAGGCTGATGCATATGATATCTGGGTCTGAGGCTTTTCATAGCCATTAATGAGATCATCCCAATCTTCTGGCCAAAATTGTGAATGATGACCAACTGATGTTGAAACAGAATTTTGCCTATTCCAGTGCCATATAGTTCTTGGGGAAGTCAAGTCGGGGCTGCAAATGTCCATGCTCCAGGGCAAATCAGATGCCGATCTTTTCGCAGTTAGTAGTCTCCTATCGGCTATATCGCCCTCTAATTCACCTGCTTGGGTCTGAATATCGAGTGTGCTCAAGAAAGAACCACAACCACCTTCAGATTCTTCTGGAGAAGAACTGCCTTCCAGCAAAGGATTACACGGATTTTCAACAAACCAAAACCTGGAGAAAGATTGTCCAAGAAATTGGGAATCCTTTCCTAAGCTTCTATGGCTTTTACACAGACTATGTCCATTGTTTAGAGAAGTTTTGAAGGACCTGATGCAATCACCGGCATTGCCACTGGGAAGAGGATGTATCTCTAACTTAGACTGAGGACAGGATAAACACCTAGAACCCACAACAGCCTGATTCCTTGACGAACATATATTCTCAGTTGCACTTCCAGAAAACTTGTCAGAAGAATACTCCACTGCAGAGCAACACTGATTGGTGGATTTTTCATAACTTTCTTCACAGTCCAGAGAAGGCATAGCATCAGTGTTTTTAAAGCTTTTAGAACCAGCATTCCTTTTCACAAGCAGCTTGAAATGCAGAAAGAAAAATAAAGCAGGAACTGGGGCAAAAGAAAACGCAAATGGATGACTCTTAGTCTGTCCATTCATCCTGGAATGAGGGAGGCACGTATGAGAATCAGCAGGAAGTCTGTGGTCAAGATGACGAATAAAACCCTTCGACGACGTCTTTTGAAGTCTCTGAGAGAAGAGTAAAAGCAGTCAATATGTAGATTTTCCGCATTAATATACCAATAATCAAAGTAAATATATATATATATATTTATAAAGCAATCGTTTCTATCTAAATATTCGAAAAGGGCTAAACGGAGCAATGATCACAAAATAGTTCTTGTGGGAGTTACACTTATAATGGTCACATCAGTACCTTCAATCCCATACAGATATAAACTTTTGAACCCCCCAGTGAATCAAATGTTCGATTAGAATCAGACATTAGTTTCAGGTACTAAGCAAACATGTACAGAAGTTTGGCACAAGTGATTCATACAAAGGTATATGAAAAAATAATTAAGCGATAATGATAAAGTTAACAGGATAACTTTCAATCATCCAATCCAACAATGGAATTCGATCCCCACTAATCCAGAAGTAATCAAGACTCAATATAGACAGTTTTGTGCAATGGCATCCCCTCATTGATTAAGAAAAGTGTTGTTTATTGTCACAGGATGCTCAGTGAATTACCTCTGTACACTCCTAAATTAAAAGAAGATATTCCAACCTCGTTTACCCAAGGAAGATCAAATTAAATTTCTTAGTTCATATATTGGATAATCAAATTCTATCAAAAATAAGTTGAGCAACTTTCACCATTATATAATTATCTTTAGTTCCACTTGGCAATCCTTTAAATAACTACAAAGCTGAGTACTCATCTGAATTCAAATGAGTAATAGCACTGGGCTTTTTAGGGCAGATCAGAAGGATGGTAAAATAAAATTATGGCATCAAATGTAAAATATAGGGAGCTTGTTTCCTTTTTCATTGGCAATAGGGAATCAGAGTAGATTAAAAGACGAAGAAGCACCTCCACTGTGATCGGTTGCCAGCCATCTGAATTATAGGGCCTTTTTTCATTAGCACGAAAAAACTCCTTCAGATTTGCATACACGCACTCAGAGAGTGGCAGGACCTTTACTTTCACAGAAAGTTGTTTGAGCTTACGGCCTAAGTAGAGCCAATGAGAGCTCTCTGTGTTCAAAAACTTGTACACATAAAAAAAAAGCTGCCTCCCTTCACCTTGCAAAGGTGAAAGTTTAAATCCAATTGATGTCAATGGCAGCTGTGGCGCAGTGAACTTGCTGCACCAATTAGGCTGATGAAATATTCTGATGAACAGACACAGAACTGTAACTGCATGTAGTAAATGCCCTTTAACAGAGAGAAACCTCAGCCCCAAGTTGTTATCAAGAAACACTATCTCCATGCAAATTGGTGGCCATAGAGGCAATAATTTGCCATGGTGATACAGAAGAATTTTTTTGTATAACCAAGAATATTCAGACAGCCATGCAAGACAAGGAACCCATCGGAGTGGTAACATGAACTTCAATTTTTTCTCTCTATGTTTCAGGGTAGTGAAGGTAATATCAGATGCTTCATGATTAAGAGAGCAATAACCACCGAGAACAGAGGCAGAAAGCTTCGTGGAATAAGGTAAGTCGCAAAGTTCATCTTTCTTATCCCACTTATTTTCTAATGTTTCCAACTTTTTGGCAGAGCGCCTCCTGAAGTAGACAAAAGTAAATTTCATATCGTCATAGCAATTTCTTTTTTTCTTTGCCCGGGGAAATTCAACAGTTTTTTCATCTGTTAATCCATCTGGCATGTTGACAGTAGAATGCATCTTGGAATTCGTACCAGATGGGCAGCCAATAGCATGCTCTTTTTTGTCTAGAAGAGAAGGAGAGATATTTTTCTTGAGATATGACTTTCTTTTATCCCTCAAAATACCACTGGAGGATGTTTTCAGTCGACTAGTTGATCGAGTTAGCCATGATATGATGGGCTCTGATTCTAAAACACTGCTCGCACAGTTATCATCCATAGTGCTGAGTGTACCATCAACATTTTCTTCTTTCACTGTGAATTCCAGTTTACCTTGACAAAACTTGCTCATAAACTCACTTGGAAGCAACAGAAGTTTGAATCTTTCACCCTGGAGATTGATCCATTCTTCGTCACGATCATCATATTTAACATGATGCAACTTTGTTATGGGATTATAATCCTTAATAAGCCCTAGATACCAACTCTGGTCAAGAGGCCAAAAGACACTAATCCTGCGTTCTAAAACCCAATAGGGATCAACAGTCCTTGTGAAAACCTCATAAAAGTGCCTTTGTTCCTTGACATAACCTTTCCTTCTTTTTTTCCTTGGTCGCAATGCTCTACCTTCAGCATTTGGAGAGGACAATACGGATCCCAAGCTTTTACGACCTCCCTGGGTCAAGGGAGAACATGACGACGACTTAGCCAGTGATTTTGAAGGAAAACTTGATTTATCCCCAGAAAGCTCTGTGCATCTTGGATCAAAACGAGATGAAAGCATCCTAGCAGCATTCTGTTCAAGACTCTCTTCATCATCTTCATTGTAGTCCTCAAATGAAATGGATTCACCGACAACGTGTTTTAGTTTCCCAGTTGATGCATCCTGCCTCTGTCTACGGCTTCTTTTGGTCTTCTTATGAATCTTGTGCAATGAAGTCGCATTCTCCTGCTTAGAGTGTTCAACTGAATTACACCTGCTGGACCCATTCTCCTTATCATCATATATTTTCTTCCTCTTGCCAACAAACAACCGATCCTGTTGAGTAGGGATAATTGGATGACTAGATAATTTACTGTTGGAAGAACGAGATTTGCTCTTACGGATGGAGGTAAAGAGACCAGATGCCTCCTTTATGATGGTAGGGGAATTCTTTCGTTTTAGGACACCACGAGGTCGCCTCGGAATACTAGCATCACCACCGAGAATGCTCAGATATCGACCATTACTACTGAGATTTGATTTATCCGTCTTCTGAGGGGGCGACACTGTAACATTTTCCAGAGCGTCAGAAGCATTACTTTCACCGGGGGGAATGCATGAAATGCCCCTTGAGCCACTCAGACTATATGACTTTTCAATGCCGGAATCAAACCCATACGAGAAAGATCCTGAGATGTTTGAATCCTCATGGTGCGTCTTGACAGCTGATTGGATAGCACTAGGAGGTGAATCATTTCTGCGCTCTTTTCTCAAATGCCCATCGGGAATACCGTTTTCCTCAGTTGGGCGAGTTTCCCGGCTTCTGATGGAAGCCTCTGATTTTTCCTCATGCAAACCAAGTAGATCAAACGATTTCGATTTTCGAGTTGGATGACTGCCATCATGCTTTTCTTCGCTATTTTCCATTTAAAGCTCTCAGTCCGGAAAAAGAACACCCGAACCCCCAATTTGCATCTTCCATCATACGTGAGACCTGATGCAAAACCATGATTTGAGATCTGAAACTGGAATTACATCCATGGGCACAGGAGATCCTCAGAAGTAAAAGCCTGCAAAGATCACTAAACAATCAGAAAATCGTCCGAGCATGCGATCGGTCGATTGTGAATCAGGGAACCACGTACCTGGACCGAAACCGCCCAGCTAGCACGAATTGCTCCCGCCTGGCTGCGCGTAATAAGAAGCAGAAGCCAGTTTTTACTTAATTTCCGGCTGCAACAATCACCATTTCCCTAATTTCTACGAGATTTCTGCCAACCATTGAGGAAGATCATCTAGGGTTTCGTCGATTTCAAGGACGCAGAGGGCCTTCGACAGCACAAAAACAAAAAAGATGCAACAAAAATCGAAAATGGCAATCGTTATGGCTGCCGATTGGATCGTCCACACCGAAAGATTCCGATCCAACGGGCACGATATTTTTCCTTTTAATGGATTCGTTCCCGGCAACTGACTGATATGGTCAATGAAGGGTCAATAAAATCAACGTGGACGGTGATGATCGCTCTCCATGGAACGTTAACGGTATGGATGAGTTAAACGTGCACGGTCTACATTCCGCTACGCTTCAAACTTATTCTCGAACCGTCTTACCTCCTTTATTTTGGGCCAGGTTACTTTGGACCCGGCCCAAGCCCATCTCTGTCTCGCGCTCTCCCTCCCTCTCCCATCTCTCTCTCTCTCTCTCTGACCGTGGGTAATTCGAGGCCGTGGAAAACCTTCGCTGTTGATTGTCATGGATTGGGAGGCCATGGAGATGGTGTGCTCTGTGGATTTCTGGAGGATGGCTGTCCTGTGGACGCTCTCCCTCCTCTACTCCTACGTCCTGTTGATGCTCAAGGAACCCCTCTCTTTCTTCCGACGTCGCCCTTGCCGGCTGTCCTACACTCCTCACTTGGGAAGTAGACTGAGGGGGCTCGGAAAGCCTATCTGCATAATTACCGGAGTAAGCCGGTTCTTCTGACTCGTCTCTTCGATTCTTTTTTTGTCTCCCGGATGGGTCCGGATTGGTGTGACTAATTCGACCATTCTTTAACCTCTGGGAGATGAAACTGCAGGGGACATCTGGTCTGGGAGCGGCCGCCGCAAGGTCCCTTGCTGGGAAGGGGTACTGTGTTGTTCTAGGTAAATATCCGTCAAAATGAGGATCATCGAAGCAGCAGTTTGCATGTAGATATAGTTTTTGTTCTCAGATATTGATTATTTATGATATGTAACTCATTTGAATTTTCCTTAAAAAAAGATATCCTTGAAAGTAAGTTGATGATCTTTTGTTCTGTCTGGGTAGTTTTGCACCTCATGAACCAGACAAACCGATCTCGGACTTCTGCAAATACCTGGACCAATTGGATGCATTTTCTCTCTCATTGATCAATCGGAAGCCACAATATGAATTAATGGTGTTGATAGGTGGCATTTAGATTACAAGTTAGTAGCTCAAAGAATGTCCACTCATATAACAATGACATTGAAGAAGGGTATCCATCTGTCTCCAAGAAATCAGTTCTGTCATTAAGCATTTTTCCATTGTTAATAAATCCCCTCTTCAGTTATTGTATATTTAATGTCATAAAATTTCACATCTATGGAAACTCTGTGTGTTATCAAATATATTCCATCATGCTCTCTTTTACTAGTTGTCTATGAAATAATCATTGTGTGGTAACTGAATCCTAATAATATGGTTGAAAATGACAGCTGGGCGGTCTCCCCAACTGCTTTCTAAGGTACATGTGGACTTATGTTGGGATATATTTCCTCTTTTTATGCTGTTCCTTCCACACTTACCTTGTATAAAGTTTCTGGCCATCTTTTGGTTAGATTGTGGATGAGATCATGGAACAGGTTGAGGATGCTGAAGTGGAAGCATTTGTGGTTGACTTGTCTTCTACGCAGTCAATTATGAAGTTCAAAAGTGCCTTGGAACAGTGGCTTTCTGATTCTGGCTCACATTTTTCTGTCCAACTCCTGATAAACAATGCTGGGATATTAGCAGCAACACATCGGCTCACTGCAGATGGATATGATCAGTAAATATTATTCTTATCTTTCGAAAAAGTTAAAATTTTAATATTCTTTTTGATTTCTGAAGAAAAAAAGAAAAGATACATTGCCGGAATTTATATTCTTTTATGTTTTTATATGTGTCTTGCTCTTTGGTGCGAAGTTGTCTCAGTTCACTGGTGATTCTACCCCACTGCTTTTGATTATATTTAATTGAGCTTGGTTAGATTTTTTAACCAGGACATTCCTTCAAAGACCAAAGAATTTACTTGAAAATCATATTGAATTGGGACTATTTTTTTGAACGAGATAGAGTTATTCGAGGCAAGGATAGTAAAATATTAAATAATTATGGAGGATCTCTTGTTTTATTGAGTAAAAGTTGGGTGGTGTAAAATCCAATCCCATTCTTTCAAAATTAGACAGAGTTTGTACTATTTTCCTTCTCTCATCCGTGCAATAGATGTAGTGACGTATAGTGGCAAATATCAGTTGTCCTAAGTTTGAATATCTATCTCGTCACACGCTAGTTTATCTAGTTCCTAGCTAGGAAACGTTCGTGGTATCTCCTAAAATGATGATATTGATGCAGAACAGCTAGACCCGTATTAGTTGTAAAAGAATTACCATGTTCTTCATTATCAATTTAATCTAGCTGAAGGTAGATACATCATATGGTCTTTTAACCATTACAATAGCCTCGATTCTTGGCACCATTGTATCTGCTGGTGAAGATTTCAATGTTTAAATGTTTTGTTTCAACAGGTTGACGCTTTATGTATCTGTTTAAAACGAATAATTCGGTGAATATCTCAAACATTACAGTCTTAAAACTTTGCCTTTCACTCAATTACGATTCATAGATGTCCATTATGACATTACAGTTATGTGTCAGGATGATGGAGACAAATTACCTGGGTGCCTTCTGTCTTACCAACATTCTTCTACCTCTACTTAAGAATAGCCCTGTGCCTTCTCGAATTGTTAATGTGACATCATTCACGCATCGCTGTGGTGAGCACATTATCCACATTTTCTCAGGGACAGTTATGATTCAGTCGATCCATTGGTTTTTGAGAATATTTCATGAAAATCTTGGTTTCTAGTTTTTCTCTCTCTATAGTATAGCCATATTTATATTTTTGGTGTCTGATACTTGCAGTTTTTTTGGTCTGTTTAAACTTTTAATCACTGTGACTGATTTTAATTTCCTCTTCAGTTTCCTCTGCGCAGGTTAATGGGGGAGATTTGGTGAAAACCATGTATTATTTATCATCATCAAAAGGATATCCATTTGCCCGTGTGTACGAAGACTCAAAATGTATGTTATCGATTACTTTGAGAAGAAAAAAATTCGGGTTCGACATAATTGCCACTTTTCGAAAAATTCCTTCTAACGTGTAGTTGTTGGGTTGACTTTCTTTGACAGTTTGTCTCCTTCTCTTTACCTATGAGCTTCATCGAAGGCTTCATATGATCCAATCGCCTCATAAGATCTCTGTCATGTAAGCCTATCATTCAGAGACTCCATGCTTCCACAGATTTCACGGGCTACTTTTTTTTCATTTTTTTTTCTTTTTATGCTGCGTCTGTGAGCTCGTTTTTCCTAATTACACATAGTTTGAATGTAATATATTGCACATTTTTTCGGATTTCAAGCCTCTTTGTTCATATGAGAAACAACTTCAATCGCTGCACCTGTTTATTTGATTATATCACAAGTTTGACATTTTGGCTACAGATTATTGGTTTCGTGTTAATTACTCAATCTTAATTCTTACAGTGCTGCAGATCCCGGAGTGGTTGACACCAAGATCATGCGTGAGCTTCCACCGTGTCTGTCAAGGTTGGCCTTCAAAGCCCTGCTGTATCTGAGACTCCTGCAGACCCCCGAAGCTGGGATTGGCGCAGTTGTGGATGCTGCTCTAGCGCCTCCAGTAAGCCAGTTCCTAATAATGGTTCCCTTTTTCTCCATTCAGAAGGTTGAGCATATGTTCATTTATTTCTTCTATCGTGATGTATTCCCCCCCCCCCACCCAGGAAGCATCTGGGCTGTACTTTTTTGGTGGGCAAGGGAGGACAATCAGATCATCTGCAACATCCTACAACCAGAAACTTGCAGACGAGCTATGGACCAGTTCATTGCAGCTTCTCTGCAAAGCAAATGCCGAGCTCAAGCTTGATGGGGACTTCTCAGCTTGGTAACCCAGATCATTGCACTCATTACCATGCTTTGATTGCCTGGGTGATTCAAGCAAGGTATGGAGTGTCAGCCAGTTGTGCCGCCATTGCAGGTGAAAGGAGAAGAACGGAGGAAGAACTGAAATATTCCTGCTATAGTCAATAAAATCATTATATTGATCCGTTCTTCTGATAAGATTATGCATTTGTTCATCCCAGGTGAGTTCTACTGATTTTTCATGGTAGCCGGCATCATGCAGGTACAACAAGTCAACGAACCCTTCGGGCAAGAGTCAACGGTTATCCTCCATATATTTGATAAAGAATCAAAGAGAGTTGACCTTCATGGATTTGATAAATTAATCTGCCCTATAAGTTCCTTGCTGCTGCAGAGATCTCTTCATCTTTCATCTCAGATGACCCCCCAAATTAGCAGAAAAAGGGGGCCCGGGTCGATAAATACCTCATATTTCAAGAAAAGACCAAATAATGGTCTTTGTCGAATTCAAGTTTATAGAAAAAAGGATATATATTTTATTTTTTATTCTGAAATAATATTTTAACAGGTAAAAATTTGAAAGATGTTCCCTAGGGCTAAGACGACGTGGAGGACAGATAATCTCCTCTCTGGTCCCAGCTGAATTTGCGGAAAAATTGCTGTCTCGCTCCATAAAGATTTCTAATTGCATATTGACGCCAGGAGATGCGGAGGTAAAATTACTTTTAAGATGACGTGGCTGGGATTTCTTGGCTTTCGATGTGCGAGCGCCACGTGCAAGGGGCGGGAGCGGAGAATTTATTATAATAAAATATTTAATATATTTTATACTCTTTTGATTTTTAACGAAATTCTTCCGATATATCGAGGAGAGTCAACTCTGCGAGCCGGATCTCCGGGGTGGGAGGGTCGATTGGCGACATGATCAGGAGAACCGTACCGGCGGCTACTACAGCTTTCTGGTTTCTCGTCGCCGTCGCCGCCGCGAGGCTCTCCTACACGTCTGACAGTGGCGACGATCATCTGCTCTGCGCCCCCAACGATCTGCCAGATCCGCAGACTCTCCGGTCCGACCAGCTCACCGTCCTCATCAATGGCTACTCCGAGGCGCGCCTCCCCCTCCTCCGATCGATCGTCGAAACCTACTCCTCTCTCCCCTTCGTCGCCGCCGTACTGGTTCTCTGGGGCAATCCATCCGTTCCTTCCCGCTCCCTGGAGGTGCTTCACTCCGCCGGTGCCGGCGGCGCCCCGATCTCCGTCCTCCGCCAGCCGACGTCCTCGCTGAACGCCCGATTTCTCCCCCGGCCTGAGATCCGAACTCGGGCGGTCGCGGTCTGCGATGACGACGTGGAGATCGACCAGGCGTCTCTGCGGCTTGCCTTCCACGTCTGGGGCACCCACCATGACCGGATTGTCGGTTTCTTCGCCAGATCTCACGACCTGGATCTGTCCCAGCGGAGCTGGATGTACACTGTCCACCCAGACAGGTACTCCATCATGCTCACCAAATTTATGATCCTCGGCACCGAGTACCTCTATCGCTACAGCTGCGGCGGGGGGAAGAGGATGAGGGCGGCAAGGGCTGTGGTGGATTCGGAGAGGAACTGCGAGGACATTCTGATGAACTTCGTGGTGGCGATGGAGACTGGATCTGGCCCACTTCTCGTCGGAGGGCGGCGTGTGAGAGACCTGGGGGACGTGCGGAACGAGGAAGGCAGTGGAAAACGCAAAAAGGGGAGAAGAGGCGGCGGCGGCGCAGCGGGGGTGAAGAACAAGCCCTTGACGGGGATTGGGGCGGTAGGGCTGAGCGCCAAAGGGGATCACCGGAAGCGGAGGGGCGATTGCATCCGGGAGTTTCACCGGACGCTCGGAGTAATGCCTCTACGTTACAGCTATGGCAAAGTGGTTAAAGGGGTTGGCGAGCAAGCGCTGTGTAAGAAGGCCGGGAAACTGGTTCTATGCGATGCGCAGTAGAGTCTCATGTGATCCGAGCAATTTTCTGCGGCCTTTCTACTGCTCTCTACCTCATCGTTGCTGTTCGTTTCACCCAGAGCAATCTAATGTCCATGGCGAACACTGCGATCTCTTTGCTGCATGTCCTCCGATATCCTGGTGTTGTGCAGAAGCTTAGCTGGCTCTGAGCTTACAGAGGTAGAAGATAGTGCCCTGATTCAGTGGTACCATGCTTAATCCAATCTGATTTTTATTTCTGATTCATTCTTGAGCCTCCATTGAGCGAGATAATTATTTTTATTGATTGAATGTTCTTTTCTTCCAGGGTATTCATCGGCAACCGATCGATTCTTCCTTCTTCTGGGGGGGTTCACTACTCCACCTCTGATCTGATCTTACAGCTTCACTGGCATGGAGACGCTGATCAGTGTTTCCCCTGTTTGGATGCAGTGCAGTCTCTCTTTCCAAATACTCCGATCTTTTGTTGGAATATTTTTCATTGTTTTGGGGAGTGGAGATTCCCTCTTTCAGATTTACGATGAAAAAACTTCTTCAAAACCTGAAATTATTTATTTTTCTTGAGCATGCACTTCTCTGTTCTTCCCCCAAAGATAAAGACTCATCCATTTGCCTCAAACTCTTCATATCTCAGCTGGGGACGAAACCCAGATCCTTGCGACCCATTTCTTGCTGCCACGGCTCAAACCTGAAAGATGATGATTTATTTAATGCGATAGCGACAGCGAGATGAACCTTGAGCTAACCCATCTTAATTTTTTATTATCCTTCGGACTTCGCGTTTATTATCCTGAGCTCTTTTAAATCGTTCAGTTCTTTCATCGGAATTGTTGTTTTTGCTGGTGCGAATGAGGTTTTGGGGAGATAGAGACATCAGATGTTGCGCTCCGGACATCTTGCTTGCTCCTAATGTTCAGCATGTTACTATTGGGACTCCTGGTTTTCCCTCTTTTGAAAGCTCATGGATGACTCCAAGCTATGCAAGAAGGATTAGGACCCAACCAGAAGAAGCTTGCTCTAATTTTGGTGGCCTAATTGCAGGTTTTCAATACCAGAATGGCCGTTGAATTCCTTCAAGAGATGAATGACAGAAGGTCAGGCCCAGAATCTGAAGTCTCCGAGAACAAAACTGAGGCCTGATTTGGAAGATCACGCAGTGGTCTCCGGCGGCGGCGCCGCCGGGCGGAGGCCAAGGGAGGAGGTGATGGCGATGCCGGCCATGTTGAGCCCCTTGGCTCCGTAGTCGGGCACCGGCACGGAGCCCCACCGGCCCATCTTCTTGTCGAAGGTCACCCAGGTGAGGTCCCACATGCCCTTGTAGTTGGACATCAGCACTAGCGTCACCACCCCTCCGGCCTCCTCCAAGCAGCCCGTCATCACGCAGTAGGGCCTTCCGGCCATCTCTATCAGCTCTGGCGGTGCTCCGGCGACCATCTCCCACCTGCCCCCGTCGGAGCTCATCCCCCAGAGCTGCAGCTCCGCCACCGCCCGCACCCTCACCCTATGCGCCTCCTCCGCCACTGCCGCCGACCGGACCACGGCGAGGTGCCCGTCGCCGTAGATGCGCATCCCGTCGCCGGCCTCGGGGAGCCGCGGGCGGAAGAACACCGCTCGCCCCTCGCCGCTCGCGCCGACGACCACCGCACTATCTCCGGCCGCGGCGTTGAGCAGGGCCGCGCCGGGAGGAGGAGGCGCCGCCGTCTGCTCCGCCGGGGAGGAGCGCCAGGCGCCGGCCTCGGAGCTGTACTCGAACAGGACGGGGCCTTGTTGGGTCACCTCGGCGAAGAGGAAGCGGAAGTGCTCCGTGCCGGAAGGCCCAGCGAGGAGCTTTAGCCCGGGGCGGCGCCACGAGGAGGTGCCGCGGGGACCGAGGGGGCTCGCGGGGAGCCGGCGGGCGGCGCCGGTGCGGAGGTTGGCGGCTATCAGCTCGCGCCGCTCGTTGGAGGCGAAGAGGAAGAAGTCGCCGTCGGCGGCGAGGAAGTAGAGATCATCGTCCCCGGGCGGCGCCGCCGCGCGGAGGATCGTCGCCACCCGGAAGCGGAACCAGCGCCCGGCACGGTCGTTGAAGCCGCGCAGCACGGCGTCACGCGGGGGCCGCTTCTTGAAGAGGAAGAGCCAGGTGCCGCCGAGGCCGACGCACGCGCCGCGGAACTCGCCTGCGAGGACCTTCGAGGCGGCACGGAGGCGCAGCAGGTCCGGTAGGGCGAGCCGGGAGAAGATCTCGTGAAGCAGCTCGGAGGGGAGCAGGCAGAGCCCCACGGTGGTAGCGCTCTCCTTCTTCTCCCAGGTCTCCATGGAATAATTGGGAAGGCAACCTTGCTGCTTCTTCCTTCCGCCATGGGAGAGGAGACCCTTTAAGTAGCTTTCATACTTGTTTGCCAAGGAACCCACGGCCAAATCGGAATCACCGCCGGCCTCTTTTCAACTACCCGGCTGCTCCGATCGTCGTCGGGTAATTCGCCGCCGGCGGGGTCTCGAAGAATTGTGTGGGGTGAGGGTGAAGGGGATGATGATGCCCGAGAGGGCGGGCGTTTTTTATATTTATATCACATCAAGCAGCTGTTTGATTAATTGTCTGCGTGCGTAATCATCCATGCGTGCGGTCATCATGATTTGCCCGCTCGGGCCATCGCGTTGATCAGTCGCCATTTTTGGCGAATCGAGGAGATTGGAAATTATCTTAATATTACCAAAGTACGCAAAAAATGCGAACTATTATCTTCTGGGTTTGTCTCTAATCGACCCCGACGAGGACCAGGAAGGGGGGAAGACGAGGAAGACGCATGGGCAGAGAGGGTTGCGGGTGGGTGGAGCAGCCGGGCAACGCGCCGGGGATCGTCGGACACCCGCGTCTGTTAACATCCCCCCGCAGGCTCTCTCTCACTTCAGCTCGCCCATCATCTTTTGTTTTTTATTGAGTACGGTGGCACGAGCACCGTCTCCTTCTGGGTGGATTAGCTGGGAGGAAGCCTGCGCGTGCTTGATGATAACATATGGTGCATAAACTCTTCTTCTTCTTCCTCCTCTCTCTCCCTCTCTGTCTTAAGAGAGAGAGAGAGAGAGAGAGAGAGAGAGAGAGATGGGCTTGTCTTGCTAAGTGGCAGGGAAGCTTCCAATGGATTAGAAGTGGTTGGGGGAGGGGTTCCACGGGCTTCTTTAAACCCTTCATGGGGACGGTGCGCATTGGCGGTCATGAGAGTCAACGCACGGAGCGCTCGTGGAGAACACTCCCTGGTCAACCCAATTTGGGCAAAAGGGTACTCTTTGAAATGAAATAGCTATCCTGACGGATTCAAGTCAAATGAACCATGTCCCAGGTCCGGAGGAGGGAGGGGGTTGTGGGGAACTACTCAGCCGCCCAAAAAGCCTTATGGGCTGATCCCAATGGCTCTGTTTAAGCACCCATTGAAGAAATAGGAAAGTAAAAATATACATAGCAAGAGAGAGAGAGAGAGAGAGAGAGAGAGAGTCAAAGGTGGGTAAGCAGACTGATGATCCTACTTTTCGAATGTTCTATAAAAAAGAAGATAAAGACATATCGTATGCGTTTGCCGGGAATTGAACCCGGATCTATTGCTTGGAAGGCAATTATCCTGACCATTGGACTACAAACGCATTGATAAGAAAAATTATTTATTTTATATTTCAACTTTTTTAATACAGAAATAGATTTTTTCGTTCGAATCCCGACTGTGTCGAGGATCTGGGCCGCGCATGTCGCGTGTTGGAGTTTCTCGTTGGATCTCCCAGCTGCGAGGTAGGCGCTTCCTGCCGTGGTAATTGGCCGCGAAAATCGGCCTTCCCTGGGTTGGGGATTCTCCAGGGATCCGACGACCCTGCGATCGAGTCGTTTGCTGATAATCTCGCGGAGTTATTTGCGGGAAAAGAGGTTCGACGCTTTTCTGGATCTTGCTGTGGATTGTAATCGTTCAGAATGGCTCCTATTAACCTTGATTCGTCCAAGCAGTACTATGCAACCAGTAGTCTTGTCGTCGGTTATGCTCTATGTTCAAGCTTGCTCGCTATTATAAACAAGTATGCCATCACGAAGTTCAATTTCCCTGGTCTCTTGACCGCACTGCAGTACCTGACTTCTGCACTTGGTGTTTGGGTGCTTGGAAAGATGGGCTTCCTTTACCATGACGCATTTACCTGGGAGACAGCTAAGAAATTCTTCCCCGCAGCCGCTGTCTTCTACCTTGCCATCTTCACCAACACTAATCTTCTGCGCCATGCAAACGTGGACACCTTCATTGTGTTCCGCTCCTTGACGCCCCTTCTCGTGGCTGTCGCTGATACTGCCTTTAGGAAGCAGCCGTGCCCCTCTAAACTGACATTCCTGTCTCTGGTTACCATATTGAGCGGGGCGGTTGGGTATGTGATGACTGATTCGGGATTCACTCTCACAGCCTACTCGTGGGCCGTTGCTTATCTGATTACCATCACAACTGAGATGGTCTACATTAAGCACATGGTGATGAATCTTGGGCTGAACACATGGGGCTTTGTCCTTTACAACAATCTACTGTCCTTGATGATGGCTCCACTGTTCTGGTTTATTACAGGGGAGTATGCAGATGTCTTTGCATCTTTTAGCCCAGATTTAGATAGCTGGTTTAAAGTGGATGCTTTTTTGGCGGTCTCTCTATCCTGTCTATTTGGATTGCTCATCAGTTTCTTTGGGTTTGCTGCGAGGAAAGCAATCTCAGCCACAGCATTCACCGTGACAGGTGTTGTCAATAAGTTTCTTACCGTAGCAATTAATGTGTTGATCTGGGATAAACATGCCAGCACTTTTGGGTTGATGTGCCTGCTCATTACTATTGCGGGAGGAGTTCTATATCAGCAATCAGTGACAGGAGCTAGTGTCCCTTCACCCCCACGTGAATTGCCATCAATTGAGCCGGTGAGGGTGGAAGCGCAAAGGGATTATGAAGACGACACATCCGATAAGGATTCAAGTGTCTGAGTTAATTGAAGCCACACCAAAAATTTGGCAATTTTGGCAAATATTTGAAGTGGGAGGCATAGATTATAAGAATATCACTCTGAATTTCTTGCGTATTTTATTTTTCATAGCAGATTAACTTTGAACTTTTCATTGTTCACGTACTTCGAATTTACTAATGTTGCACTCTCCTTCAATAACGTCGCTTTTTATTTCTTGACACGGTAAGTATCTCTTATTTTTCACAACACGTGAAGGAAATAGTGATCGTGTTTCAGTTTTAACTCTTCCATGGGGACTTCTATCTGGAACTATCTTTTCGCATGCAAAATCTCTTGTGATATATTATCGAAATGTTGAACAATATGCATCGGAAGGAATGAATATCGAATTTGAGCTCTTTTTCCCCTAATAGCACCCGAATGGACTCTTGTAAATTTCTTTCAAATTTAAATTATCAGCATAAAGGCATATGGTAAGTATTTAGCTAATAAAAACAATCAAGAACTATGCATGTTGGGGAGAAAATTTTTAAAATTCCAGTCTTTGTAGAAATCAGGCAGTTTCTCCAGTTCGATTTCTTTTCTGCTGTGGTGGATTTTGTCCTGCCTCAGCAGCAAATAATTTCCAATCCTTTTAGTCTTTCACCCTCCACATACACCTTCCCTTCAAAAATAATATTCTTCTATTTTCATACCTATCAGTGTGTGCATGTTTGTGCGTGTGTGTGTTTGTGTTTGTCTCCCTCCTTTTTTTGAATACTCTGGTCACAAAACCCAGTTTTTTTTCTCTTTCGCATTCCGTGAGATCAAACTATGTATCTAAAATCTAATAGTTGTGATGAATAGGGTTCGTATCCTGGTCATAGTTTAGATTGATTATAGCTTCCATATGTCTAACTCAATGTCAACGAATTATCAGCATTTACCACAATAATCGTCACTTCTGTCCTTTATGCAGTGGTAGATTCGTCCCTGATGATCATCCGAATGTCTAGGCATGGAAGTCTGAGCAAAAAGATAGTTTTTTATTAAAATCGAGACATGTTTCCATCGGTATGCCAAAAAGCCTTTAGCTTTGTCTCTCTTGCCTGAGATAACTTTGAGCTTATTCCTCTTTCACCTCCTTAAAACAGTCTACTCTGAGGTAACAGAAGCATTGTGAAGGGTGAAATGAGGCATTTTTTGGCAGAATTTTTATCAGACTATGGAGTAAATAGTGGCTGTGATCTTCATACGATTTACTACTTACCTGAGCTATGCTGATTAAGATAGAAACCAGTTGCCCCTCCAGTCATTCGGCTCACATATTGCACCAGTGATTGGAATCCCTCGTGCTTTGCCTCGCCATGTTGCCAAGGTTTATATAACCTACTTTCCAATGGGATCATCATATATGCCGGCAGCTGAGGAAACCCAGTGAGCAGAGATGGTAGGAACACCCTCGAAAGAGACCTTCTCTGTTAGCTGTAAGTGGTATCACAATACGTTTTCAGATATCATTGAGGGAGATAAAAATAAGTAAACGAATGATGAATATAAATAGTCAGAGAGTTATTGGTATTGCTTCTGTGTAGTCCTGTTTTAGATCTTGATCCCGCATACGTGCTTACCATCCATTGATATTTCCTGTTGTCCTCATTTTATCTTCTTTTTTATATAAAATTCGAAAAGTAGGATCATCAGTCTGCTTACCCACCTTTGACTCTCTCTCTCTCTCTCTCTCTCTCTCTCTCTCTCTCTCTCTCTTGCTATGTATATTTTTACTTTCCTATTTCTTCAATGGGTGCTTAAACAGAGCCATTGGGATCAGCCCATAAGGCTTTTTGGGCGGCTGAGTAGTTCCCCATAAACCCCCCCCCCCTCCGGACCTGGGACATGGTTCATTTGACTTGAATCCGTCAGGATAGCTATTTCATTTCAAAGAGTACCCTTTTGCCCAAATTGGGTTGACCAGGGAGTGCTCTCCACGAGCGCTCTGTGCGTTGACTCTCGTGACCGCCAATGCGCACCGTCCCCATGAAGGGTTTAAAGAAGCCCGTGGAACCCCTCCGTGCGTATGTTTTTTTTCACCAAGGTCTGGAATTTGACCACGTGACAAAATTCCCCTTGTGCTTCCCCAATCCTCCGGGCCAGGCCCACCTCATCCGTCGGCCCGCAGGCCCGGGCCCGCCCATTAACATAACCACGGTTGAAGAAAATATGGGGAGAAAATAAAATCTTGAAAAAAAAAATTAAAAAAAAACCTCGCTGTAACTGGCACAGTTTAACGTCCCACCGATTCATGGAGGATCAGCACGTCATTACATGCAGAGAGTAGTAGAATACTACAGAAAGTGTGGGAGTGAGCAGCCTTTGCAGAAGATGTTAAATGGTCAATCCATCCTTGGAGGACTTGCTGACGAGTGACTTGTGGATGTGAGGGATCACGCCGCCACCTGCTATGGTTCCCTTGATGAGCGTGTCCAGCTCCTCATCGCCGCGGATCGCCAGCTGGAGATGCCTTGGGGTGATCCTCTTCACCTTCAGATCCTTGCTGGCATTGCCCGCTAGCTCAAGCACTTCTGCAGTGAGGTACTCCAGGATGGCTGCTGAGTACACCGCAGCCGTGGCGCCCACTCTGCCATTTGCTGCCACGCGGGACTTCAGCATACGGTGGATGCGGCCCACTGGGAACTGTGATTTTATGGAGAAGGCAGAGTTGAGAGGGGCTGCGCATGGGAGCAATGCATGGCCAAGAAGATTGAATCCCGAGAATTAGCTTCTTTGTGGATGATAGGAGGGCAACGCTCAAAACCCATGAATGCTCCGCTGGTAACTCGTGTAGAACAGTAAGTGTAAACTGGGTTGTGCGTGTTTGAGAGAGAGAGAGGGAGAGAGAGAGAGAGAGTATCCAAGTATTTTAGAGCATTAGAAACGAAGGTCTGTAGTTTTTAGCAAACAAGGATCTTTATAAGCCATGGACTGATTGAAGAAAACATATGATGGATTGTCCATGGATATCACTTAGAAGAAAAGGAAAGAATGAAGAGGAGCTTCATCGAAATCATCACAGGCACATACAAAAGGCCCATGAGCAATGTAAGGATCACCAATGGAAAAACAGATGAACTTCTAGTTACATTCATCCTGCGTGAGCCATAGCGACATTGAGAATGCGCTGATGGTCCATGTGACGTAGATGGGGAAAAAATAAAGACATGCTATGGGCAAATTTCATGAAAGTGCTCATCCTTCGATCAGGAAACAAAGCTCCGACGAGGAAATAGCATGTAGAGTTCGGTACTCCAAGTGAAATTCGCTTGGGCCCTCCTCACTTCCATTGCAGTGACTGGGTAATTAGAAACCGCGCTGCAGAACTTTCAGGAACAGTAGCTGCTTCCAAGATCAACGCACTGGAACTTCCCAGGAGAAAAATCATTCCTCCTCACAACCTCCATGAACATTGCAGAAAATTACTAGATTTTCTACTCCTACAGGACGTGAAAGAATATGCATCCGAACATGGTGTGATTCTTTACAAGATATTCCGCCCCAGCTGAAGTTTCAATTGCCTCTTGCATTTTATGACTGGTTTTTACTGAATTCTATAGTCTTTCCTGCTTGGTAATCCATGAACTCTCATTCTTCTATCGTAGCACCTATGAGCATATTCCACTAGGAATTCCTTGGGACCTTCTGTGTTTATCTGAGGTCTCAGACAGATCATGGTCACTAAATCGCTCCCACCCAAAGATCAGAAGCTTAGCCCGTACTTATTCTGGTCTCCTGGTGGCGTTCTCTTCACCTCAACTCTTTCATACAGCCTTGGGCGTCAGAGGATCTCACCACTGCGTTCCAATCCCCTTCACAGCCGTTCCTGAGGATCTTCACTCAGGTAGGGCCCCATGTCGGCGGTGCTCTTCTCCATTGTCATTTCAATCCTCGACATTTTTCACCGTAGCAGATGCAATCATAGAATTTGCATACAAGAGAGACACGCCAATTACGAGGTCTCTGTTAGAAAGTACATAAGACGATGGGCAAAGAACCTGGCCTGAAATGGAACAAAGTCCCGACGTCAAAGTCCTCACCAGCATTTAGCCACACCAGCTTTGATATCTCCGGTAGCTATGAGCGGATTGCCACGCAATCTAAGGGGACAATGTCTCATGAATACCACGAGCTACCAACATACATGGAAAACACGTATTGATACCCAAAAAGAAAAGAAAAATCCACAACCGCTACCAAGAAATACGCTGTGCAACCGGACGAACACCCAGGATGACAAGAATTTCACACACAAATAGAGGGAAAAGTAACCCAAAGGGGGGGAAAGAAGAAAGATCTACGGCAAGCAAAGTAGAGATCAACGAGCGGGACCTGAAGACCGGCCCGCGAGGAGCGAGAGATGGCTTTCTTCTTGTCCTTATTGGCGGGGGTCATCCCTGTGATCACCCCCTTTGCTCCCTTACCTGACATCTTCCTCTTCTCCTCTCCAAGGCTCTACAGAACCCTTTCCGGCCGATGGCAGAGCAAGAAAACCTGTCACTGGCTGAAGCAGTGGGCTGGAACGAAGAAATTTCTTCGATACCCGCGAGGAGGAGGTCCACAGTACGAGGAATACATTAAGATTCTCGAGGCACCCACTTCCTGGTTAATCCAGGGGTTCAGTGGGCCCTGGAGAAGCCCAAATTTCTTGGAAATGTCACTCATTGTGGACTTCATTTCTCATTATTTTCAGTCATATGAATTAAGATTTTATCTATTTAATAATGGGTCTCACTTACAAGAAAAATATAAGATAATTAGATGATTACTATCCATTTTTAGTTTAGTGACTTTTAGAAGAGGTGCATTATACATAGATATTCCCATTTTTTATCGATTAATGCCTAAATAACCTGATTATTACTTATAAGCTCCTTTTTTCTGGGGATTACAATTGTTGAAGCCTTCATTGAGAATCAAAAAATTCAGATATTGAATGAACTTAATAAAATTGGTAACTATTCTTCTGAAACAAGAGTTCAACTAGTTTAGCTTATCTAATAAAAACAATGGAGCATATATTTTTTTTCCAATAATAGACAAAAAAATTAAGCTATGAATTGATATAACCTAAGTTGGTTAAGTAATGGTTATAATCTGCCACTTTACCTAACGAAGTCCACTTCTCTATTGAACCCAATGAATCAAAGCCCTACATTGACCCCCCCTTCACATAACTGCTCTATGTGTGTGTGGTGTGTGTGTGTGTGTGTGTGTGTATGTGTGTGTGTGTGTTTGTGTGTGTGTGTGTGTGTGTGTGTGTGTGTGTGTGTGTGTGTGTGTGTGTGTGTGTGAGAGAGAGAGAGAGAGAGAGAGAGAGAGAGAGAGAGAGAGGGAGAGTAGCCCAACAAATCTTATAAAAAAGGAGAGGATTTTTTTAAAAAAATCCAAGTGGCCTAAAACTAATTATCCAAGCATCCAAGGTGCTTCAAAGATGGGCTAATTGGTCAAAAGATGATAAAATAATCAATCACTTTTGGGTAACAGATGTCTGTGTACCAATTACACGAGAGATTATTTTCACCAAAGTGGACCATAAGCCTATTTACAGTCAAATTAAGTTGGATTAGAAACCCAAGATGTGTGAAAATATGAGATGGCCTAATTTCAACCCATGATGACCCAATAAGATATTTTAACACATCTTAATTATGTCTAAATTTAGTTTTCCTGCTTTTATTCTCATTTCTCAGTTTCAATCATTTCAAATATATTTCAATAGGCCTAAACTCAAATTGAAGACACTAAATAATATAAATCAAAATCATTCAATACGATTTACAACTTTCTTCCCTCTTCTAAGGGTCTTTTTCTTTGTTTGTAGATTCTAGCAACCCTTGTGGATTCAGATGATCCATTTTTATCATGTTAATTCAAGATTGAATCTTTGTAGATTCAAATGTTGAAGCTTATTTATTTAGTGGAGGGCAAAGAAGTTTCAGTGATAGTATATTTTTTTATGAATTCAAGGACATGATTTCAACTCCACCTAACTCATGCTGCATCAACCTCTTGAATTGTCAATTTCTCATTTTCTGCTATGTCAAATGAAGAGGGTCATTTCAGAAACTTTGCCTTGGACAATGTTGAGGTCTCAATCTGCTTCTATGCATTTGTTTGCTTTGACTTTATTTCTTCTTTGAATTTTTTTTGAATGGATACACTAAAATGGGTTGATTGTCTTTCTTATTCTTAGGGAATGGGTGTAGAGGATGTTGGGAGATGTGCTTCTTAACCTTATCAATAAAAAACTAAGGAGTCACATATCTGATAGGTTACCTCACTCTAAACTAGGTTTGGTCATTAATGAGTTAATTATATTTGGCAAGGCGGATTAGTTTCAATGCTATGTAAACTTATTCTTAAATTAGATGTGCTTTTAAGCAATAGTAACCTATGATATGAAGGTTTACATATACTAAGATAAACATTTTATTAGTTTATTCCAAAAATTCGTCAATGACTTAAGATTTTATGTAAGTTAAAGAAATGCAAGGGTTTACTTGTAATATGTTAGATTTTAAGGAATTTTTATGGGCCTATTTATAAATTCATGAAAGAAAGATTATACTTTTTTGGAACTCAAGGTCTTTAAAAGTAATGTGAAATAACTTTTTTTGGACATTTTTACAAATTCATAAAATATGGGCTGTTCGAAACGCAAGAGCGTGCAGCAGAAGGGCTTGGATGTAATCAGGTTGAAGTTCTTTGTACATATTTACACGTTCAACCGAATGATTTTGTCCGCATTCGATTGATGCCGACAAACATGGGCTATGTATGGGTCCGTAAGTGAGCCCTACCTCTTGTCATTGTCTTTTGCGCCACTTCCGTGTGGGCTCCACTCCTCCACGCGGTTTTCACCCGCCGCCGTCGGCCGGCAAGTCCACCTGCTGATCAAACGGGGACCTTGGAAGACGAGAACAGTGGATAGCGCGGTCGCCCGAGAGAGAGGGAGAGATAGAGATAGATAGATGGAGAGAGAGAGAGAGAGAGAGAGAGAGAGAGAGAGAGAGAGAGAGAGAGAGAGAGAGAGAGAGAGAGAGAGAGAGAGAGCCCACGTCTCAACTGATCCTGCGTCAAACGAGGGAGAACAATGGACTCAGCGACCAGACCAGACGATCCCTCCAAGAGGCAAAGATGTATGAAAAGGAGGAAATAAGCTCGAAGAAGGAAGAGAGACGGATATATCGTAGTAAATGTAAAATATGCGAGCTTTCACCCTGCTCAACTAGTCCATAAATTTAACCGTGACCGGCGAATTCTCATCCCAGAGGCAATGTTTTAAGCCGTGAGGTTATCAGCAACGACGCCGGCGAGAATTTTGGGGACGTTGACCCTGCGATAAGGAATTATGATACATCCTGGGCAAGCTGCGCGTCGTCTACAATGGTGTAGTAGCTCCATCTTCTACATCTAAACACATGAAATATAGGGGTGGTTTCTACTCGGTGGAAGGAATCAGAGGCGAGTTCTTACTGCGTAAAATCGATGTTGATCTGGGTTATCTGTCCGGCGGAGGAGTTGGTGATGGCCCTGAAGGCGGCATCGGAGAGAACCATGGTGGCGCCGCCGTGGGACGGTGGCGAAACAAGTGCAGAGGCGTGGTCAACGATCTTCACCAGGATGGGGGGCTGGCCGTCGGCGCATGCGCGGGGCACGGTGGAGCTGAGGCACTTCACCAAGTACAGCCGCCCGCAAGCGGCGCTGTTGTCCCATATTCCGTCCCCCGCCGCCGCGAAGAAGTTGTTGGAGGGGAACTGGCTGGCGTCGCCGCCGTAGCAGGCGGTGGCTGCCGGCGGCAATGAGTTAATTCTCCGGCGGCAGCGAGGGAAGGAAGGTAGAATAGAGGGTGAGTTCGCTGAGAACTTACGGAGGTACGGCGGGCTGTAGGACGTGGCGGTGCCGACGTCTGCTGCGGAGCGGTGTAGACCCAGGAGGAGGGAGACGAGGAAAGGGAGAAGCTTTAGCCGGTTGATCATGGTTTTGATGGCCCTTTTCTTCCTCCTGCGATCGGCGCCCGGAATCGTCACTAAAAATCCAAAAGTTTTTGCGTCAAGGATTGACTACGATAACCCTCTCTTCCCCTCCCTTCTCTCTCTCTCTCTCTCTCTCGCTCGCTCTCTCCGTTGGTTCGACAGAAGTAGATCGTCCCTCCTTTGGGTCAACAAGTGGATAGGTCTACAGCGAAAGGGAGAAGGGAGGGCGAAACATACCTTTCGATGGACGGGCACATGGATCGCAGAGAGAGAAGTAGATATCTTGTTTCCGTCAACAGAGAGGGGTCAAAGATTCGGTTTAAGAGGGTGACCTAGATATCTGTCATCAAACGCCAGAGAACTATTCAATATTAACGAACGGCCATGAACAATGGCCCAGACAGAAACCCTCTTCGATACGTAAGAACCAGAGAAGAGGAGAAACACAATCGTGAAACTGAATTCGTCAACCGGAGGCATATTTTCGGCCCTTATAAATCCTGATGTGAATTGCTAGCGAGAGAGAGAGAGAGAGAGAGAGAGAGAGAGAGAGAGAGAGAGAGAGAGAGATATCTTTCATTTCCATAAAGTTTTTTTCGGGCAAAACCTTTGCCCTGGGCAGACATGAATGCAGAAGACGGTGTGTCTGAGAAATTTATAGCATTTCACATCAAGAGGATCAGGTCACCCGCCCGTTGACTTTGCGTGGTAGTCTCTCTCAACAGAGAATAACAGCCTGGATTTCGGCCGACCCAGAGCCCTTTTTTTCTTCGGGTACGATAAATAGACGCAAGACAACCAAATTCCATACACGTGTTCACACTTCAGAAGTCCGTGAAGTCCCTTTGACATTCCACAGAACTAATGACAGCAGCCAGACGGGGAAGGAGACGACCCCTCGGCCACTCTCAGGAGTATCCTTCCATCATTATGTACACGAACCCGCTTGGGGACGAGTTCCTCCTGCAGGGATAACGATGGGGACAATCAGCCCTCCCTGAACAAATATATTGGAGAGATGGAGAGACGGAGACTACTCCTTTTTTGAAGATTTGAGTATACAAGGACAAGGTTCTGATAGAGAGAGAGAGAGAGAGATCAAGAGAGAGAGAGAGAGAGAGGAGCAGAGGGGTAGCTACCACCCATGTAAACGAGAGATGTAACGTTCATGAATTGCCAAGTTCTTTTCAAATAGAAAAATTCACCGGAAAAAGAACAGAATGGAAAGGTCAAAGGTGGGTCCCTTACCTCTGATAAAATGTAAAACCAGCAAACCCAAGTCCGACGACAGCCACAAGACCGAGGAGGACAAGGACTGCGACTAACCAACCCGACAGGCCATCTGACTCACTTGCGTATGAGCTGCTATCACTGAGGGGTTCACAGCTATGCACATTACAGGGCTCCTGTCTGGCAGGCTGCCAAGAAAAAAAACCATAAGAAATGAGACCAACCTGACACTATGGGATGAGAACTCAAGGATATCAACCCAAAATGAAATCCATGAGAAGTAATTTATAGCTTTATCAACAAATCAAAAGAGGATATGACTGGAATCATCACGAACAAACACATTTCATCTGACGGTGTGGATTGGCAGAGTTGGTAACAGATCTCCAGATCCCCTAATCTGATTTACAATATGTTCTTACATGCCCAGGAATCACAAGCGTTGTGGAGCCGACCTGCCACTTAAAGAAACCTTAACCTCTTTATTTGGCTGCATTTTTTATTTCTTATGAAAATGGAAATAAAAAATTTCCACTTTAATTTCTCAAGAGTCCTTTGAATCAATAGCCATAAATGTACGAAATTGCAGTTCTTACCATTGAGTATATCAAACTTTCTATGCTTCTGGTCCATTGAGTTTTCAATTATGACAGGAAAATTTGCACATTTAATTTGAACATTTCAAAATAATTACCATCAAATGAAGTTTCAAAAAAATGAATCCATTTATTGTCATCTCAAAAAGACTGGCACTATACAGAGATTGGCAGTACAATCATTACTGCACGATGGCCGACTTTGGTGCTCCTTTGGTCACACCCCATCAGCCTGTACCAAGCGTTTCCTTAAGAACTTCGATCTTTCCCTGATGGGTTTGGGACACAAAAGAGGAAATATTTCTAGCGTAACCCTTTTCTATCTGGCCCTCTTTGACCACCCACATAGGATGTTGATGGGAACCTCCTCAAGAACATTCAATATTCAGATGCTAACAGAACACTCTGAAACTAGTAAGCTCATTGGAAATATACTAACAAAAGGCCAGAAATTTGTGGCTAAAGGAGGAAATCCCTGATATAAAAACCCCGGAAGTACTCCCCTGAATATCTGACAGAAAAATAGACTTCGCATAAAAGTTATAGATATGAGACCAGCGCGGAAAAGCCCTAGTTAGCAAGCCCCGTATTTAAAGCTTGGCCATCTTTCACTCAGGTTTTATTCAGAACTGATAGTTACTGCAGATCAAGATTTTTTTTCATGTACTAAGTGCACAGTCAAGATTATTGAAAGGAAAATTCGTTGTAGCAGAATATCTAACTTTTCCTCAGGAATCAGATTACCAGTATATGCATAAAATTCACCAGTTCATTCACGTCGATAAAAATAACTAATCTCTAATGACTGCAAAACAGAATAACAAATCTTATCAAACAGGCAGACAGACCACAAATAGGATACGTTGTTGTAAGATTTCAGTCATAAGATAATGATGGAAAAATAAAAATGGCTCACCATATCCTGCCCAGAGCACTTGCGGTCATCGACAGCAAAATGCCTAATGGATGTGTCTTCCATGCTTCCAAAACAATCAACATCTCTATAACGGATTCCACCATCGCAAGGAGATGAACACTTCATCCAAGTCCCAACTACCCACCTGAATTTTTCTGTGCAGTGCCAAGCATATATATATATATATATATATATATATATATATATATGTCATTTGATTACGAAATGAAACAGAAAATCGTGAAAGAATCCACAAGTCACAGTGGGAAAAATAAGTCTATGAATCAGACGATAGTAAATGTGACAAAAAATAAGAAATCATGAAATATGGATACCTTGCGGTTTTAACTGCACTGAAAGCTTTGCCCCCGTTTTGCAGTATCCCAATTTACTACTCGTGTCTATGAGAAAAGGTTCGGAGCAGTCTGTACAACATAAGTACTCGTCCCCAAAGTCTAACTTGTTTCTGCACTTCATGCATCTGTCTGTCACCGTTGGGCTTTCTGCTTGTGAAAAAATTAATGCATAACATAAAGAGCTCCTTTGTTGGGTAAACTAAGATAAACATTTAATAATAAATAATAAACACACTTTGATATTTACGAACGCACACACATACAGACACTCCTGTGAATAATACAAAGCAAACTTACCTATTGACTTACAAAATTCAAACGATTCATTTTGTACTTCATAAGGTATACAGTGAAGTACCCGGATATATGAGGAAAGGTCAAAAAGAGGTTAAATATTTTATGATTTCTTCCTGCGTTGGCTGATGGTAAATTTCACTTCCTGAACATAGCTGGCCTCCTAAAATACCTCAGAAAAGAGAATACTACCACAAGGAGTAACATTTGAGAGGGGTAGAAATAGAAATAGAAGTGAGCGCATCCAATTGGTGGTTTTACAGAAAGGCATGGAAACAGATATAGTATTTTAATATGCAATGGAACGCTGTAATTATGGAGTAAAACATGAGATATTTCATTTTAATGAAAAAAAATGATGTCTAAAATTTTACAGAACGACAAGAAAATGACGAAATTTGCAGTCAAAATGCTTCATTTTATACGTTTTCTTAACGAAGAATTTCCTGTGTATTGGCAAAACGCATCTTTCTCATGATGGATCGATGGCTAAAAATAAGCATTCTACACATCTGGTTTTTAATAGTTTAGAACTGAAATCTTATGAGTCACCGGTCTCACAAATCCTTAACTAATTCCTAAAGACGAATGTTCTTCCATTTTTTTACAAGTTATAGATATCCATGGATTAAGAAAATATATTAAAAATTGAGAAAATAAACTGTGAATGATACCATTCATGCAAAGAGAAACTGACGGACTCGATAAGCAATAGATGCTCCTTATTAATGACAGGTTGTGAACTTTCTTGGTTAATGACGTTTCACGACTATGGAGAACAGTTCAAATAGATGATTCGTGGACATTCAGATGCAAAATCACCTGGTATGCAGCAGTAGCAATGAGTGTGGAAAGGAAGGCACGGTGGATATTTGGACTCTGGACAGAGTCCACCGCACTCATTGGACTGGTCCACCAACAAATGTCCAGCTCCACATCCTCCGACCCATTTGCTTTGACAGGTTTCGGTCCAGTAACACCCTGAAAGTCAAATTGCGCCCGTTCACAATTTACGATTTTAAGGACTCTCTAAATAGTCCGCCTAACGGAAAATTGGATTCACCTATCAAACGAGAGTTGAACTCATCAATTGGCATCGACACGGGGAGATGGACTGAAGTTCTCCTCTAAAATTTTAAGAAAGACTACAAGGAGAAGGATAGAGAGGAACCTGAAGAACGAATTTGTGAAAAAAGAATAACAACCACGATTGCAATTCTCAGAAAAAAAAGAAAAGGGGCCGATGATGCGACAGAGGACGCCGTTACGTCTGGAAGCCATTGGACATTATGACGGCAAAAGGAAACAGATCCGCCCAAATATAATAGAAGAGAAAACATAGTCTCAAACGATAAAAACTTGAGAACACGTTGACCTCACATAAAAATGCCAAAGCTATAGACATCAGGAGATAATCGCGCGTCCGAATTAAATCTAAGCTCGCAGAATCGCCATACTTCTCCATAACAAAACCAGAACAGAAGTAAAAATCGGGGAAGACCGGAGTGAGACGAAATGGTTACCGTGAGTGGGGACGTCGGAGGTAACGAGCAACAGCTGAGAGAACAGGAGGAGAGGATGGAGCAGCAGCAACGGCAGCTCCATCCCCGGGTCAACAGAAGATCCCTGTCCCCCCCTCTCGCCCTGAGACCCTCCCTCTCTCTCTCTCTCTCTCTCTCTCTCTCTCTCTCTTGGTCGCTCGCTTGGCGCGCGCGTCGGTGACGCTGGCGTACCAACAACCAACGTTCCCTGATTCGTCTCAAGCTTGGGACAACTATCCTCACGTGGACCCTGGGTCGCTCTTATTGGGCCTCATTTTGTCTCCGGTGAACGAGGCCTAACTCAACCCGTTGGATAGCCCAATTTCTAAAAGCCCAATATCTCCAAAATTTGTCCGATCTCAGCCCATTCCCCGTAGCAGGGATTCTAATTGGGCCGAGCAGAAATGTCGGCCCGCAGGATTTTTCTTTTATATTTTGTCTCCCCAGAAAATAACCCAATTATGAACAAGAATTTGATCGACAGATGGATTACAAAAGACCATTTTTAGAATATCCTAAAATTTTCGTCAATTTTTAAACATAATTATATAGATATTATCTATATATATAGAGAGAGAGAGAGGGGGGGGGGGAGAAAGAGATGATTTTTTAAATAATTTCTGTCAGAAAATAACCGAATTATGAAAAATAATACCGCCTGCAATTAGATCACAGCAGATATTTTTAGAATATTTTAATATTTTTCTCTATTAAAAATATTAATTTAGAGAGAGAGAGAGATTTGAAGTGAACCAGTGGCTAACATTCAATCCTTCAGGACTCTTCTCGGGTGAATTCTGAGAGCCCGGAGAGGACCATCCACAATGGCGAAGATGGGGGAGGGAAGAAGGTTCGCTCCTGCGTATCTTCATCACCACCTCTCCCTCTCTAAGAGAGAGAAGCGCCTTCTTCTTCTTCTTCTTCTTGCCGCTGCAGCACGAGACGATCTCCATCACGAATCAGGCCCACGTCGTCGATCTCGGCTCCCTCCTCGGTAAGAACCCTGGTCGGAGCCACCCCAAATTTCTTCATCCCCAGATCCAGAAGCTCCCTGAGAGAACCAGGCAGCAGCACGAGCTTGTTGGGGGAGTCGACCGCCTGCGGGCAGCTGATCGTCACCCTCGGGGGTCGCATTTGGGGGAGTCTGTCGTCGCCGGATAAGGAAGTCCTCGGGGCCGCCGCGGCGCCGCCGCGCTTCTCGCCCTCCTGCGCCGCCGACATTATCCCGAACAGCGAGTTGTGGAAGTTGTTCGTCTTCCTCCTCCGCTGAATCCTCCTCCACGATTCTTCCCCCCCCATGGGAGCGCCGTCGTTCCCCACGACGCGGATGGACGGCTCGCTCTTGAACATTCCGACGAACCTGACGCCATGCTCTTGGACGGCGGCACCGGCGCCGGCGGGCTTATCGCCGCCGGTCTTCCTCTCTTCGAAGAGGGCCTTGATCTCTTCGTGGCTCTGCTGGTCAGCGAGCTCCCTCGGGGTCCACCCGTTGACGTCGTGCCTGTCCGGGTCAGCGCCCTGGTCGAGCAAGAACCTCACCGCCTCTGCGTTCCCCTCGCAGACGGCCTGGTGGAGGGCCGTGGAGCCGTTGACTCTGGGGAGAGTGACGTCGCCGCCGTACCGTACGATCTCCTGCAGGAGCTCGAGGCTGTTCTGCTCCGCCGCCATGCACGAGAAATTTCCGACATCCTCGGAGCCGAGGTCAGCGCCGTTGTCCATCAGGATCTTGATCACGCCCTCATGCTTCCCCAGAATCGCCTCCCACAGAGGAACACTCCCGTCCGAATCTGCAACAGGAAAGAACCGGCAGATTCAGGACAGCAGAAATTTCGACAATAATTCAAGAAAATAGATCGTTCGAGAGCATCATTCTTCGCACCTCTGCTGTTGGGATTGGCGCCGTAGTCCAGAAGGAGATGAACGCAGCTCTCGCTCCCTTTCGAAGCCGCTATATGCTGATAATGATCAGGAGAGAAGATAATCCTCAGCACTACGGCGAGAAACCATGGCAAAATAAATGGGAGAAGAATGATGATGATGGGCTTTCCGACCAGGGCCGTGCGGCGGTTGTTGTCGGCTTCATTCGGATCGAGGCCGCGCCGGAGAAGCTGCTGCATCAAGCTGTCGTCTCCTCTAATGGCGGCGAAACATAGAGTGAGAGGCAGCTCCAGCCGGCCCCGGGTCAGCATGTTCTCCGTCTCCCGCAGAATATCCTGCATGAGCGGGTCCGTCTGCGCCTTCAGGTACTGAAAGAACACAGACATGGAGTATTAATCATCTCTCGAGCAGAAGAGTTGACTGAAATCTCGGCCAAAAATGGGTCGTGCATGAACCTGAAGAAGGTTATTCATGATTATAGTTCCATCCCCGACGTTAGCCTGGACGATATTGAGGAAGGACGTCCGGTTCAAGCGCAGGAGCTGGGACAGGCGTTTCGTTCGGACGGTGAGAGGCTGCGGCCTGTAGCAGAGAACTCCGATCTCCCCGAAGATATCGCCCTTCTTAGCTTCCCTAACCATCTGCAACCGAGCTTGCATATGTCAGAGAATGCAGCATAACCATATCATGATTTCTATCTAATGTTCTACTTGCCTGTTCGGCCCCACTCCTGTCGTCAACCAGATCCTGCGGAGAAGCCATGACGAGGATCAGACAAGCTTTCAGAACATTCGAGTATTATCGTGGAAATGATACATTCGAGTACGAAAAACTTTAGAGAAATGAGAAAATATTTCCTCACCACGGCGCCGGACACGAGGATGTAGAAATCCGTAGGAGCCTCGTTCTGCAGGATTACGTCCTCTTTGGGGGGGAAGTATTCGGCTCTCATCTCAGAAACCTTGAACGAGTCTCTCGGATTCAGAAGATAGCCTGGTAAAATCTACTGCTAAAGTTTTCAGAAGCATTTATTGTGAGAGCTCACCAACTGGAAGAGGAGATCATTTGAGACTCCTCGGAAGAGATAGACACTGTCGACGAGGGAATAGAAGAGAAAGTGGGAGATGCTGGACCGGATGGCCTTCGGGAGCGCGTCCAGGGTCTCCTGCTGCTGCAGCCCTTCTGAGTCGGTTCTGAACTTCAAGCACAAGTGGGCAAGCATCTGATCTTGCAGACGAATAGGAAGCTGGTTCCTTTGTGCAAAGCTCGAGGCTGCTTGAATGGTATCCCTCTGAAATCCCCAGAATAAACAGAGAGTTGCTCACATAGTCGAAGGAGAAAAATCCAAAAGGGTGCAAAGATCATGACGGAAAGTCAAATGGGTGATCGAAGAATTTAATAAAATTTGGAGAAAAAAACACGGGCTTTTCCAAAGAATCTTGAGGAGGAGTGAGAAGGTCAGGAGAACCCACGAATTTTCTGGTCCGGCTGGTCCCATGCACGACCAAGTTGGTCATATTCCCGATCAGATAAGAGGTCAACCCGAGGTTGAACAGCATGTAGAAGATGTCGAAGACCATCTCCCCCGTGTTTACAGGGTGGAGATCACCATAGCCCACGGTGGTGAGGGTGGTGATCGACCAGTACATCGCTGTCACATAGCGGATCCACAGACTGGTCTCTAGAAAGTTCTCGATTGCAATTCCAATCCATGTCTTGCTGGGGTTGTGGTTCCTCGCAGCTATAAGATAGTAGAAGCATCCAGCACAGTGGACGGCAAACAGGGTCACCTATGTTGTCGTTCAAAGCAGACTCAGGACGGTTCATGAAGAAAGAAATGGAAGAAATAAAACTTATAATCTTGGGAGAACCTTACACAAACGAGCTTCACACATCTGATCCAAAAATAGTTGAAATTCCTATCCTTCTCCAATCTGCAGACCCACATGAGAAGTCATATGAATAATTAAAAACTTTCGAAGTACGTGGATAAAATTTAGTCCGAGATGAAGATTCATGAAAAACAATTACCAACATCCGAAACCACTACAGAAAGGGTCTGATTCATTAAGGGGAGATGTTATCGCCTGATCGATCAGAGGATCAAGAAAGCGATCTGAATAGAGCATAAGATTCTTGAAATGATCGGTGAAAGATAGTAAATAAATAATGACTGAGACCAGCCCGACGTTTAAAACATGAACTTACAAGAAAGCTATAGCTAGAACTAATCCATTCATGGTAGAAATGATTGTCTGATTAAGAAATGAAAGCGAGAATCACAACGCAGAGAGTGAACTATGAAATATAAAAGGCCAGGTCAACGAGTGATTATAAATTGATTTAAAAATAAAATTCAACCCCCCAAAAAATGAATGATCCAATTGTCCAAAGAGAAAAATCAAAACGAGAGCGATTTTAACAGAGAGCCATTCTTACCTAGCAAAGAGGGCGCTGACTCTCCGAAGCCGCCACAGACGAAGCATGTTGAAGAACCCATAAGACCTGAGCTTACGAGACATGGCCTTCCGGGCGAGCTCTGATGGGATGGTGGAGATAACATCCAGAAGAAGCCATGTGGTCGCATACCTCTTAGCGATCTCCTTTGGCTCGTCTATCAGGAGATAGGTGGCCTTGTCTAGGTAGGCCACGAAGAAGGTCAAGACAATATCAATGGCAAAGAACCCATTGACGACGTTGTCGGCGATGGCCAGCCCGCCCGTTGGGTGCTCGAGGAATCCGAACTCAAATGGAGATACCCAAGCAGTGTAAATGACCAGCAGGATCAGGAAAGTCTCCCAGGATCTAGTGAATGATGATGAACAGTATTAGATTTCCGCAGAAAAATGACCTTTTTTTCCAATTTCTTTCAGGGAACAGCAAATAGTAGAGATGAAATAATATAAATAGGGAGGATCAGAGTAATTTTCTTGAATAAATTTATTTTATTTTTCACGGACTAGATTCAGCACGAATAACATTTTGCTGATTAAACAGTAAAGACAAATTCACTACACAGATCAACAAGTTAAGCCAAGAGCATCTTGCTGCCGGAAACTGACTAGAAAAATTTATGGCCGAATAATTTTCATGTTCAATCGATTGACAGACCAAGAAAAACAACGCTCCCTTTCAGAAAATGTGTAAAAAGGAAGAAAAACCTAGACAGAGGAAAAATAAAAATAAAACGAGCATAAAATTAATTTTAATGCATTCTTTTACAAAAATCCTAGAGTCATATGAGTCTATGATAGAACGAGGAAATCCGAATACACTTGAGGTGAAGAAATTCTGAAATTCTCCTCAGGAACAGAGACGGAGCCTCACCTATATCGGATGTCATGAGGGGATATAATGAATCGCCGAAGCTTCACCCGACGGTTGCTCCTTGCCCCGAGAGCCGGAAGGATGGCGTTGGAAATGCTGTACTGGCTGCCATCCCTCGACAGTTCCCTCTCGACATCCTGCCGGCATATCGCGAAATCCAGCATCCCTTTCTTCGCCTTTGGCATCCGCCCCTCTATCCGCCTGTTCTCTCTCTAAACCCTTCCCGTCAGTTCCCTTCTGCCCCTCCCTTCCTTCAAAACCAGAGCCTCCCTTCAAAACCTTCCTATTATGCACCTTCCTAAACATGCAGTTCCCAAAAGCGGAACAGGAAACACTCTATGCACATGTCCTCACCGCAGCAGAAACCTAGCTCCTCTGCTTCTTTCCTCCCTCTCCATCGTTCCATAGCGAGCATCTCTGTCTCTGCGTCTTCCTTTGAGATCGTTGAGCGGTGATGTATCTGGCGGTTTCACAGGAGAGAGGGGTCCTCTCTCTTTTTACCGGAAAAGTCAACAATGCCGTTAGGCCCATACCGGAAGATACGAGTACCGTTAGGCCCCGAAAAGCGGTATTTGTGGTATATTATTCATTTATCCAAAATAATGTCTAGCCAAATGTCTTCAATAGGTATGGCTAAAAATATATAAAAAGGACACCCGACGGCAGGTTGGCGGCGTCTTTCTCTCTTTAAAGTTCTAAAATAACGAGTGGCAAGCATGGGATGAGAGGGTATGATGATCAACGCATGAACATCGATTCTACTGCTGCCAACCCATTTCAAGTGAGGGGAGGTCGGCTCAGTGACAATAACCTGCTTCTTCTCTACGTCAGCCATGAATTATTGCTTCAATTAGACGGGTTTTTTAAAGGTAGGAATCTCTCTCTCTCTCTCTCTCTCTCTCTCTCTCTCTCTCTAGCATATCATGATTCAGCGCAAAAATGTAAGCACGAGACATGTTTGACCCGTCTACGACAGATTCTAATCTCTCTCTGTCTCCCTGGTACTGTCTCCATCTTTCTATCTCTATTTCTCTCTATCTTATCATGATTCAACACCAAAACATAAGCACGACACATGTACGACCCGTCTACGACAAATTCCAATCTCTCTCTCTCTCTCTCTCTCTCTCTCTCCTCTCTATCTATCTCTATTTCTCTCTAATTTATCATGATTCAGCACTAAAACATAAGCACGGCACATGTACGACCCGTATACGACAAATTCCAATATCTCTCGCTCTCTCTCTCTTCTCCTCTCTTTACTGTCTCTATTTCTCTCTAATTTATCATGATTCGACACCAGAACGTAAGCACGACTCATGTTCGACCCCTCTACGAAATATTCCAATCTCTCTCTCTCTCTCTCTCCCTCGCTCGCTCTACAAACATCAGTATTTCAGGCGTTTAACTTATCTATGGTGAGCAAGTTTCACTCGCCAATGCCTATCTGATGGCTTTACCGCAGTCTTTCATAGCTGAAACCTGCCAGCGCTAATCGAGACTTCCGGCTCGGAGATTTGGATCCCCGGTTAATGACGGCAAATCTCTCCTAATTCTGCACCCTCGACACGTTTTGGCATCCGCGAAACGAAAATCCAACTCGCCGTCTCCCACAGTCGGCATGTGACTCTTGGACGCCCGCATGTGACGCGGGCTTTTTCTGCCGTCCGATTTCTTCACGGGTTCTCCGAGGCGGCTCGCTCTCCCTCTAGTTTACTCGCAACGCTCCGAGAGAGGTGGCTTTCAACTCAGTCTACCTCTAGAGTGACGTTTCTCAGCTTCTTGAGTCCCTCCTCCTCTCTCTCTCTCTCTCTGTCTCGTTAGAGAGAGAGTTGACTAGCCCTCGCTAAGTGAGTACATAGGTGTGCTTAAGTAGAATCTAATTGACCACGCTCGGCGAAAACTGATGACCGTACGCATATAATAAAGATATTTTGAGGAGGAACCCATGCCTCCGAGTGGCATACGCCATGGAGAACGAGTGTGGCGTCACACCTGGCAATCCCGCACTAGAAAAAAAAAGATACCATTATGGGTAGGTAAGAGGGTGCATTTAAGAACGTTCTTCCATAGAGTAAAAATATCCATATAAATTAGAATATTGTTCTATATACGTATCCATGATAATGGACAGCCAAGATACTCATATTAGTCTCTCCATGAATATATTAAGTAATTAAATGAATAAATAAATAAAATAAATATGTCTCGTTGAATTTAAGCCAGGAGTGAGTGGCGGCGGGGGGTTCACCTCCTCTACACGAGAAAGAAACCTGCGCAGGGATGAGAACGATGATTCATGTGGGTCATACGGATTTGTGGTGGCTTTTGGAAGAAGAACACGGCAAGCCCATGATCTTCTCTCCTCGTGGTGGCAACCGGCATTTCGGTTCTTCAAGATTCGTCGTATATACGCAATCCAATCCGAGGGATTCATCACTCCTAACCAAATCTGGTCTATTATTACGAGAATATGCAACCATCGTTGGTCGTCTTTGAAGTTTCTCTTAGGTTCCTGCTTGAGTATCGTAGAGGATTCAGCCCCGGAAGGGGCCCTCTGATTCCGACCCCCTCCCCCATTTGCTTATGAGACTCCTTCCTGACCCGGGTGCCAAAGGTTGGGCTTCTGGTCGTATGTGGCTGCTGATCAATAATTATTTTCTAAACTAATGACAGATCCACGATAGAGGCTTACTCTGGGCCCACCTTGCACATGGCCCACCAATCAACTAGGCTGATGTGTAGTCAGTTGCAAGAACCTTTCACCCTTTCACAAGAGCGTGGACCTACGATCCCATCCTTATCCTAATCCAGATGGTATCCCCGGTCAACCCTGTCAGCGACTCTATTATCGTAAATTATGGAGTTTCGGATCCCTGCTCACAGCCCGCCGAAGTCAACGAGGCGATTGCACAATCGGACAATTTAAGTCACAGTCCGAATAGGATTTAGATCTACTTAGAAAGCTGGGATCTGGACCTAACCTGATTGAACGGCTCATATCAATCAATCTTCAATCACCACAGGACAATTAACAAGTGTAAGAGAAAAGGAAAGACATACAGATTATCATCAACGGAAATGGGGCACACCATTTTCAGTCGTGTCAACTTGGGTTTGTCCATGCACATGAAGTGTGATGACCAATCAATGAGTCTGATCTGGCAACTGTTGGGCACACGATGGTCCATTATGGAGAGGGTTTTCTTGGATCTCCTCTTCACAATGATGTTGACAAGGCTTTCAACTTGGAGGTGTTAATGCTTAGATATTTTAAGTGCCATTATTTGATTCGAGTTCTTGACCTCCTTAAAAAAATGAATCAATGATCTATAAACTGACAGTTAATCATAGACGTTATTTTTTAATGTACTTATTTTCGTAAATTATATTCTCCCCTCATATTTGATATCTTAGTGGAAACCTTTCACAAGGTCAGCCCCCTACCCCTTTTAGTCTAGATTCTTCATTGACCTTGTTCTCTTGCAACGCCCACATTCAATGATGTCTTTGCAAAATCTTGTAACCTTCTTGATCCCCACTGTAATTGAAGCCATTGTGTGCTAACTAAGCCTTTATGGCTGTCTTTTTAGGCCTCCCACAAACCAATGAATTCCCATGGTTGGTAGGTTAACACACTATAGAATTTTTTTCCGAAGGTGTGTTAGTTGGCTATAACATTTGTGATAGAAAAAATAAATAAATAAATATATTTTTATTATTATTATACTCGAAAATATATCGGACAAGTTTTATTTGAAAACCTAGCATGAGGGCAAAATAGATCTCCTACTTTTAACCTTTTTCTCAGCCCTTAATAAAATCACATTGAGATTCACGCTTTCTATATTACACCTGATGTTATTTTAAATCATTCATGATATTTTCATGAATTATGAATAATATTATGGAATTTATATTAATAATTTATGTTGAACGATGTATGTAGACATGTCTGATTCATACTAAGTTTCTTCATGCTTTAACATATTTTTGGCTTCAAGTTGCGTCATAAAATAATGTGTGATAGATACATTCATTGCAACAAGTAACCATGAGAGTATCCTTATGTTTTTTATCATACATTTGACATTGTTTTAATTTTTTTTCCAAATACTTATTTTACAAACAAAAAATCACATTAGTCACGTGTTTATTTTGTAAGCACATAATGAAATATAGCACTTTGATTAATCTTATTTTGAATTAGTTTTTATGACACAACAAAAATTATCACAAAGTTTTAAATTAGTTGATCCAAAAATGATGCCATCAACATAAATATAGATAGCTGACATTGCTTTATTTATAGAGAATTAGTTGCCTCAACTAGATAGGCAAACATGAGTAAAACTCAATTGACATCTAGTTGTGCAATGAGTGCATTAGTTTCACTAAGACCAATATATAGACTTGAGTAATAAGTTTCCTTTTATTTTTGATGAGTTTTTCATCTTCATTTATATTTTTAGTGAAACTTCACTTATTATTAATCACATTGTATTCGACATGTCCACACATTATTTCTCTCAAATTGATTTGATTTTCCATGCATTCTATTAATCTAACATTTATCAAGTAATGTTTAATTTATAATAGAACTTTAGAAATGAATGCAACAGATTGGCAGTGACCTTTTAGAAAACATCTAAATTTAATATCTTCTAAGTATATGTTCCTTTTGATTGTCTCCAATGATCTTCTAATCCTTTGTTTAAGTTGGTTTCTTCCATTTAGGTTGTAAATCTTTCAAATCGGTTGAGCTCATTTAATTTTTTAAATACTCTAATTTTTATTTAAGTAGTTATAATGAGTTATCTCATGATTTTCATAAATATTTATGAAATATAGCTTCATCACACTATAGATTAACATTATTCTAGTCATTTTTTTATTCACCAAAATGGAACATTTTTATTTGAGTAAATTGAAATTACTAAATTAGGCTCCATGTTTTAAAAATAAAATGGGGTATCTTTTTTTATTATTAGTATAATGAGAATTATGTGCACAATGTAGTATGTGTACTATTCGTGACTTTTGTTGATTGTACTTGATTTTGATAATTACAAGTGAAAATTTTATTGACAATTGATTTTTAAATATTGATGTTTAGTTATACATGTCATGTATGTCTTAAATATTTAAACATTCAACATAGTTATTATACATAATATCTTTATTA